ATGAGATTATAAGGCTTACTGGAATTTATATATATGGTTTGTTTCTATGCTTATTATTCTACTAGTAGAGTTTTAGTCTGATAGGGTAGCTGTTGGACATTTCTGTAGGTCGGCATATAGTACTTTCCAGCATAGTTATTGTTACCCGACTGAACCCCAAGTTAAACAGCAATGATTATTCTTCTTGGGAATCTCGGAACCTTATAATTATTATTCTATGATAAACTATAGCTTAATCTAAGTCCAGAGGAAAATAATCTAAAAAGCATTATTCTCTTAGTTTGTTAACTGATTTAACAAAAGTTCTGCCATACAAAAGGAAGGAAAGAAAATCTTCTGCCCTCGCTCAAGCTCCTCTTCTACAATCAAAAAGTGAAATCTCTTCTGGGACTCCAATGTGGTCAATGTCTTCTAGTTATTCTTTGGCTCTTATATGCGCATGTCAAAAGGGCCCCCACCCATTCCAGCTCACCAATTGCCTCACATCTGAACAAAAGAAATGGGTTAGGCGTGCCGTTGGTACAAGGGAGTAGTGATGAACACCAAGCGACCTACATTCCCACAATGATCACTCCAGTGTTGGGTTTGGCACAGGACCCTGCTAATGCGGCGACTCTCTTCTCCTATCTAAAAACAGGAATATGGCGGCCGAACCTTAAGCAAACTCCAATAAGTTTAGATTAACAGTATATAATAGGTAGCGCTTTTTACTTGAATTAGGTAAGTAGACCTGGTAGAACAGTTGTGCAAACCGCGCTAAATACTATAGTAACTAAGTCTATAGTTGTAATCTAAGCTAAAACCCCTGTAGCACAGCCTAGAAGTGCTGTTTTTAATCTTAGGTAATGCTAATATTAGTTCTCAGACTGATTTGCTCCTATACGTCCAAAAGCCATCCACAATCAAAGTATATGGGCCACAGGAATGGTTGGCTGGAATCTAAAAGCAGAGATAAAACATATACTTCTTAACTCAGCCGGCAAATCTTAGCTGTTGTGTTTAACAGAGAGGCAACAAAAATCTTCGCATCTCAAACATTATGGCTGAGAACCAAGATAAGTCGGTAATCACCGGAGGGTTTAGTTTACTAGACCGGGGAGGGGGGGGGCTGATTGATACCTGCATCACAGAAATTGCCTAACTAGATCAAGTCTATGATTATCGCCAGCCGGTTGGTTACAGCAAACATCTATTTATCACATAGTCTATGATTGGAGGCGGATAGCATAAAATTCAGGTATTATAAGCTCCCTCCCACACTTCAGTCGGAGTTAAACAATATTTGGCCCATTAAGCTTTCTTGTCCTGACCAATTTACCTTTCTAGGCCTCAATTTTCCAGAAGAGCCCTGCGTGATAATAATGAGAAGTGTGAGGCCCATCTATCGAAACCTGATTACCTTGATTTTAACTAGAACTGCTAAGTATGATGAAAACCAGATTTAACAGTATGAAACCAAGACTTAGGATTGAGTTGTGATGCTTACGAGAGTATATGTCCAAGAATAACACGGCGGAAAGGCCTAGTACCCACAAGCGAAAACTGACTTTCTGCCGATCAGTACCTAAAGACGCAGCATCCTAAGCAGTAGGTTTTCTCTGAAAGATAAAGTGTCAGATATACCTAAAAGCGATCTAGAACCTTTTCAATAATTCTTCATACTATGCATGGATATATGTAGATACAATGCCTAGTATGATAAAATACTAATTTAGCAGAATATTCAAAAAATCTAGACAGGTAAGATTTTATAAGCAATAGACAATAACCAGGATCTACTTACCGTTCGGCAAACATTACCCGCGGTTGATGGGCGCACATGAACTCCCTGCAGGGATTGGAAGGCTCGCGCGGGGTAAGGGAATATCTGCTGCAATACCACGCTAGGAGGCAATTTCCAATACAGGGATGGACACGTAGGGTAACGGACCGACCGTAAAGGGGGCTAACCTACATTTTCGGGGTCGGCCCGGGACTCTTTGTGACATGCCAGACTGTCAGACAGATCTCGTCTTTGATAATTAGGATCTTTATACTATTGAGTTGCGGGTCTCTGTCAACTTGGTTCAGTGGGTAGTTAGTCGTCGGCAACAATATCCCCCATAGGGCCTTTGTGCCTGGTTGGGTGTGTATGCAAGACAGCACCACATGACCTGTCCAGCACAAAAATCAGATGTGGCAGGCTGACGCAAGACACAGTGTTGTGATTGATTGGACTTAAGTAGCATGTAGACTGTGAACCAACGCTAGTCATTAGTTAACTAGGTAGGTCTTATTTTGTCGATTACGAAGAGGTTTGCCTCAAGTGATTGGTTAGGATAAGAAGCCTTGATGCAACGTGATCGATAGATCGGCTGCATTCCATGTCACGGCATCACATCCTTTCTCAGCACTCGAGCGAGTGATTGACTCCTCATGTAAGGTGGAGACGGCGGGCGGACCACTTCCGAGCTGACATCTGTCCGTGCTTGCGGTGATCTGGGCATATCACAGATGACACGTCAATAGGAACGAATGGTCGGTTCGTCCCGCCTTTGTCCGCAGCCGGAAGTCTAAAATAGCGGCTCGGGGTAGCTGAAATGTGCGGTTGTAAAAGGTCCGTCGAAAAGATGCGAAGCTAAGTAGCCGCAGCAGACTACTAAATACGGTATGCGTGGAGGAATTGAGCAGTGCAGACTACTGTGGTTGACTCCGTTGATTTTGTTAGTACGGTGGAGATGCAGGGATTTGAATTCTTTAAAATTCTACTATATATATGATTATTAATACTTTGTATAGCTACACTTTGGTGTTGATAACTGCCTTACACCTTACCTTTAAACTTTTAATCAATTTCTTTAAAAATTCCTTTAGTAAAGCATTCCAAGTAGCCTGTATAACCTCTTGTAGCTGATTATATAATAATTACTTATTATTAGAAAAAAATTAATTAAGCTAATTCTTTATCCAATTCTATACAGTCTTAATTAGATTAAGATCCGGTAAAAAAGCAGACCAACTAATTAAAAAAATCCTATATTTTTAAAAATCTTGGACTGTATTTCTGCTTATATACCTAGGTATATTATCTTATATTAATTAAAGCTGTAGTTGTTTATTATATTTAATAAAATATATATAGCTGTAGATTATAGGAATAATATATTTATAATAATATTTAGTATTAATACTGCCCTAGTTCTTCTTTTAAAAAAATATAGCCCTTTATAATTTTTATAAAAAGATGCCTAAAATATTTAGTTATATTTATATAGTAGACTTGTATAAAGGTATATTTTATTAAGTTCTTTACCAGCTTTGCAAGTTATATAAATCTGTTTATAAAAATCTAAGATTATCTAGGTTTTATTAGTCTAAAGAATTTAACTCTATTAATTATATATTTAATTTAAATATTTAAATACCCAGACTAACCTTATTTTTTTATTAGCTGGAGTAAAAGGTGGTTTGCAAAGTACTTTATACTAAAAATAGCCTTTTTTTTTAAAGTATAGGCTAAAGCAGTTGCTTTAATAGAAAGTTTAAGCTCTTTAACAATATAGTAGTAGAGCAAGTAGTATATATATATTTTAAACTAGAGATTTATTATATAACTTTATTAACTTCCAACTCTAATAGCTTTGCTTTAGCGCCTTTGGCTTTCTTCGGAGTAGCTTATTAGCTTTAACATATATATTAAACTTAGTAATAACTAATTTAAAGTTAATTTACAATTTGTTGATATGTTAAGCCAGTATTTTAAAGAGTAAAAACTTGCAGACGGTTATCTTATTTAAGGTACTTTAAATTTGTTGTTTTAGAAGAGGTAGGCTCAGGTGTTGAAGGCATCTTTAAAACAACAAGAATTAGTATATATTAACAATTTTAACGTGTTTACGGCTTCAAGAAGTTGACACGTAGCTTAATAAGGAAGGCGGTGTGTAGTGGTAGACATACCGCTTAAAGAATTCAAATCCCTGCACCTCTCCACTGTACTAACAAAATCAACGGAGTCAACCACAGTAGGATGCACAGGGGGGCGCTGGGCCGAGTAGACCGATACACAATAGTCCGCACCTGTCGGTGGTCTTTCTTTCAAAACTCATACAGCTCGCTCCCATCTCACCCACGGTGCTTTTGTCGCGCTAGTGAGGATCCGTGTCTCTATGCTTTGAACACCGGCCTGAAAAAGATAGCACTAGTGCTGTCTCTTCTCGGAATGCTCGGATCCCTCTATAGGCAGGAGGCCCAACTTGGGGGTAAGGGAGCAAATACCGAGACAACTCCACTTTAGATCTTGGAATCCTTTCCACTGCCAAGCGTGGTGTTCGCTAGTTTAGTTAGGCCGTCTGAAGTAATCGTTCGTCACCTTGATACCCAATCGCGGCCATCGTGCTATGCAGGAGTTCGCCTGGGCGCCTCGGATTTCTCTTAACAGAAAGAAAGAACGGACTCTGTCGGTTTTTAATAAATAGGGTGGGATCTGCTCACTCTGTCGCCCGAGCATATTCTCTTTAACTGAATTGGAGCCACCTGAATCACCGATCTTTTTTTTCTATTAGAACTTGCCATAATTTCCAAGTCATCAAACAATGCACTCCCGGTCCGACGAGACGAACGTCCCCGCTTTGAAAAGCAGAGCCAGCGCACTGGATGACGACTTCATTGATGCTGAACTAGGAGAAGAAGGAGAAGAAGAAGAAGAAAAAGAAGAAAAAGAAGAAGAAGAAGGAGAAGAAGAAGAAGAAGAAGAAGGAGAAGAAGAAGAAGAAGGAGAAGAAGAAGAAGAAGAAGGAGAAGAGGCAGCACAAGAACAAGGTGATGAAGATGAAGATAAACGGGCAGGAGGTGGAGATGGACTTGCAGAATCCAGACCTCCTGATCCGGGTGCCGTCATCAATAGCTCCAATGGGAACAAAGAGACATCTCTGCTGGATGCTTCTGCAAATGGGCATCTTGAGGCCGTTCTGGCACTCTTGGAGCAAGGAGCCCATGTCGACACACGTAATGCATTGGATAATACACCACTTCAGATAGCCTGTTTTGATGGCCATGATCAGGTCGCCTTAACACTTTTGGAAAAGGGTGCTAATATCGAAAGCTGCAACAAGTATAAAGAGACCTCTCTTTACCTAGCAGCATATCGGGGGCATGCAAGCACCGTGTCAATTCTTTTGAATTATGGTGCAAATACCGAGAGCAAGAACCTTAACGAAGCCAGCCCTCTGCTCGCGGCATCTGAATGTGGGCATCTTGAGGTTGTCTCTGTACTTTTGCGGAGGGGAGCAAAGGTTGACTCACGCAATAAAGGGGGTAATACACCGCTTCAAAAGGCATCTGATAAGGGACACGATAAGGTCGTCTCCATTCTTTTGGACAAAGGCGCCGAAATCGATAGCTGTAATGAGCATGGTAATACATCGCTTCAACTGGCCGCTACACGTGGACATGATAGAGTCATGTTCACCCTGCTGAGCAGACACGCCGCTGTCAATTCCTGCAACAAAACAGGAAATACCGCATTACAGCTCGCCTGCGCCAATGAAAAACACTCAACGGTGCGAATACTTCTCAGTTTTCAAGCAGCTGTCCATGCAGCAAATCACGAAGGCTACACACCTTTGCACTTTGCGGCCGAGCACAATGACCCACATACCGTTGCCCTCCTTTTATCTCACCAAGCGGATCCTGCGAGGTTCGATAACGTGGGTCGAACTCCTCTCTTTTCGGCGAGCAATTTAGGCCAACTCGAAAATGTCAAGATTCTCATCAAGAGCGGCGCAGATGTTAACGCAAAAACGTACGTGGGAGAAACACCTTTGCATGGAGCCGTCAGGTGGGCTGGAGGAAAAGAGAACGCACACCAATTAGACACCTTGATCCAGATCTTGATAGCCAACGGGGCCAAAGTTGAGGGCGTCGGGGGCGATTCGCCACTTCATACGGCCTGTAAGGAAAGACATGCGGGGGCCATCGACTGTTTGGTGCGCTATAAGGCCGACGTCAATCGCGAGAATGCCGAAGGAAAAACACCATTCCAACTCGCACTTGAAACAGATGACATGAATCCCTTCAAACCTGTGCTCTTTGAGAGGCCAGGCATTCTCAGAAAAGACAAGGATGGGCGTTCGGCCCTCCATGAAGCCTCATTTAAAGGTCATTTGCAAAACATCCAAGCTTTGCTGAAAGATATCAGCTCCGAGCTTCCAGCTCAAGAGTCCTTCTACAGGAGCCCCTTGGGTCTAGCCGTCGCGGAAAACCACCGTGAGGCAACGCTTTGTCTCTTGAAATCCGATCTATATTACCCCCCGTCCTGCGTGGGGGGATACACTCCCATCCCGACAAAAGCTGAGGTCTCTATGGTTGAAACCCGCTTATTGGAATATTCCCGCGACCCCAAACTGCCGGCGGATGACCTGAATTCCATCGTGTACTGGATGGTCGCAAACAAAAGCCAGCACCTTACGGATGCAGCGTTTCCTGACTACGCCCATCCCGACCGGAAGTACAAAAAAGGCGCGACTTTGCTTCACGTTGCTGCGCGGTTTGACAATCACGCTTTAATTCGGACTGCGCTCTCCGTCTATGACTACAGCGTACGCGATGACGATAACAACACTGCGCTGCACGCCTCTGCAGCAGCTGGGAATTCGCAAGCCAGCGAGGCTTTGCTCGAGAATGCACGTTGCGGTCAGCAGATTATCGAGTTTATTATGGAACCCAACCGCGCGGGAGAAACGCCTCTCTCACTCGCCGTCAAATGGCGTCATGCACACTTACGAGATTACCTTCTGGACCAACTAACTAATCACACCCTTCACACCCTGAAAACACAGTTGCCAAGGGGTCCAGGTTGTCCAGCGTCAGCGCCAAGTCGAGAAATGCAAGCACTAGAGCTTATCTTTCGCTTTGAGAAGCCGGGAAATCAGGACCGTCTTCTCCGGTTGCAGACGACCCGGCTGATGAAGCCAAGCGAGGCCATATGTGCTGGGGTTGAACGACCCGCCGAGGAGTGGGGACTACTTCCCACCGTGGTGTATAATACCCAAGCCATTGAACTGTGGTGGATGCTCTCCAACGGGTGGATATTCGATCAAAAAGAAATCGAGCTTGCTAGGAAGGTCCTAAAGGCTCTTCCGGAGACAGGAGAAGAATTACGCAAGGAGGCCCTTTCCCAACTCCTCCAAAACCCCCCACAGATAGTCGAGCAGGCCGGCGTGACCGATAGTTACCGCCCGCCAGCCTTCCCTTCACGGCGACTTGGTTCTGGCTTAGGCACGAGTTATGTGGCTATCATTGATTTTTACGCTCTGGGAGACGACATCGACCTTCATTCGATTGAACGATCACTCGAACACATTGTCTACAGCCACCAACTTGGTTTTCAGAGAGTGATGACACATTCGTTGGCCAGTAGGCATCGTGACTTGTCTTCATTTAAACGACACTTGAAAGACATAGAGGAACGGCCTCGAGAGCTCAGTAATCCCAATTCCTCAACAGCCCAGAATTCTTTGACTATAGACACAAGTGACGCGCCTGCCACAGGAGCACTTCAATTTCGCTGGATTCACCTGCCATTCAATCATGTAAGAATCTCTGATACCATCCAAATACGACCTTCGTTCACCGTCTCACTCACTTCCTTGCAGGCTGGCGTCATGGGCGTAAGTAGTCTCGTTCCCCATTGACCCGGTAGATGAAGATTAACCGCAGGGCTAGGATGCTTGCCAACGCTTGTCTCGGGAGGCAGGGCGAATGCAGAAACATCATCGCTTGTTGGCTTCGTTCTTCGCCAAGAGCTGTATCGAGGTCGTTGCTGGGGCTGGCAAACTTTTCCTCAGGCCACAATGCATGGTGAGTCCTTGACACTTCACTGTATCGTCTTCCGTGTTGACAAGTCGACTACACCGTCGTAGCGAACTTCGTTCGCGTGGAACGATATCTTTAGTGCCGACGGGCAGAAGGTCTCGCACCAAGATATCGTGTCAATCCAGGTCAGTCGATCTGTTTACCTTTTGCAGGACCTTTACTCAACCCAAACCAGATGCCCTATTTGACCAAGGCGATCTCACCTTTGAGTGAGACTGATGGACTGGATCCAGGCCTCCACCAAGCAATGACCCTGGATCAATTCTACTACGCGACCCTCGAGAATAGCATGGCGAGAGATATTGATCAAGTTGTGGTTCGGTGGGCCGAGGACCTCAACCACAAAATCCAACAGCCGAAGAAAGACGCCAAGACTCGGGAAAACGAACACCAGGAGCGCGAGAAACATCTTCGCGAACCAGGGAAACAAATTCTGGCTGTCGACCAGATCTGGATTCGTATCCTCGACAACAGTAAGTTGATGGGGGTCGCCACCTCCAACTTCTCTTGTAACCCAGGACCAAGTGCTCATCGACTTCCAGGGACCATCCTCACCAGCTGTACAAACCCAGCAGACCCGACTGAAGCGAGACTCCCAGAGCGGATTCGTCGGTTTATCCAGCTGAATGACGAAAAAGAAGAGTTTCAGCGGCCCAGGACAGCAAAAGCCATGGCTGAGATTGTGCTTAGTATTATGACCACGTTGATCCTTGATCAGAAGTTCTTCCGAAGTCGCCCGGAAACGGACCAGCAGATGAACAAAGGCAAGAATGTCCTTGAAATATTCCAGGAGTCAGTTCGAGATTTAGTAAGTCGTCCACTACTTGTCAGTCAGCGAGCTTAATTAACAACCCCAGATGAACAAGGAGGCCACTCTCTACCAGAGCTTCTTAACGACCCTCGAGGACGAGTCGCACACGCACGAGCACACCGGATTTATTCGCGATCTCCCGAAAAACCCCTACCATGTTATCGATGACGAAGTCCACCTACTACGCGAAGCGAAGGATATATGTGATGAGCTCAACATCCTCGAGACGGTGCTTAAAGGCCAGCAGCAGGTGTGGCAACAGACCTTCGAGACCCAGGACCTCGACACCTTCACGGGTTATCAATATAGCCACCCGATGAATCCCACGCGCATGTTGTGCGAGATCCAGCGCATCGCCGACGAGGCGACTGCCGTCCAGGAATCAGTATGTGGATACAATTCCGCTATCCACGCGTCACAGCCTGCTAATATTTCGCGTAGATCAATGCTCTTCTGGAGCTACGTCAGCAGCAGGCCGGTATCAAGGAAGCCGAGTTCGGAAGATGGCAAGCAAACGACACAGCCAAGCAGGCCAACATCTCCCTAATCTTTACGGTGGTGGCTATTCTCTTCGTACGTGTCCCATATCCCCAGATCTTTTACTTCTATCTATCGGAGCAAACACGGTGTATTGATGGCTGGTTCTAGCTCCCGCTTTCCTTCCTGACCTCCTTTTTCGCTCTGAATGTGACCGACTTCCCGCATACCGATGGGAATCTGGAGTTCCAGGGGAAATGGATCTTTCCGATTATCTGTGAGCTAAACCCTTTTGTTCTCCTTTTTCGTTCCCCCGGATCGACGTGTACTAACGTACAAGTTTAGTTTGCACCTCAGCCTGTGTATCCATTCCCTTCCTCCTATTTGCCTTCAATGTTAATCGTGCTGTGGATTTGTGGAACAAGAAAGTTCCGAGTGCCACCCATCAAAAGAGCCAGTCTAGCATGGCGGTGGGACGACAGGGTACTTCCTTGCTTCCGGCCTTGTCTCATTCGATCCCGCGGACACCGCGAGCCAGTGCCGAGATATTGGGGGTAGTGCGTCGGCGAGAAAGAACGACAGACAGTGAGCGAGGCGAAGAGGGCGATCGGGGAAGTCAGCTTCAGGCTACGGGCAGGGGGCTCACCTGAATAGGCCGGCCTCGACGGCGGCGGCCACCGTGTTCGTGATGCGGCGCTCGTAAAAGCGAGAGTTTAACGCGTGTCCGGGGCGGTCCATCGTGCGCCATAAGACGCCCCCTCGGTGAAAACTTGTCCCAAATATCTCGAGCCTTTTCCTAGTGTGTGCTTCGGAGAATGAGGCGTTGATGGTCGCGCAAATGCGTTGCGATATCTTCGAGAAACCGGGGCGCATCGAAATCGGGGGAGGAAAGGAAGGGTTCTTTCGGGGCATGCATCATCTTGTCTTTGTGGAGACTGCCAGTAGTGACCCGAGGGAGGAGAGAAGCTGTGAATAGTGTGAGCTCATGATTATTGCATTGCTGGTAATCTCCTTCAATAGATGGCGCGGATTCATTAATCTACTATGCAGTGCGCAGTAACACTCTCGCTTTTCGTAGAGCTGCCAAGCAAGCCGTTGCATATGAAGTCTCTCACCACTTTTATACTAACTATATCTCGCCTAAGATATATTAGAGTTTCGAATGTATCAATGTTCTCTATTTTTTAAGAGTTTCAAATGGAAGAATATACAAATCATAGACAGGAAACAAAGCTCTAGTCACAAGTATAATAGCACCTCTGTTATTGTGATACTTATAGGAGAATGTGAAACAGCTGACACTTTATGCGAAGCTGTTAAGCGAACTGGTATCTTCATAGGGTGCTGTTGTATTTATTGTAGATCACTAAGTGCGTATCCTAGGACTTAAGACTGATACATCGTACAGAGCGTAAGATTTACAGAAGTATTCTTTTTTTTAGAAATCTTTATACTTCTAACCGCATTTATCCACAAGATATGCGATCATCTATTCGGCTTTAAGCAAAGAGTAATAAAATATGAAAGCTATATTTTGCTTCAGAAGAGTAAGCTTCAGAAGAGTAAAACAAGACATCATATAGAATCAAAGCCAAGACCAAAAAGACTTTGTTAAAACAGAGCCTGAAGCAGCTGTTAATTATATATAGATAAGATATATTCCCTTTGATTTTCAACGATTCTAATTCTTTTCTTATAATTATCTAAATTATGATATTAAGCAGCTAATCAAGAATTCTTTTTTATTACAAAAGATGACCAGTTTGGAATACATTAAAGTTATTTTAAGCAATATTGTGCGGATCTTGATTTGCGGGTCGAGCCGAACCACGTTCATGTACTCGCCAGCTCATTGCCATCAGCATTTATACTCATGTAGCGACTGTCACAATGTAGGCGCTTAGACGTTAGGTGGAGCGTAGATCATGATGGTAAAGATGCTATGGTAAAGGTCGATGGGCTAGGGTTGGGAAAATGTCGAACTAACCTGGTTATGATTGGCAGATCTCAGATGATTGAAAGAAAGGACTACGTACTTGGTATGTTTCTGACTTCACCTTCTTAAAACTTCTAAACTTTTTTATGCTATACTAATAAACTTGCTGCACCCTAATAGCAGTCTGTTTAGCCTTAGTATACCTAAGCCTCTTCTACTGGCTTGTCTAATAGAAAGTCGCCCAGATAATTCAGCAACCCTATATAATAGTGCTTTTAGTTATACTTATAAACAGCTTCTATACTTTGCTGCCTGCTATACTAGGTATATTTTTTATTTAGAGTTTATAGAAGAACCTACACCTGCAGCTAATATATATTAGTAATCATAACTTCTTTCTTTTATCTTTAACAAATCTGCTGTATTTTAGTTGTCTATATCTTTTTAGTACCGCCCTACTTCTATTCCTTAGTGCCCTCCTCGCCTGGTGCATCCCTATCGCGATGATATCGCCCCAGGCGCGTTGACAGTGAGGCAGAGTCAGCCGGATGATTTTAACAATGACAGGTATACCCAACCCACTGTACCGGTTGTTTTCTCTTTGCATTCCTTCATTTTTAAGTCCCTCTTCTAGTTCTTTCCTTTTATCTTGACATCTCTGGTGTGAGTCTCGCCCGTCATTTTGACTCAGATCCTAACAGACCCCCAGCCCACGGCTTGCATGCACATACACCGACGCTCCCGACCTCTATACCTGGGTCAACAAAACCTACCTGCAGAACCCAATGTGGATAAACGCCTATCTCTACCTTACCTTACCGGATTACTGTGCGCGCACGAACAGCACCCAGTATGTATTTAACTTTGTCCTGCACTGGAAAGACGCCACAACAGGAGGTATATATAAGAACCTGTTTTATCCCGCGTACGAGGCCGTCTATATGGTGTACCTAAACTTATACAGGGGGGTGTATAACAGGCGACAGTAGTTAAAGTAACCTTTAATAGTGGTATACTAAACAGCTTGGGGCTCTACAATAATCTCGCCATAGTGCCGACGCTGTACAACCGTTTCGGCGTGGTCAACACCACGACAACTAGAACAACCGGCCAATATCCTCATCGCCCTGACGAGCCTCTACCGCGGCCCCGCCAATGGTTCGTCTTCACTCTCACCCCGGCCGCCCTGCAGTCGCTACTGCAAAACATGAACCTCTCGCTGCTCACCCTCCACCAGACCACGACCCACGAGCACCGTCATAAAGACCGTCACTGTCAGCACCGACGCTTTAGGCTGTTGAGTGTTTAAGTAGGCCAGAGCAAGATACGCCGCTGCAAGTACAGAGATAAGCGATTAACTGCTAGTCTGGCTGGAGAGTATAGCCAGATTCCTACTAAAAACAACCAAGAATCCGGCCTATATAATTAATAAAGACAATGCGGCAAGTAGCACAAGCAGCATATTAAGACCAACAGTGGCGTGGGCGAGGAGGAGCTGTATAAGATGCATTATAGGACTTATTAATAAGCAGGCTGATTGTTACGTAGCTGCAGGCCTTGATTCACTCGGGCGAGGAGACTGCTGCCATTCTGGGTAGGTGGGTAGGGAGGCGAGATTGGCTGATGAGTGAGTGGACGGAGAAAAGGATCAGATTTGTAAAGGAAGGATATTTCGGTTGTTTTAAAGTTGTTGAAGATGGGTGGTTTGGGCGCACTGACTGGACCTACGCAGTGGGGGTGGAGTCAACAGTAGGGTTAAGTCAATATACAGGCGGGGTACTAGAGACGGAAGGATAGAACGGCCAGGCTGGCACTCTGCAAGAACGAACACTGCTGGTACCTTACCTAGTAGTATTGGACGTCTCCCTTTGCGGGGTTTCCTTCAAAAGAATCCATCTTTAAAGCACCCAGGCAAAGGACAAGCGATACATCGGCAGGATGTTTTAGAATGACTAGGATTATTCAGCTTCTTAATTAGGGTATATACTTACTGCTATAAACAGTCTGTAGTACCCCAGCCCTCAGAAAAAGACCTCAACAATCAAAGCCGCATAAATAGAACACAGCATATAGGCAATATACTTCAACACAGGCGACCTCGGCTGCGTCAACGTATGTAGGCAAATCCAGAAATCCCCATAGTACTACAAGTTGATATGTAGCCCTTATGCAAGAAGGGGCGGAGCTCACGTGATCTACAAGCTTGGGCGGGGTGGAGGTGGGGACGGTAGGTGGAGTTAGACGAGGCAACAAATAACCTTCGACCATGACACTCGAATCAAGGCTGGTTGAGGAGATCTCTTATATTTTTTCAGCTGTGAGAGACTTGCGCTAGGAAGGTAGCATTGGCCACTCTGGGTCCTCTTACTCTACTCAGTTTTATCCGAGGAGTCGAATCAGACGGCCTGGGAGTACGCATGCCCCCCCCCACCCCCCAAAATGGAGACCATTCAATTTCGAGTGATGCACTGAGGTCCAGAAAATAATACCATCATTTCAATTCGAAGATAATGACATCCTGTTCTTGGTAGAACATCAAATGCCGTAAGCCAGCTTAACTTAGTAGTGGGAGACGGCTTCATGGCATTACTCTCAATGTGGATATCTTCGTAGCTGCGATAAAAAATGGCTCACTGAGCTCCTCCACCCCCCCCCCCCTCACGCAGCATGCATCCGCACCTTGTCCCCATTGGCAATGCAATTCGTCAAGGTCAGATTATGCCGAAGCACCTCGTGCGCATCCGAAATCTCCACGCGATCGAACCGCTGCAGCAACCGCACCGTCACGTAGCTGGCCTCAGTGAGGGCAAACTGCTGACCGATGCAGATCCTAGGGCCGCCGTTGAACTTACCACCAAAAAGTCTGGTCAGTGAATTGTTGTTTCCGAGCACACGGTGAAAGAAAAAGGCGGTGGCATACCGGTAAATACTCCCAGCCCACCTTCCGGCCCTCCCAGCGTTCCGGCCGGAAGGCGTCCGCATCGGCGCCTCACAGATCCTGGCGGCGATGCATCACGTACACCCCGTAGTCGCACGTGGACCCCTTGGGGACGAAGACGGGGGCTTTCCCATCTTTGCCGCCGCCGCACGGGAGGGTGGTGTCCTTGTTGGTGTAGCGGGCGTTGAAGGGCATCACCGGGTGGAGGCGTAGGGCTTCGTCGTTGACATAGCGTAAGTACTTGCAGTCCTTGAGTCTGGCGAAAATGATCTCGTGGGGGGCGTCGTAGGGTCCGAAGTCGGCGAGGATGTAATCGCGCAGTTTCTTGTAGCGCTCGGGGTCGCGGGAGAGTTCGTAGAATACTGGGATGGGTGGGTTAGGGATCAGTCCACCAATTTTACCATCCTAGGGTCCAGAGAAAAGAAGGAGGCAGTATCACTCCTACGTAGGCGCGACTTACCCCAGCCAAGATGCGAGGCAGTCGTGTCGCGACCCGCCAGCAGCAGGTTCAGGAGTTGATAGCGCAGCTCCAGCGGATCCTGCGTCTCCGCCGCCAGAGCCTCGAGGAAGACGTACGGTTCGTTCGGGGAAGGCTGCTGCCTCGCGCGGAGATCCTTGGACAGGGCGAGGCGCACGAAATGGTCGACGAACTCGTGGACCACGCCGCACGCCTGCCGGAACTCCCACGAGTCGTAGAGCCAGTACTGGTCCATGAACCGGGCGCGGGTGGCGAGCGCCATCTGTGCGGTGTCGAAGGCCTGCGCGAACTTGGCCTCTCTACTCTCCTCGCTCTTGTCATTACCCTGGGACTTGGCCGCAGACTGCAGCTGACTGTTGACGGACTCCCCGAAGAGGAATTGGGTGGCCGAGTCCAGCGTCAGGCGGAAGAAATAGGGGAGGAGGTCCACCTTCTCGATCCAGCCGTCAGCCGTGGTCGATGGCTCCGGCGCTCGCATCATATTCTGCACATGCGTCTCCTCCAGGTCCAAGTCACTTACTTGGTCCCTGGTAAATTGCGGTCGCATGATGGCCTACCAGCTGTTAGCATGATGGCTTCGTTTCCGGTCTGGCAGAGCAACATACCCGGGAATGTTTCCAGTATACCCCGTCAGACGTGAAAATGCCATCGCCCAGCATGGGGAGGAAATTCCCCCGTCGTGTAGGTCCAAGATCTGCATGATTAGTCTGGCTAGTATGAAGAGTTAATTACCGAAGTCATTGAACTGGGTGGCTAGAATTGCTTGGATGTTCTTAGGGTCTGCCGTCCGAAGATTCTTCGAGCCTGTGGTGGGAACACGTGAGTAATGGCATACTCTGCAGAGGACAGTTCCAAGGGAGCTTCGTAAGCGTGACCTACCAAGAATATTGTAGCGGTACGTATATGTCCCCAGTTCCTGAAAGCGCTGGAGAACATCGGCAGGGAATTGTTGGGCTCGATCGGCGGCGAGGGCGCGTCGCACACTGTCGATTCCGAAGGGCCAGCGGTTCTTTTCGACCGGAGGCTCTTCACAGCCAAGGTCACGCGCTTTGGCCGCGTTACGGCGGGTAGTGAGGAATGAGGAGATCAATCGGAAGATGACGTAGAGGACTGCGGCCCAGGGGAGGGCATTGGTTACAGCTTTCACATGCATTCTGAATGTAATGACAGGTGAGGTGGTCGGGTGTTGGCGTGGCAGAGTGTACACAGTAGAAAAAGCGTAGAGTTGAAGACAGAAAAGAGAAAGAGGGGTAGAGACAGGAAATCGGTGGGCATGCGTAACAGTGAATATATTGAATGCACCATGTATTTGTAATGCCCCGCTCCAAGGCCTCGGCTGGGAAATACTTCAGTGAGAAGTCGTATAGCGGGGTGAATCCTTCCCGGGCGGGGCGGCGTTGGCGTGCTGATGCTTAACTATCGGCCCTAACGAGGGCGGGCCGGCAGCACCGACAAAGTCTACCACATAACGGCTATGTGTGTGCAAGTGGCGCCGGGTGACGGTAGACCATTAATGATAGAGATTGTCCCAAGGGGCCTAAGCGGGGGTTTTCTCTCGACCCTTCACTGATCGTACATTACATTGTAGACTACTAGGTAGCGTGAAGAAGCGTCAGAGCCAATCAATACCCTAGTCAACTAACAAGACCCACCATTAGCTTATACTCCGACTCCCAATCGCCTGGTGACTGAGTGGCTTGAGGTTGTATCCATTTCGGATTGTGACGTAATGTGATGCAGCTCCCCCGCGGTCTATTATGTTGCTGGAAAGTCTCCGTGTTACAATGCAGTCACAGGCTGTTGGTAAAACGACTGAATGGTTGGCTAGATTCGTGACAGTGGCATGGGTGGTAGAACCCCGTCGGTGGACTTGCCATTTATCTAAGGCTGAACAGAAATCTCCTGAAGCGCAATCTTCTGGTGTAGGGTGTCATTGCCCCTCCTAATTTGTGGTGCGGCGGACTGGGACAAGAACATCAAGCAAGAACGAGCACCTCTATCTCCCTGCTATCGCGAGATACAAATTCTCTCTCGAAATGTGCTGAGCATGGAGTAAGATCTTCTATTTCAGCCAGTGATTCTAGTCTTCAACACGCTCCTCAATCTACAGTACAAATCACTCTTCCATGGAGGGAGCTTGATGTGAAGTATTCGTGGCCAGTTGGCTGTGCCGGCCGGACGGGCGTTCGGGCCCGCGGGGCCGATCAGGGAGCGGGAGGAACCTGGTATAAGATGCACACTGCGACTTGCCCTAACTCAAGCTGCATCTCTCGTAACCACTCTTTATTTTCAACATCGACCATGGATGATTGCGACCATATCGAGCAGCTGACTCCGCTGGACCTGGCCATGCCAAACACCTACATCCGGGTCCTTCTGGTATTCCCCGGACCCGAGCCCAACTCAACCCTAAACACCCTGCACACTCTCCAAACCGGTCTCGCGCAACTGTCCAAACAAATCCCCTGGATATCCGGACGAATCTTCCCCACCACTGACGCCTCCGGCCGACCGATCCTCGAGATCCGATCGCACACAGGAGACACCCCAACGCTGGAAGACAAAGGCACCATCGCAGCATCCTACGCGACTCTATCTGCGCAAAACATGCCACCGGAAGCCATTCCGGGGTATGTCTGGCCGCTACCGGCCATGCCTTTGGGGAATATGGAGCCGGGCATCCCCGTCTTCGCCGCCAGCGTCTTCCGCTTTGTCGACCGCGGCATAGGGCTATGCATCTGCCTGCATCACCACAGCGTCGACGCCACCGGGTTGGCCGAGGTCGTCCGACTGTGGGCGCAAGCCAGCACCACCACCACCAGAACCACCGGTGGTAACCTCTCCTCCGAGTATTCCCAGTCCAGTCGACAGAGCCAACTCTCTCACGCCCTCGCCCCAGCTATGCAAACCCTCTCCTCATCCCAGCCTCCGGCCCCAAAAGACCTCCTCACCCACCACCCCGAATTCAGCACCACCCCACCCTCTCCCCCCCCAATTTTCAGACCCAGCACCTCCAAACTCTTCACCCTCAGCCTCCACCACCTCCGCACCCTCCGCACCCTGTGCCAGAAATACACATCCCAAGAACCAACCATCAACACCCTCGTCACCACCCTCCTCTGGACAACAATCACCCGCGTCCGCGCGCACCGCACCCCAAACCTCCTGACCCAGGAAAGCAAAAGCACCCTCACCACAGCCGTCAACGGCCGCCCCCGCCTCCCCGCTCTCACTCCGGGATATATAGGCAATCTCGTCCTCTACGCTACCGCAAAGTACCCTGCTCCCGCGCTGGCTACCGCGGATATGGACCCCGTGCGCGGACTGGCGGGTATCTGTGATTGCATTACGCACTCCCTGTCTCCGAAAAAGATTGGGGAGGGATTTATCACGGAGGTGTATGCTCTGGTCCAGGGGGTGGAGGATTATCGGGGCTTGTATCCCGGGTGGGAGGTTTTTGGGGACAGGGATGTCACGGTGACGAGTTGGGCCGGGGTGGAGGCTTATGGAGTGCAGTTTGGGGGTTCGTTGGGCGGGGTTGGGTGGGTGAGGATGCCGGTTGTGGAGGGGGCGGATGGGGTGGTGGTTGTTTTGCCGAGGAGGAGGCACGGCATGGAGGAGGGGGTGGAGGTGGTGGTTATGTTGAGGGAGGAGGATATGCTGGCCTTGGAGGAGGATGAGATGTGGGGGGTTGTTTGTCGGTTGTAGGGGCCTGTTCTGGAGGAGGAGGTTTTGGGAGGGGGGTGGACTTGGCGCTCGGTGTGGATCGTTGTTTTAGTTTGCTTTATAGGGCTTTACGAAGAAAAGGAGTAGGCTATAGATCAGTCATTCTAGACTGTGGAATGGGATATGCTATACAACAGGGTACTGGGCTGGACGACACAGCCTTCTGTATGAACCGTAGCAGATGGGGAAGAAAACCTCAGGCTAACTTAGATAGAATTCTGCATTCCACTGGATAAAACCAAATATATCAACTCAATAACTACCGAATCGAACCCCCAGAGCCAGCCCCCCAACCCTAGAAATCAACCCAGTTCCCCAAAAACGGCTGCCCACCCATCCACTCATTCAACAACTCTCCCGCGGGATCGAAATCCACATCCCCGAAAACGTCCGAAAACGTCTCCGCCGGGAACCCGAAGCCTGCGCCGTCTTCGGCCACACCCACATCACCACCCGCCAACTGGGACGGACCCTTCGACGGGCCGTCCACTCCCCCCGGAAAGGCTGATGACTCCACCAGCTTTTGCGCCAGTTGCGCGAAAGTCGCGCAGATCTGATACAGACACTCCGCGCCCGAGGTCTGCTGGGATGGTGGGGACCGGAGATTCTCCAGCGTGCCGACGACGCGGACAAGGAGGGCGACGCTCTCCGGGTCTTTGGCGGCGATGGCGTGGAGGAAGGTGACGAGGAAGGGGGTGAAGGAGGAGTAGAGGAGGATCCTGGTGGTTGTGGTTAGTGTATGGGATTGTCTTATTTGCTATTGATATTACAGAAACTAAAAGAAAGGGAAGTCAAGGGAAAGAGGGGTCAACCAATTGATGTATTCCCCGTCCGAGAGAAGACGGGAGTCCTGATACTGCGGAAAGCATTGGAGATGAGCTTGCAGGCTATTGCGGGCGGCGTGGACGCATGGTGAGCCGACGTAGAGGCCCGTCTCTGTGGCGGAGGAGGCGTGGTGCAGGAGCGTCAAGGTCGAGTAGTATGCTATGTCCCAGTTGCCGCGGGAGAGGTGGAAGACTTGCGCGTTGTTGACGGCCTCTGCGTTGATCTGCTGAGTGTCAATCTTTGATGTCTGGTGTGCGTACGAAAGACCCCAGGTATTGCTGCTCACTTGCGTAAACTCGACACGCCACTCTTCCATCGCAGCTGCCAGGTCACGGATAAGTCGGGCCCGTTCCGACGGACCTTTACTCGCCGTCCCAAGTGAGTAAAGGCCCGTAAGCACCCGGTCCTGCAGTTCGGCCAGTCGAATTCCCATGATGAACGACTCGTCCCACGGCCGCAGCGCCCGGTCGGTGGCCATTGCCGGGTGGCGCGTGTCGATGGCGAGGCCGTGCAGGTTGGAGACGCGGCCCAGCAACAGGGACATATTCTTGTCGAAGCAGTACACCGTCCAGAACAGCCGCCGGATGCTGTCCGCCTTACCGGACGGGATGTTGCGATAGCTGGCTTCTCGGTGGTACCCGAGGGATTGGCATTGGGTTGCGGCGGCGCATGCGAGCGTCCAGTACAAAGAGGGCTTGGCTTCGCCTTGGGCTTTGATCATCTGGCCTTGGGGTTAATGATTTGATGGCAAGTTTAGATGAAGGGTTCAAAGTGTAAAATGAGGGAGGCACTCACGCCCATCGTCAGAGCCAGAATGTTTTCGAAGCTTGGTACGACAAGGACCTCGTAATGTTCCAGCGCTGCGACGAATATCTGCTCGCATCGAATGAGATGTGCATTGAGATCGAACCGCTGACAGAGGTCGTCGTTCATGGCGACGTACTCCTTCAGCACGAAGAGAAGGACTCCATGGCTGCTGGCTATCTGACCTGCAGACGGCCCGCTGGTAGCATAGACGCCGTGGCAGAGATCCTCGAGCACGTGTAGGTCACTGATGGCATATGAGGAGAGGAAAATGGGACGACGGACTACAGGTCAAGTTAGTGTGCAGGACAGTTCCATACCGCAACAGTGCGGCTCAGGAAGAGGCTTCGTACCTCTCATTCTCCGTAGTAGACTATTGACCAGCGGCGCTGGAAGAGGCTTAACCGGTGGCGGCGATTGGGCGGTGGACTTTTTGAAATAGAACTTATCTCTGGACAACTCATTCGAGTCATGAAGAGATCTCCGCAGTCGATCAAATGCGTGATGAACAGCTGGATCATCGCCTGCAGCAGCGTAGAGGGCTGCGTCCTGTGCACTCTCCGTCATCTGGAGCGACTGGCTTGCGAACGAAGAATCTCCTTCGAAGAGGCGGCCTCCGCCAGGGCGGGGCTCGGCAGATGAGATCCTTTGATCAGCCTCACGCTCCGCCAGTGGGGCTCGTTGCGCAGATTCCAGAGCCACAAATCTCGACTCGACCTCACGATACCGTCTATCCAGACGATCTACGAGTGCTTCGCTAGAAGCGGGCAGCTGTGAGTATGGCTGCCGAATACTTAGGGTTAGGTTTCGTACATACAGATTCGCTATCTTATCGGCTTGTCGCTCCGTCCGTGACCGGTCGTTCGGATGCCGACAGGCGATCTTCGATGCCTGACAGTTTGTACATGGGGTGCTGCGGTCGCAGCGGATCTTGATATGTCCTCCTTAGCTTAAATGTTTCGTTGAAATCCTTGGTGTCGAGACACGACACCACGTACCTTGCGTATCTTACATGCTTCGCACTAAACGTCCCCACACATCATTAGCCATGCGAGAAAGAGTTGCCCAACCGGGATCCTTACCGCTCTCGGGACCTGCGCGAGTCGATGGCGCCTTGCTTGGATAGTTTCCTCTGCGTTCAATGATGACATAGCGATACTTTGTTTCGAGTGACGAACAGATCTCCCGAGTTGCATCGAGGACACAGTTTTTGGAATTCGGGCCCACGGGTCCGCGGCTCCGGCGCCCCGGATCTTGCCAAGTGCGCCAAGCCTACCAAGCCCTACCGACCCAAGGCCTTGGCGTCCGGGGCCGTGGACCCGATAGCCCGATCTTGCATCGCATCAGTCCATCATATTTCAAGGGTACGTATGCCACTGCCACTTCCACTTGCAATACACTAACTCTCTGTTAACCAGCAAAAATGTCGGTCGGTCTACTCTCCCCCCGAATGAAGCCCCTCCACCACTAACCATTTCGAGAATCCCAGACTCCATCAGGGTATGCTCGCCTCAAACCCCATTTCCGCTCCGATGGGAGATTGACCACCATCCGGCCGACAGTGTACTTATCGCGGATGAATGTATAACCGCATACAGAGAGCTGCTCTTTACGCGAGGGTCCCACAAGCCCAAGTTCGTGCTCTATAGGATCTCCGACGACGAACGGTCGATTGTCGTGGACGAGCGGTCGTCCGAGACAAGCTACGAAGCATTCCTCGGGAAGCTCACCTCGGCGGTCGACGGGGAAGGCCGCCAGGCACCTCGCTATGCGGTCTACGATGTGGAATATGACTTGAATGAGGACGGTCGCAGGTATGTCTCAGATGACATCTCGTTGGGGCAGACACAAGAAGACATACAAGAAATTTCGCTCGCTAACGACGGGTGTCCACGCAGAACAACAACGGTGTTCATCAGCTGGATGCCGGATGCCACGCCGATGCGGGTGAGTCATACCGTTCATCCTGTTTTGTGGGTAGCGGAGAACTGATGGTCTGGATAGCGCCGGATGCTCTATGCTTCGAGCAAGGAGCAGCTGCGAAGAGCGCTTGATATCAAGATCTCGATCCATGCGGATGACGTACATGATATTGAGTGGAGGACGGTTCTGAGGGAGGCGAGCGGTGGTCGGCTCTGATGACTTTACATATACCTATTTTGAGAATAATATTTACTATGCACGATAGTATTAGAAAATAGCTGTTTGTTGGACTGCTCTCGATCGCATCATCGTCGTCATCGTCGTCGAGGACATCCAGACCAGTTCCTTAACACAGTTGTTTCCACTACACCAAGCATTCATGTTTAGATGACGGTGGTGCAGCCTTCACCCTCCAAGTTAGTCCGCTATCAAGGACCGTGTCTGAAGAACAAGTCATCACCTGTGGGAGACTCCCGGATGAGAGCCTCGTAAACCTCCAGCAACGCAGGGTCCAAGGTCGACGGCGCGACGTCCCGCTCGTCAACCGCTCCCTCTGGTGCTGTATAATCCGCGCCCCAGAATTGATCACCATCATCATCGTCATCATCTACCCGCCGACCGCTCAGAGGCTTCTGATGTGGCAAATGCCCGTAGCCGGTTTTGAGAGACTTGACATAGTAGTGCTGCAGGGTATCGGCGGCCGTTCCGTCGGCCAGGTCCGACGAAGCCGGCAGGTCGCCGCCCAGGTCTAGTTTCTGAACGGCGGCGATCTTCCGGAACAACCGGTCGCAGATCAGAAAGGCGTTGCGGGCGCTGGAGCTCCGGTGGCCCATGGCCGACAGCCACCGCAGGAATTTCTTCGACACCTGCAGGATCGTCTCCGGTTCCTCGGCCGTGCCCTCGGCCCCCTGGCCTTCGCCTTCGGTGGTTTCGCCGCGTTCGGAGACCCCAACGGGGCCTACGCAGAGCTGGAGCAGGATGATGACTGATGCTTGCATCAGGTAATGCACGATCGACCACCACGGGGCCATCGTGTACAACCATCCCATGTCGGGCGCATCCGGCAGAATCGAGATCAGATCCATCGCGGACTGCAAGCAGACCAGCGATCGGTCATTGTCGAACCAGGAGCGGGGGCGCCGGGCGCCTGTTGCGTTCTTCGCCTCCGGCCGAGTGAGGCATGGCCGGTTCAGCACGATTTGCGTGCTGTAGAAGCTGAACGCCAACAAGACTTGTTCCCGACAGGTGGCGTGTCCAGTGAAGTGTCCCTGGCTATCGCTAAACGTCCAGGGCTCGTGGATGCATGAGAGCCACTCTGTCAGCTTGTACTGATACGCTTTGATCTGCTTGTGCGATTCGCTGCGCGTGCCGGGCAGCGACTGGAGACTGTACACCGCGCTGATCGCCGCATGGCTGATCACAGCGAGGTCGGTGGTGTAGAAGAAGAACAGTGAGCTGTTGGACCGCACGGACCTCAGCCACCGGGTCCGTTCCTGCAGCTGCTGGGGAGTCGCGTGCAATGTGAAGGGAAGTTCCTGCTCCTGGGCCTTCGTCCGCAGCAGACGGTCGGCTTCGTCCGACTCGTGGAGCTGGTCCTCATCGAAGGGGATCGGGGCGGTAACGCTGCAGCAATGCCAGTCAATGCACGAGGTGCGGCCGGTGGCCGTACAAAGTAACTGTTCCAGATCGACGATCGACCACCACAGCCGCGACCGGAATTCTTTCGACCCGGAATCCAGGTCGCGATCGATCACTCGGAGGTTGAGCCCCAATGCTATCGCTGAGCGGGCCGCGCAGCCCACCAGTTGCCATGATCTGTGGTGAGTTAGCTATGAGATAGAGGCGGCCTTTTGAGCGGAGGCTGCGCTCATGATAGATTATCTGCGGTGCAAAGGGGATTGAGCATACCGGCTGATCTGACCGGCACCCAGATAATACAGCGCAAAAAGCACTCGTATCTGGACCTGCTGCAGATCCACATCGTCCAGAACCGAACTCTGCTTCTCATTGAGCGCAATCGCTTTGGCAAGGAAGTTGCGGTCCTCGAGCTCTCCCTCCCAGTGCTCCTTGCGCAGCTGAAGGTGGGTGGCTCCAATGGCGAAGACTAGGTTGAGTATGACGAGCCAGCCTGGCCGAGGCGATGCCCAGCGACTGCCCGAGGCACTCTCGTACTGCGTGTAGAACAGTGACTTTAGTAGAATCGGAAACGATGTATGGGTGAACAAGAAGTAGGTGTCGAGCAGCTGGTCCGCCCACGGCTTCGGCGGCATTGCGTATAAGTCGCCGGCTTGGCTCGGTTCTGAAATCGCCAGATGGTCGAGGTGGTAATTCAGGGAGGAGAGATTTGCCTTATCAGGTTGGACGTGCTGCTCTGAATCCGACCCGCCTAGGCCGCTGACTTCGGCATCCAGTCTCTGGAGCCAGGCGATCTCCGAGCCTTTCCCTATGAACCCCGTGGACCTGCTCTGCCTGTCCCTGTTCACATCCACATTAAGCGTGTCGACTTCATCAAGCGAGCCCATCGACGAAGAGGATGAAGCCGAACGGGGTCGTTGGGGCTCTGCTGAGGCATGGGACCTTGATGGAAGAGCCTCCTAGTAACGAACTTAGTGGCTCTTTTCCAAATCTCCACGACAAGGGCTTACCTTCACGGAATCCGCAATGTAGTCCGAGACGTCCGAACCGAATCTTGTGGACAGATTTTGCGTCAGCCCTTCATAAAAGGCGACTCGTTCTTCAAGATCCTGATCGCCCAGTTAGCCTGTCGTGCCCTCATAATCATTCGAGGCACCCGTCTCAGACCTGAACCTTCTGCCGCGTGTGAGCTTCGATCTTCGGAACCAGGGTCGACCTATCTTGCAACAGCTCAAAGAGCTCCCCGAGCTCTGCGTTCTGGTTGTTCTCATACGCCACATGGATCCGATCGAGTAACAAGTGTGCGGAGCTCAGCTCCTGCTCGAACCGGCGCAGGGCCAGCTTTTTCCGTCTGTCGGACTCTTCGACGAAGCGACACTCGGTGCCGGTCTGAAGGCATTTATCGCAGGGGACCTCCCCCAGACACTTGACGGTCGATATCAGTCAAACAGCCTATCGAACAATGGCTGCGAGCACCCATACTTTGGTTTTCCGTCTTTTGCACGCTTCACAGGCATTGGATCGTTTCTTGATGGGCTTGACGTCGATGTCGGGCGCCACCGGGCTGATGCTGGGAGCGGGGGCCAGAGGCCTCAGAGCCTTCGGGTTTCTCGGACTATGGGATGTCATCTGTACCGTATCGCACCGGTTGGGGAGAATCAATTTTTGTTCTAGCCACTGCAGTAGAAGGAAGTGTTGTTGAAGAAGCGGAAAAGCACTTCCGACCAACTGAGGCGGGGTAGCACTTAGTGCTATGATGTCATCTCATAAGGCCTATCAGACAGACCATGGTTGGCCAATCACCTTTCTATCCGGGCTGTTTGTGGCGTAAACTCAGTTTATCATTTCTACTTCCAGAACGCAACTGCTTTTGGAACCAGTTGAGTGTAATTCTTCTGCTGTCTACTCAAACACTGTACCATATGTCGCTGCAATGAATGTGGAGAGGGGTCAATCCTGATGTATTGTCTTTACATACCCTGATATGTGATCCCTGCGCCTCTACATTCTATCTTTGCTGCTATTTCTTTGAACCAGTCTCACACGTTGACTGCCTTGACTAACTTGTTGGAGTGGAGTAGTCTAGATAGTGGCTAGTAGCTACCTAATAAGTTATAGTCGCATAGTCGGTTGTTGGTTGGTCCAGAACTGCGCTAGTGGCTCGTATGACCCGACGCACCCACGGAATTCTCTCCCTCCGAGTTTCGTCCGTGCCGACCTTCCTTCTCCATCTCTTGTATGAATACTCGCATCATCATCTTGTACTGTCTTCTGAGTCTGATTCTTCTGCTCGTCTCCTGTAACACCTACTCGGAACGCGCTTTGCAAGCAGCAGACTGTCAAGGTGGAGTTGCCCTTGCTGCTGGGGTACGTGTGTTCATCCTCTCTTTCAAGCGTCTAACCAACGCCAACTAACAGCCCCGTCTCAGTGATTGGATAGAAGGAGGGAGACTCTACATTCGCCGCAGCTGGGATTGACTCAATTATTCCGGCCCATATGAATCCGTTTAACAAAGCCGCTCTTGAATGGTGTCAGAATATCACCCATCATGAGATATCCTCTCCGGGTAACTCTCATCAAGGTCTGCCTTTCGACCATTCATTGATTGATTACCATTTCATCGTTTTCGTTTTTGTTTCGGGTCTGTTGAGCCTCAGTACAATGAGCCTATTCCCCTTCCTTCTTCTCCGCTTTCTGCAGTATTAACACACATTCACGACATCATCAGGAATTACTGTTTCTGCGGGGAGAAGACCCTGACTTTGCATTACACTACTCGACTTATATAATCACTATGTTGCCCCCCAAGACAAGTACTCAATGGCCCGGAGTCAGTGTTTCGGCTCGGTGTTATCGATCCGGGCCATTGTGTCACATTTGCTGGCCACCCTACTCATTCTTAGGAAGTGGGTTGTCTAAATGTTCTGTTCCATGCAAGACTGTGCTTTCTCCTAGCACATGTCTAGAACCACTTCAGCCTATTTCTGCGAGGTCATCATCCGTTGTTTTCTCTGGATGGGGCAGAGGATCACGGAAAGAGTGAAAACCTCGTGAACCTGTTCTCAAGGCATTTGAACGCAATGACAGACCCAGCTGCCCATTTCACCACCATTCCCATAGCTGTGGTGGGAATGGGCTGTAGGTTTGCCGGAGGCGCCACAGATCCAGAAGCCCTATGGCGAGTACTGGAGGAGAGAAGGAGTACCTGGTCCCCGATTCCCTCCTCGCGATTCGAACTTGATGGAGTCTACCACCCAAATGGCGAAAGATTAGGAACGGTGAGTAACGGAAGACGATCCAGTGCCATTCTTGATCGAAGCAATCACTGCTACTTGCCTGGAATATTGGGCCATTGACTGCGGGATTAGACGCACGTCCGCGGTGGCCATTTTCTAGACGAAGATCCGGCTTTCTTCGACGCGGCATTTTTTAATGTGTCAGGTGAAGTTGCCAGTGTATGTACCTTCCTCGTCTCAATGCATGGATGAAACTAACGGTGAATGTGAAAACCGTGCCCAGTGCACTGACCCGCAGCATCGGCTCATACTTGAAGTCGTTTACGAAGCGCTAGAAGCCGGTAGGTGTCTTTCCACCATCGAATTTCTCCTTTCTCTACGTTGATTCGAATCTCGCAGCCGGAATCCCCATCGAAAGTGTGGCCGGTTCAAACGTCGCAGTCTTTGCGGGCACAATGTCTCACGACTATCAGGATTCATTTTATCGCAGCCCGGAAGCTCTTCCTAGATACCTCGTCACGGGCAATGCGGGTACAATGGTGGCGAACCGCGTCTCCCACTTCTATGACCTTCGCGGCCCCAGTGTCACGATTGATACCGCATGTTCGACAACGCTGACTGCCCTTCACATTGCAGTACAAAGCTTACGAGCCGGGGAGGCAAAGATGGCCATTGTGACGGGGGCAAATTTGATGTTGAACTCCAACATTTTCACAACCATGTCCACTTTAGGGTGAGTGTGTATTTGCCGACGCTGTGCCAGTACATGGTCAGTATCAAGAGCGCGTTTCGTACTGATCTGGCGCACGGCCGAGGAGACAGTTTCCTGTCGCCCGATGGGGTATCATACTCGCTCGATTCGAGGGCAAATGGATATGGGCGTGGCGAGGGGGTGGCTGCCGTCGTTCTGAAGCCCCTGTTTCGTGCGCTGCAAGATAATGACCCGATACGGCTCGTCATCCGCGAGACAGCGCTCAATCAAGATGGCCGGACACCCGCGATCAGTGCTCCGAGCGCCAAGGCACAGGAGCAGCTGATCCGGGAATGCTATCGGTAGGCCGGGCTGAGCCCGAGGCAAACATCGTACATCGAGGCGCACGGTACAGGGACCCCAGCCGGCGATCCACTCGAGCTGCAAGCCATTTTGGCGGCGTTTGACGGTCAGCCCATGTACATCGGCTCTGTTAAAGCCAGCTTTGGACATACTGAAGCTACCAGTGGCTTGGCAAGTCTCATCAAGATGGCTATGGCATTAGAAAGAACCACGATACCACCGAACGCAAGCTTTCTGCAACCCGACGAGGCATCAATTGGGAGCACAAATCTTCAGGTACTGCTGCAATTGCTCTGTGGTTAGATATGAAACCTCAGCTAAATCAACTACGGCTTCTACAGATTCCTTTCTTTCGTCAACCTTGGACCCTGGTGGACGGATCTCGTCGTGCATCAATCAATAATTTCGGGTTTGGTGGCGCAAATGCTCATCTGATCGTCGAACGCTATGAGCCTTCGGAGGAGATGTCACCGACTCCAGCCAACGGCTTTTCCCAACTATGCGAACTATGCGACAGTCACGTGGAAGGGGATCATCCAGGGCGGATCTATGTCTTAAGTGCTAAGGATGAGCGCAGTTGCCAACGAATGATGTCGAGGTTAAGTGACTACCTCACCAATAGCAAGCCGACTGATGAAAGGCAATTTCTTGCAAACCTAGCGCACACGTTGGCCTCACATCGCTCGAGCTTCCGGTGGAAAGCCGCCTGTGTGGCACGGAATCTGGCGAGCCTGGCCTCAAAACTAAGCAACGAGGGGACCAGGCCTCGGAAATCAGCTGAAAAAGTAAGGCTGGGGTGGGTTTTCACCGGTCAGGGAGCACAGTGGTTTGCAATGGGTCGCGAGTTGATTAACTCTTACCCTGTCTTCAGGCAGACACTGCTTGAGTGTGACGAGTACATTAAGGAGATAGGCGCGAATTGGTCCATATTAGGTAATTTCCAGAGGTGGTCATAAAACACAGCCTGTGGGCAGGAGTGACACTGACTACCGCATTATAATAGATGAACTTAATCGCGCTGAAGCGGAGAGCCGTGTCAATGAGGCCAGAATCAGCCTGCCATTGTCCACATCGATTCAGATCGCTCTTGTCCGCCTGCTCTGGTCATGGAATATCTGTCCAGTAGCCATTACCAGCCACTCCAGCGGAGAGGCTGCAGCAGCTTACGCTGCCGGGGCCATATCAGCACGGTCGGCCATTGGGATCAATTATACACGCGGTATCCGCTTAGCAGAGAGTCAGGCGGTATCGTCTTCTCAGGGAGGCATGCTGGCTGCGGCATTGAGTCGCAAGGAGATTGGCGACTACATCGACCGGGTTCGACAGGAGGAAGAGTGCTTAGTGGTGGCATGTGTCAACAGTCCGTGCAGTGTGACAATCTCGGGTGATCTTGCTGCGATTTCAAGGTTGGAGGAGTCATTGAATGCTGATGATATATTTACCAGACGCGTCAAGGTCACCCATGCATTCCACTCTTGTCACATCCATGCGATGGCGGATGCTCTCCCGGACTCCCTGGCGGCTATCATTGAAGCAGACGTCAGGAACACCATAAAGCCTTGTCACGGTGTGATCTACACGTCTCCAAGAACCGGGACGCGCTTTGCCGACATAAGTCATCTCCGGGATCCCACGCACTGGGTGTTGGGCATGAAATATTGTGTGGAGTTCGAATCTGCATTCCGTGCGATGTGTATAGATGAAGAGCTTCAAAGACAAGAGATCGATAAGATCATCGAGGTCGGCCCCCACGGGGCCCTCGGCGGTCCCATTCAGCAGAACTTGCAGCAAATCCCGGAGCTTGCCGCGCTGGATATTTCTTACGTCTCCTGCCTGGCAAGGGGAAAGAGCGCCGTGAACACCATGCAACTTCTCGCTGTGGATCTTTTCCAAGCCGACTATAACGTCGATCTGAAAGAGGTCAACTTTCCACGTGGGAGTGAAGCCGCAACACTTCAGGTCCTGGTCGAGCTGCCTACCTATCCCTGGAATCACCAGACGAGGTACTGGAAAGAACCGCGCAATAGTAGAGCTGCCCGGCGGCGCACATCTCCTGTAAGTGATCTGATCGGATTCCAGGAGCCCTTGTCTCCCCCTTTTGCGCGGTCATGGCAACATATCCTCCGGGTCTCCGAAGTGCCCTGGCTGCGTGACCACGTCATAGGCTCGCACATCGTGTTTCCCGGCGCCGGATTCATTACTATGGCTATTGATGGGCTGTCTCAGCTCTGTCAACCCGATACCAATTCAGACGTGAGCTTCGTCCTCCACAACGTCGACCTGGCCCAGACGCTGATTTTACCCGCGGACGGAGACGAAGGGGTGGATTTGCGTCTAACTCTCCGTGCCACGGATCAGAAGAGTCTCGGAAACCGGGACTGGCAGGAGTTTTCGATCCATTCGATCGTCGGGGCAAAGGACGAATGGGTGGAGCACTGCACAGGGCTGATTCGCATCGAGGCCAATGATACTTCTAGAGATCTTTCTAGTAGACAAAGCACGAAACTTCCGCCATGGAGCCGGAGGACGGCGCCGCGGGACTTGTGGTCCTCGCTACATGCTACTGGGATTTGCCACGGACCTTTGTTCCGGAACATCGCGCGTATTGAGAGCGATGGGCAGGGAGAGTCGTGGTCCACTGTGACCGTCGCTGATACAGCGAGCGCAATGCCGCACGCCTACGAGAGCCAGCATGTTGTACATCCCACGACGCTAGACTCAGCAATTCAGGCGGCCTACACTGTGCTCCCCTTTGCTGGAACACGAATGGAAACCGCCATGTTACCCCGACGCGTTGGCCGCGTGAAGATCCCGGGCAGGCTCGCCGGACTGAAAGCGGGCGATCAGCTGTGCGTACAGGCAATGATGCTGGACCAAAGTCCTTGTGCGTTTGAAGCTGATGTAGCGGTATTCACTGAGTCGAATTCGCCGCTCGATGCCGTCATCGAGTTGAAAGGGCTCACGTTTCAGGCTGGAATCTGCGATCGCAAGCGGAATTTGGCTCAACAGGATAGTATCCGTAGCTCCTGGCATTGGGCCCCGGACATTACGCTCATCAGCCCCGCGTGGCTTGAGAAGGCTTTGAATGTCGAGACTCGGCCTGAGGAAGTGGAGATCATGTTGGAGCTTCGACGGTGCACGGTACACTTTATCCAAGAAGCCATATGCGATCTGCTCATGGAGGATGCTGCACTGTTGAGCGGCAACCTCTCCAGGTTTTATGCCTGGATGCAGGCCCAGTTAGTATGCGCCACGAATGGGGAGTTAGGGCAAGACAGCACTGAATGGCTGAGAGACAATAAAGCGGCGAGACTAAGCCTGCGCTCCCGGGTGGCTGCCAACAGTACCAACGGCGAGATGGTCTGTCACCTGGGGCCCAAGCTTCCAAAGATCCTTCGTGGCGAGGCTGACTCTCTCGAGTTGATGATGGAAGGTCACCTGCTATCTCGATACTACGGCGAGTCAATCAAATGGAGTCGGTCTAACGCACATGCCAGCGAGCTCGTGCGCCTCTGCTGCCACAAGAACCCGCGCGCTCGCATTTTAGAACTTGGCGGTGGAACTGGAGCTTGCACAGGGCATGTTGTAGACGCCTTAGGGCCCACGAAGCCGGTCGGCCGCTACGACTTCACGGATGCCTCCGCCGCGTTCTTTGAAGCGGCGCGCATGCGATTCTCAGGATGGGAGGACGTTATGGACTTCCGCCGGCTGGACATCGAGACCAATCCCGCCGCGCAGGGCTTCGATTGCGGATCTTACGACGTGGTGTTGGCGTGTCAGGTTCTTCATGCCACGAGCAACATGCGGCGAACATTGGATCATGTGCGCCAGTTGATCAAGCCCGGCGGCAAGCTCGTTCTCGTTGAAACTACCCGAGATCAGCTTGATGAGTTTTTCACTTTTGGCCTCCTGCCCGGTTGGTGGCTCGGGGAGGAGCCAGAACGCCAGTCTGGCCCTTCACTCACTCCTGAGATGTGGCGCAGTGTGCTTGATGCTACTGGATTCAATGGCGTGGAGTTTGAGGCGCGTGACTGCGATAGCGAGGAGTTCTACATGATTAGCACCATGATGTCCACGGCAGTTCCGGTGTCTTGCTCGGATAAACAGACTGAGATCCTTGTGGTTCATCTGGATCCGCCTCCGTCAATGGATTGGGCTCATGAACTCCAGGTTGCCCTTGGGGAGAGGAACACTTCCCTATCCTCACTAAAGGAGCTGGATGGTGGCTCTGAGGTTGACGGGAAGATGTGCGTGTTCATAGGGGAGGTTGAACATTCAATGCTTGAATGCGTGACAGAGGATGGATTCAAACTCCTGACTTCAATGCTACAGATGAGCAGGGGAACGCTATGGGTCACTCGTGGAGCAGCCATGGACTCAGAGAACCCATGGAAGGCCTTGCACCTGGGGCTGCTACGCACCCTCCGCAACGAGAATCCAGGCAGCAGACTTGTTTCCTTGGACCTTGACCCCCGAAGCGAGCCTTGGACGGCTGAATCTTGTAATGCCATTGCAAATGTCTTGAGTGCCTCTTTACTTGGTTCGTCGCAGGAGAAGGAGTTTGATTACGCGGAGCGAGACGGAGTCGTGTTTGTGCCTCGCATGTTCAGCGATCCAACCCCAACCGACAAGAAAGATTCCGTTGTCATGGAGCGATTTCAAGATGAGAAACAGCTGTTCCGATTAGACGTGCAGACTCCAGGACTGCTGGATTCTCTCCACTTCCGCATGGATCTTGCAGACGCAGTTGGGACCAATGAACCGTCAAATGACTGGGTGGAGATTCAGCCGAAAGCGTTCGGTCTTAACTTTCGTGATATTCTCGTGGCCATGGGCCAGCTGGAAAGCGATCGCGTTATGGGCTTTGAATGCGCTGGTATAGTTACGAAGTTGAGCAAGGAAACGCCGATAACAGCCCAACGATGTCTCGCAGTCGGAGACCGGGTATGCGCCTTGATGAAAGGGCAGTGGACGTCCAAGGTGCGAACAGCCCGCACCAACGTTGTTCGTATCCCAGAAACCTTGAGCTTTGGTCAAGCGGCTTCCATCCCACTAGCGTTTACCACAGCCTACATATCTCTCTACACTGTTGCTCGGCTTCGACGCGGTGAAAGAGTGCTTATACACAGTGGGGCGGGGGGAGTCGGCCAAGCGGCCATCATTCTCGCTCGGTTAGTCGGAGCTGAGGTTTTCGCCACTGCTGGAACGCAAGCAAAGCGCGATTTTCTCATCGATAAATTCGAGCTAAGCCCCGACCATGTCTTCTCGAGTCGAGACTCCAGCTTTCTTGCGGGCGTCCAATCCTGCAGTGGGGGAAAGGGTGTGAATCTGGTGCTCAATTCGCTCTCCGGACCTCTCCTGCAAAGCAGCTTCGACTGCCTGGCTGACTTTGGCCGCTTCGTCGAGATTGGCAAGAAGGACCTCGAGCAGAATAGCTGGCTTAGCATGGCGACTTTCGCGCGAAATGTCTCATTCTCCTCAATCGATATCCTATATTGGCAAGAATCCAGGTCGGCTGAAGTCTCCAGGGCATTAACAGAGGTCATGCGGTTGCTCGAACAAAAGACCATAGATCTAGTTGATCCAATCTCCGAGTACCCTATATCGGCCGTTGAAAAGGCATTCCGTACTATGCAGAGCGGGCAGCACGTTGGGAAGATTGTGGTGACTACAACCGGGGCGGACATGGTTCCCGTCCACTGGTGTGATATGCCCTTCGTGTTGAAGCCTGACGCATCGTACCTCGTCGCTGGCGGGATGGGTGGTATTGGAAGCCGGATTTGCGAGTGGATGGTGGAGCGGGGAGCACGGCATTTACTGATTCTATCCCGGAATGCGCGTACGCAACCATTTGTGACTGGCCTCCAGCAGCGGGGCTGTACCGTACGCGTAGATGTCTGTGACATAGCCGATGAGGGCCGACTTCAGGCAGTCCTTCGACATTTTCAGGAGGATGGCATGCCGCCAATTCGAGGCGTCATCCAGGCGGCCATGGTGCTCAAGGACGCCCTTGTCTCGCAGATGACGGCAGACGACTTTCATACCGCACTACGCCCGAAGGTTCAGGGCAGCTGGAATCTCCACAATATTGCACCAGACGTGGACTTCTTCGTTATGCTCTCGTCTCTCGCGGGGGTTATAGGTGGCGTGGGACTCGCCAACTATGCGGCCGCCGGGGCGTTCCAGGATGCGCTTGCGCAGCACCGGACGGCTCACGGAAAGCACGCTGTAACTATTGACCTCGGGATGGTCAAGTCGATTGGCTATGTGGCGGAGGCTGATCCAGCTGTGGCAGGACGACTGACCAAGATGGGCTATCAGGCCATGCATGAGGCAGAGGTCCTGGCCGTGCTCGAGCAAGCCCTGCAAACGTCTTCGATGTCGCCCGCGTTATTTTCCCATGTATTCACATCGCCCGCTGTGATCGTCACTGGCATCAACACGAGCCCCGGTCCCCACTGGACCGACGCTGACTGGATGCAAGAGGCGCGCTTTGCAGGCATCAGGTACCGCGAGCCCGTGCGAGGCCACCAGTATGGTGCATCATCGACCGTCCCGGTGAATGAAGATAGCCTTCGCAATCAGGTGAGCCGTGCAACTACCCAAGAGGAGGCCACTGCGCTGGTGGTGCAGGCGATCGGGCAAAAGCTTGTGGCCATGTTTGGTCTTGCTGAAGCTGAGATGCCTGCCAACCGAACTTTGGCCGGGGTAGGCTTTGATTCACTCGTGGCAATTGAGCTGCGCAACTGGATCACCGCCCAGCTGAACGTGGATATCTCTGTATTTGATCTGATGAAGGGAAGGACAATTGCGGAGGTGGCGGAGGTGGTGATGAAGCGGTGCATGGGAGCTCGTCAGCAATGAGTGAACTGTGTCAGGGTTGTTGGCTGCCGGACGGAATGAGCGAGCGAGAGACTGCATTTTGGAGAGTTCTTTTGTTTCCACAGTTGATCAGTCTGGGCCGTGAGCATAACAAATAAGACAGGACATTTTTTTGCACAGAACATTCCAGACAATGCTGCGGCATAGAGGCTCTATCTGTATGTCCTTGTCATTCCGAGCCTCGAGAATACTCTCGCTTGGATGATCAGTGTCAATAACCACCATTCTGTCTCTTTTTGCCCTGAGTCTCAATTCCGAGTCAGGCTCACACTAGTCATGAACTCAGAACCCCGACGATACAAGCCCACCTTAGTGAAACTTAATCAAACTAGACGCTCGCTTCCGCCGCCGCAACCCAATGCCAATCTCTCTGGTACGATATGATCAAAAATTCCTGACTAGGATGACCGGCAGAATGAGGAACATCGTGACAATTGACACCGTCGCGAGGATGAGTCGAGGGTATTGCCGAAGTAGAGCAATGGCAGGCTTGGTGACGGGAGACACCGCGCGCAAGGCCACATACACCACCCGCGCTGGGAGACGGATCCAGGCTCGATCATCCCCTTGACTGTTGAGTATGACTGGTCGTAGTGGATTATTTTCCGTTTTTCTGGGGGACCTAGTCCGAGATAGCCTCGCTTCTGATCGATCACAGGGCAAGCCTGTTCTACCAACGGGATCCAGTCGACGGTTTCGGGGATTTGGGTTTCCAGTGTGGACTTGATGCCCCCTTACCTCATTTAAGGAGTCTATCTCATTCAGGCGAAAAAGGAGCCCTCAACATCAAAACCCAAGATTAACTGGATGCACTTCCTTAAGGCACAACAGCTCGGTATCAAAGGAGCAGGAACTAAGGCCACTATTCTCTGGCTAAATATCCGACTGGGAGCCGAGCGAACGGATACCAGGAAGGAAGCGGTAGCTCTCGCCTGAGCTCATTCTTGGGGCTATCTAGACACGTTGTCTTTCATCAGCGAATCGCTCATTCGAAAGCGGTATACTAAGCACTTCAGCTTCACACTGCTTGGAACAACACGGCCACGACCTACAGCGAATAGTATTATTGTCCTGTCGAGTCGGTTGAGCCAAAATATCTTGTTGATGCGTGCTAATGTTCTCTCAAATCTTGTCCCCATTGTATGCTTACCCGACTTGTCGGAGACGAGACAATGCACGGTACCATCACAAAGAGCTGCTCGTTGGAGAAAAAAGGAAAACACAGTTGCATTAGGCTATCGAAGCCAAATCCGGTAGAAATAATCCATCCAAGATTATGCATTCGGCAATCCTTCGACGACCTACAGATCTAATATGCGTCGTCTGGAAGACCGTGCAAAACCACCCTCACCATCTCTACCCTGAAGCTCCCCATATCCTCTCCGGTCAACTGGCTCTTGGGGAGTGCCGCTGAGTCTTGCCTGACGGGTTCGAGCATTATTTTCCAAGACGTCGTTGAAAGACTCAGTATCAGTCAAGTTGGCTACGCCAGGCATTGCATACTCTCCCGGTGGCCTCGCATGTACAACTGGATGCTCCTGCGATGGTCCTCGAATACTCTGGTGAAACTCGAAGGAATTATTGGGATCGTACGTCTGCTTCAGCGTTCGGAGTCTGGGATAATTTGCGCCGTAATATGCTTCCCACCAGTTGCCCAATGTGTTATCGATGAAATTGACATAGGCCGCTTTTTTGTCGATGGCAAATCCCTTGAGCTTGTCTCGGAGAGTTTGCACGTGTTCGATCATTTCCTTTTCCTTTGTTTCGTCGGTCCAGCTGGTCTTCAGCGAAAGCACATACTCTCCCTTTCGCCAGGGAAACGCTGTAGCATCTGCGGGCTGTCTTTCGGTCTGTTTTCCAATATGATCCCAGAGAACGTGACATTCGCCATCCTCGTGATGCGGCTTTGCTGGTCGCGGTCAGTGCAGAGAAGGATCTTGCGCATATCGATCTGAACAGCAACCTCCCCTGTGCGAAGGGCTGGATCGAGATTGGGAAGCTTGCCAATAACATCGGTATGCGCGAGATGGAGGTTGAGCTGCTGGCGGGAGGGTAGGAAAGTGCTTCGAGTCTTTTTACCGTCTTGTTGTTGTGTTAGGATATTCTTCACAAATAGTTCCAAAATATAAGTTTTGTTGGTCAATGACAAGGAAATACAACTATAATCAGCTGTATAAAGAATTGTTTTCATCAGCATTAAACCTTTCCGCCTCACAACACTATCAAAAGGGCTCTCCTTGCGCCTAGCCCTAACTCATCCGAACTTCCCCTACAAACACCCCCCTTCACAAAACAATTTCCAAACAACAGAACACAGAAAAGCGAAGTTATTTCAAATAAATAATATTCAACCTATCACGCGATAGGACCTAAGAAATAGAAGCCCGGGGGGAGCGGGGCGGCAGAGCAGCAACAGCAGCAGCCCCGAAGCCCATCAAAGACAAGCCCACGGAGAAACACCCTCACCACCACCATCACCACCACCCTCACCCTGACCCTCACCCCTAGCCTCAGCATAACTCCCCTGTCCTCCCCCCCAAACCCCCCGCCAAGTCCCCCACTGCTCCATCTCCCTGGGCAAATCCAGCCTAAGAGCAGCATACCGCCCCCTCTCGAACGGCAGAATAACCGCCTCCATGACCTCCACGCAGATGCGATAGCCCTCGACCACAAACCACCCGCCGCCGCGCGAGATCGACGGGCGCGTCATCCACCCCTGCGGGAACAGCGACGCCCCATGCTCCAGCAGGAACTTCCGGTGGTGGGCGGTCGTGCGCCACAGCCCGAGGCACACGTCGCCGGGCCGGAGGCCCGCGTCCTCGTGCTGCGTGCCCGCAAAGCTGGCGAGCAGGTCCAGGCAAGCCCGCGCCTCAGCACCGCCGATGCAGCTGACGCACAGCGCGTGCTGGCAGGGCGGCGGCCCGGCGCCCACGATGCCGGGGTGGGCGTGGGCTTCGAGGTGCCGTCGGAGGCGGTCGATTAGGCTGTCGCGCGCTTCGAGGAGGGGGATGCGTCTCTTGGGGGGTCGGGGGTTGGGGTGCGGGTGCGGGTGCGGGTGCGGGTGCGGGTGCGGGTCTGGGTTGAAGTAGGGGTACGGGGAAGCCTGGGGTTCGGGTTGGGACTCGGGTTGGGACCTGTTTCCTCCTCTTTTTGCGCCCTTTCGCTTGGAGGGCATTTTGGGGTGATCTTGAAGTCGAGTGATGTCTACGATCTTGCTCTCAAGGGTCGAGGAGGCGAGGGGTTCGGACGAGGTGAAGGAGGTGGGGGGCGTTGGGTGGATGGATGGGAGTACTTATATTCTTTGGGGTTTGGGGACAGGGCTTTGTGGTGAGGGTGTGGGATGGAGATGGCCTGGCTATGGCTTTGTTGGGTCGAGGGTCGGTTTGGGATGCTTGTGTCAGAAGTGGGATCTTACGGTATTTGTGAAAGGGTGGTCGAGTTTAATGAGAATGGCGTTGTGAGGGTGAGGAGGACTCCGATTCATGTATAATAGCTGCACTTGTGCCCCTGTTGGGATCTCGCGGTGCAGGAATCTAGGTTGGTGGGGATACTTGCGAGCATCTGCGTTCGAGGGATGCAGACGTTTTGGATCTCAATTGGCAATAGCCTTCATCAAGCAACTTATGAGAGTACAAGAAGAACTGGGGTGCTTATCAGAAACTGTGATTGTGATCATCCAGCACAACATCCAGCACAGGAAGAAACAAAAGTATATATCTCAAAGGAAAGCAAAATAGGGTACCTGAGTTGAAGAAAAACACAACCATGGTACAAATGGCACAAGGGATGGAAAGGATCCTACGCCGGTCTAGGATGACACCGCCGAGGGGGGAATATAGTGATAAATCTCTACTTGACAAAATATAGTAGGTTTATACTAGGTATCTTCACAAATGTATAGGAAACTAACATTTAGCTCATCGGCTACGCTACGTTACATTAAGCTTTCTATTAGCGTACCACCCTATAATATTGAATCTAACCACATTGGGCACCAGTATCTTCTTAATCTAAAAATCCCTGCGCAGGAGGCAGGCATCAAGTATCTCAGACACCAGTGACAGAAGGCTCAAAGCTAGATTGCAATGTTCTAAGCTGTTAGGAAATCGAGTATTGATATAAGCATTACTGTAATTGCTGAGTAAAATGATTGTACGCATTGTACATCTTTTGTACTGAGAATCCCAGCGAGCAAAGCGCAATGCACTCATCATTCCGCTCTCGAAGGCTTATGTCACTGCTAGGTTATATACCACCCCCTATATCATTACTACAAGAAACACGTCTGGGTGGCGCAATTGGTTAGCGCGTACGACTGTTAATCGTGAGGTTGAGAGTTCGATCCTCTCCCTGGACGCTTTCTTTTTTGTGCAATTTTGGGTTCTCCATCCTCCAGTAGTGTTGGCAGTGAGAAACAAGTTCTCGCCTCAGTAGCAAGAACCACCAGGCTGGACTCCAACCAGAAACGTTCAGGTGTGTTTTTACATACCCATTGATCCTGATAGCGACCCACCTCACCAACGTTGGATGATGTTATGGAGATCGACATTAGCACCCCGGCCCTTCGAGTCATCCATTTTCGAACGAGTGTCTGCCTCGGGCTCGATACACAAAGAAAATATATAATCAGCTTGGAACCGCTTTGGCCAAGCACTCCCGTCTAAATCTAAGACCAGAGATACAATCAAACAACCCACTAATTGAACAGGTGGATATATTAAGAAAAATAAGAGATCCAGTGTACTGTATACATCAGACAGGAAATCCGAGATGGCCAATTCTAGCATATCTAAACAGTAACCCGAATCCGGTCTATCATTCCGTACACAAAGAAGAAACAAATGAAAAGATATCAGATAGTACTTTTGCCCCGGTGGATGAAGATCACTTGCGTCGGTGGTGCAAGTCTCTTCCCAGATGTTCCAAGCCACCAGAGCCGAGGGGCATTGCTTGCAGTAAGCAGTTGACAGTCGAGTCGACAAATAGTCATATAAAAGGCGTCAAGAAGAAAGGTGAGTGCGGAGAGAAACAGAGGGCGGTATTAGAAAGAGCAAGTTCCTCGCTGCAAAATGTTCATAGGCGTAGCATGTCTGCTGATAGTAATACACTGTAGTCTAATGCCGGCGGATTTACTCCCGAGACACGTCACGACCAAAGGCCTTGGCCTTGATCCAGTCCATAGCGACCAGGAGACGGTTGCGAGCTAGAGGATGGGTCAGTTTAGATTATAAAACCGTAGCACAAGGACACTTACTGCTGAAGCACATGCTCAGGTAAGCACTGCGCCAGAAGAGGTAGGTCATGGTACCACCACTGGCAATGTTGCCGCTCAGCCAGCTGATGTCGGCAACAGCACGCTCCTTACCAATGTAGGCCAGACTGCCCTGGTGAGAGTACTGGAAGGGACCAATCTGCTTGGTTCTCCGCAGCTGCTTCTGACGCTCGCGGATCTCGTCGAAGATCTGGTTGCGCTCCTCGTCGCTCTTGGCCGTGGCCTGGGCCTCCGACAGCTGCTTCAGCTCAGCCTCGACATTCTCCGTCTTGGCCATGGTGTTGAACAGGCGGGCGAGGAAAGCACCCTCCTGACTGGCAACCTGGGCAGTAGGAGCATAGTTGGTGATGGCGCAGTCGCCGACAGCCCAGACGTTCTCGGCGCCGTTCACGACCAGGTACTCGTTCACAGCCAAGCCGCGGCGGGAGTTCTTCTGAGCGGGCAGCTGGCTCATTAAGTCGCGAACAACGGGGCGGACAGCGTTACCGGTGGCCCAGACCAGCAGACCGTAGGGGATCTTCTCCAGGGTCTTGGTGCCGTCGGGGTTGGTGACCTCAGCCTCGATGAACTTATCGGTCACGTTCTTGACCATGGTCTTGGCGCGGATGGTGATCTTCTCCTCCTTGAAGGTCGACTCAGTGTAGTCGATCAGCTGCTTGGAGAACATGGGCAGAACGTTGGGCAGGGCCTCGACCAGGGTGACGCGGAAGTTCTCCTGGATCTCGGGGACCCACTTCTTCAGGTCCTCCTCGAAGAAGTCCTGCAGTTCACCGGCGAACTCGACACCGGTCGGGCCACCACCAACGACGACCATGTGCAACAGGCGCTTGACCTCATCGGGGGTTTGATCCTTGAACATGGCAGTTTCGACGCAGTCCATAATGCGCTTGCGGATCTTCTGAGCATCATCGACCTCCTTCAAGAAGCAGGAGTGCTCCTTCACACCCTTGATACCTGTTTCGCATCAGTCTCCGTTATCGCTGCGCGATCCAGATCGGATCACCTACCGAAAGTAGCGTTCTCAGCACCAACACCGACGACCAGCATGTCGAAGGGCACCTCGGTGTGAGAGATCTCGCCCTTAATCTCAGAATCATCGCTGATGGAGATGACGCGCCTCTCGTAGTCGATCTTGGTAGCCTCGGCTTCGTAGAACTTGACGTGGGCCTTCTTCTGGCGGAGGATGTTGCGGATGGGCTCCATGATAGAGCGGTGCTCGACCTGTCCCGTCGTGCAGGAGGGGAGGAGAGGGGTGAACAGGAAGTAGTTGCGGGGCGAGATGACGACGACATTGTAGTTCTCAGTGTCGAGCTTCTTCAACAGGGAGACGGAACCCCATCCGGAACCTGTCGAACGAGATGCTTGTTAGCTGCTGTCTAGCCTCCGCGAGCGATCGCGTCGCACTGAAGAACGAGAAGCCTTACCCAGGATGACCAGAGTCTTCTTGGTCGGGTCGGGTTCGATCTGGTCGACGGGGTGGCACGAGTCGTAGACGCTGTAGGCCAGGTAACCCACCAGACCCAAGGAGCTCACCCAGGTCAGGCGCCAGGTCCAGCGCAAGAAGCCAAAGCGCTTCTTGGGCTTAGGGGCGGGCAATGCGGGTTGAGAAGCATCGGCGTAGGCGCGACGGGTGGAGCGCTGGAACTGCTGCTGGGAGAATCTCAAGGGACGTGCGGACCGGAGGAGCTGGGGTCGCGTCGAGAGCGACCTGCGCGACAGCGACGACAACTGCATAGCGGCGGATGGGGAAGCCATCTTGGACCGGATAGCCAACGTACTTCCAACCATTGTCGCACCTGAGCCAGAAGGCAAAGGGAAAAAAAGGAAGGGAAGGGGGGAGGAGTGGAGAGGGGGGTTGTGGGTGGGTTGTGGTTGAGTTATTGAAAGAGAGAGGAAGAAGCGATTCACAGGATGATAACAGTCCGACAGGCCTCAAAAGTGACTAGAGCCGAAAAAAATTGGGCAAAAGCACGAGTCACTGGGATGACTGAAAGAGGTCGATGACGGTTAAGCTGTTTTGGGCGAGCCGGTGTGTCGGTGGGAACAGTGGAAAGAGTGGAAAGAGTGGAAACCGGGACTGGAGGATTTTGTCGCAAGGCGGAAATTTGCTCGATCTGGCAGTGAAGGCAATTTTTCCTCTTCGGTGGCTGGTCAGCTTTCAGCAAGAAAAGTGGATTCCGAACCCTCCGGTCGGCGGGCCAAGGTTTTTATCTGCTTGTACTCCGTAGTTTTTGTGTAATCTCTGGTTGTTGCACTGGCTCGTCTCCTCCGTCAATCGAATGGTATGTAGTCTAATCAATACTTGTTGGTCAGCATTAATTGGGGAAGAAATATGCAGAAAAAAGAAACAAGTTGGAGATGGAGTCGTGAGGGGGAAATGGCTCACTCCGTGAGGAGAAAAGAAGAGATCGTGAGGGGGAGAGAAAGACGGGTCAACACGGAAAGTGGGCTGGAGACTTGCCTCTTATCATTCTGCCTTGATTCTTCACATGCCAGTCATTCTATCGAGGTCACCGGTGTCGGTTGTGTGGCATTGTACCGATGCGTGATGAAGCGATGGAGATGTGAAGCGACAATGTAGATAGATAGTCAAGCTGTATTATTCTCTCTTCCGCCGGCTAAGCGTATGGCTTCCTTCCTAATCCGGTAACTTCAGCCCAGCTACCTCCTGGATGACTAAGCTCAGCTCGGGCGCGCCGAGGCAAACTAGGCAAACTAGTCAAACTACTAAGTACGGTTCTTCCCGAATCTTGTGTTTTAGCCCGGGTTCTTCCGGATCTAGACCATTTGTTCTGTTCTTTGGATGGCTTTGACCATGCCACATGCCACCACCATGGCCAAAGGATCCATAAACGCTCTTCAGAATCCGGGGTAAACTACCTCTGGATCCACTTGTTTGGAGAGGCTAGGGTAGTGTGACGCAAAATGAGACATGGTCTTCAGCAATGCCGCACTGGCTAATTGATTCTACTGACTGAGCTGAGTTCCAGTGAATCTTTATATATACGGCGTATCCATAAACTCCCTCCCAACCCACCCGCAACCCATCCTACTCTCCTTCGTCATCACCACCATCAAGGCCCTGCTACAAGTGCACGAAACGCAATCACACGCAGAACTCTTTACCCGAATCCATGGTATCAGAAGGTAAAGTCCTTCACCACCTTCTTTGGCCGAACGGGGGTGCCTCCTCCACCATTGACACCACCACTGCAACCATCAGCAACATCAGACTTACTGCCCTGTTTCTTACACCGCAACAGATCCTCCCTCTTATTCTGCAAATGCCCCCAGAGCTTGTGCTTCGGTCCCAGACCTTGTCCGCCAAAGTCGTACAGCAGTTGCGCGATCTCCTCCGAAATCTGCAGGGCATCATCCACCCGCCCTTGATCCTCATAAGAGTGGAGGAGAAACCACATGGCTTGGACTAGATTGAGCAGTTTGTGCTACTGTGTGGCCATCAAGTGATCAAGAAGAGAGGTGGTATTGGTACACCGAAGTGGCTAGACGCGAGAGAGGCAAAGAGCATCCATGTACTTACTGCGATCCGTATGCTCCCCATCCGCCCGTTTAGACTGCTCATATCTCTGTTTGGAGACGACATCGACCCAGATGGCCTGCGCCTCCGCATGCCGTTCTTGACGCCAGTACAGATGCCCGAGCCACGTGCGGGCCGCCAGGGTCCCGAGGTGGTTTGGGCCCAGATTTCTCTCGGCCTCTGCGAACCGATCCGTCGCGGTCTGGATCTTGGCCACAGTGAGGTTGGATTGGAGGGTCAAGGGGTGTTCCCGGCCCAGAGTCTGGGTGCGGATCTGCCTCACCTCCTCGCTCATCTGCAGCGCGAGGGGCAGGTGCTCTTCGCCCAGAAATCCATAGCTACTCGCCAGGTTATCCTGAGCCTCCAAGACCTGGGAATGCCTGGGGCCTAGGGTCTCTCGCAGCCCCTCGTAGGCCCGATACTGTAGCTCGAACGCCTTCTCATCGCTCCTCGATTCGAGGCCAACGTATATCATCTCATATGATGAGTACACACTCAAATTGGACGATGCATGGTCACGGTCATTCTCCTCGCGTGCACGCGAAAGGGTCCGAGTATTCCGTGAACGGCGGATCCGGTTCCAGGTCCGCTCATAGTATTCAGGATAGTCTGTCAGCGAACACAGCTGATCCAGGATAGCTTTCCCAGCGTAGATCAGGGCCAGAGGCAAGTAGCCCAAGATCTAGGCAATGCAGTCAGCATATTGTCAGGTGGACGCCCCCCAGGGACGCAGACAGACGGCTGCCGCCAACAAGAGGTCGCTCGCTTCCTCCGTCTCGAGTTTATCGAAGTGGAAAAATTGAGAGCCTTCCGTTCCGTATTGCTTGCTGGTCGGGTTGCGGGTGGTGATCAGGATCACCCCGCGTTCTCCGGCCGGAAGGCAGCGCATCACGTCCAGCTCGGGGTCATCGGCGTTGTCAATGAGCAGGAGCCAGGGATGCTGTAAGCTGGAAAGCCAGGCTTTGGCTGCGTTCTCGTTCGCCTCCACGCCACCGATCCGGGCAATCTGCGCATAGGAGTGCTTGAGGCTTAAATAGGAGCTTCCATCGACCCAGAAGACACCCCAGAAACTACAAAAAACCCCCGTGAATGAGCCCCATGCCTTCCTTACCGCAGCCAAGGACTCCCACTTACTATTCTCTGTTGTCCTGAGCAAATTTGCAGCAGAATTGAGTCTTTCCTGAGCCCCCAAGACCATAAATGACGAATCGCTTCTGATGTCCTTGACGTTCCGGTGTGACGCCGACTTTGAGCGTCGCCTTCAACTGTTCTAGTTGCTTGTGGCGGCCTGTGTAGTAACTGCTCACATTTTGGGGCATGTCAAAATGCTCGTTGAAGCGGATCAACGATGCCACCGCGTCGGCACATCCAAGAGAGCTGCGGAGCTAGTATTTGGTGATAGTGAGTGAGTAAGCAGGTAATCCTATGTCTATTTCGAGGATGGTTTACCCCATGACATCACCTACACTGTCCGAATTGGGCCCCCCTCGAAGTTCTCGGCGCAGGCTATTGATCCTGATCTGCATTTTGGTGTTTTGGCGCCGCAAGTTCTCGGACAAGTTGCCGACGGCACGGTCCCTGGTTGTATGCGACTGGAGCGTGGAGGAACTGCAGCAAGTCAGCGGGGTGGCTTCTCCAATCTGGGACCCACCCTTCGATGACATACAGGGTTAGTGCATTCAACAAGATCTGGATGCCAGCCTGGTGGTTGGCGATGCGCTGGCGTAGCTGCATGAATTCCCCATCTCGACCTTGTCTCCGAATCGTTTTTCTCAATCCATCCAGTTTGCCAGCCACCTGGGCGCCGTTCTTGCCGATGACTGCATTGAGTAAGGCCTCCATCTGCTCGACATAGCCTTTGCTTTGCTGCAAGAGCATTGCAAGATTCTTCCAGACGTCGTTGACATGAGCCTCGTCGTTGGCCGAGGTGTCGAAGCTACTCGGGTCATGCCAGGAATGGCAACAGTCCTCGACCGTCTCATTGACCGCTATCAGCGATGAGATCTCCTGGCTTAGGATAGTGAGTTCATCCTGTATCTTGGCGGACGCGCTTCGGATTGTGGCAAGGTATGAGATGATACGAAAGGAGACATCCGCCAGCCCTGCACTTCCAACGAGAATCGAGAAGGGATCCATGGCTTTTCCTGAAACGCAATCGGTCTCTAGAAGATTTTCAAATCAGCGCGTTCACTGACAAAATATTAACGCGGCAGTCAGTGCAATGAAAGGGGGCATTTCCGAACCCTCCAACGCGATTAGTAATATCATTATCCCCCACTGACAGGTCTTGTGCGATGGCCTGAGACTATGATTCAGGTGTACCGAACATCGAGGCTTTCCTTTGCTTTTTGCGCTGGGCAGTGCTGATACCTGTCCAGTCACTAGGCTATCCCAGCACTGCCTTCAAGCCCTGATTCTCCGTCCGCGGGCCTAAATTGCTTCCATTGGTCTATCACCATTTGCAGGCATACGATGGCTAAAACATTATTCGTATCATCATGGCTTTCAGGTAGTCGATTAGGGGGGAGAATGAGTGATTCGACCCCCTCCCCCTTAGAGTCTCTCATGATAATTCATGAGGAGAAAGGAAGGAGAAACCCTACAAAGGGTAAATTGCCTGACCCAAGGTTACAGTGCGGATGTTTCCGAGTACCAGCAAATAGCTGAGTAGCCACGGGATATGAGTCGACAGCCCGACCTTTGGCTTTAAGGACCCATGTTTCTGAGGAACAGCGAGTCGCATGGAATCAAAACACGAGCCTTCTTTGTTTAGAGCTCCAAGCGATGTAAGCTCTGTCTCTTTGATATCTCTATGCCCCCCGTCTTCTTCGAGCAGCTTCAGCTGCTACTCTCTGACGGAAAGCTTTCCCCCTCGTACATACGCCGTCTCGCTTCGAAGTCATCGCTATGGACACGATTAAATGGGACTTCGTTGATCTGAGGCTATGGCACCTTGTTCTTACCCTCTCCCTGCCCTGGTGGATTTTTATCTACTTGAAAAGACGTCGCCAGAATGCAGTACGTTACCGGCCTTCTATTCAGCTTCCCACCAACGCCCCTCGAGCTCACACGAACTTCTCTCTAGGCCGATGAGCTCTTTGGTCAACAGCATGGATGCCAGCCCATCCAGCGGAAATTGCCCTACAAGTGGCCCCTGGGCCTCGATGTTTTCAAGAGTCAATATGATGCTCTCGCGCGTGGGCAGCTACTGGCCTACCAGGCGGACTATTTCCAGCGATTCCGGGTCGGCCAGACTTTCGAGATCCGGCTGCTGGGTCGGGTGGGCTACTTTACGATGGATCCCAAGAACCTGGAGTTCATGTTGCAGACGCGTTTTGATGGTAGGCGAAGCTCACTCATACCAGGGTCACAAACTCACCAATGCCAAATTCTTCCTAGACTGGGAGCTCGGAAACAGCCGCGATGCACTGCTGCCCATGATCGGCACGGGAATATTCACCCAAGACGGGCTCTCCTGGAAGCATTCGCGCCAGCTTCTCCGGCGACAGTTCGCCCGCATCCAAAATCAAGACACCGAGATCTTCGACCGTCCGATCGACGACCTCCTCACCACCCTGCGGTCGTGTCCCGGGGACATCGTCGACCTGCAGCCGGCCTTTTTCCAATTCACCTTGGCCACCACCATCTTGCTCATTTTCGGGGAGGAGTCCGTCGGCGGTCTGGAACCGAGCGATCACGCCCGGTTTGCCCACGCCTTCGACTACACCTCGCTGATCTCGGCCATGCGGATGCGGCTGGCGGACTGGTGCTGGGCGTACAATCCCCGCGCCTACCGGGACGCCTGTGGGGTGATCCGCCAATATGCCACCCACTACGTGAACCATGCGCTGGACGATATGCGAGCGAACGGAGAGGAGAGTGCGGCCACGCGCCATCCATTCATCCTCGATCTCCTGAAGGAGCTCCGGAGCCCCGAGCTAGTGCGGGATCAGCTCCTGAATGTGTTGATCGCGGGGAGAGATACGACGGCTTGTCTGATGTCGTGGGCATGGTAAGAGGACGACGCTTTCCCCTTCCCCTGATCTGCTCGTCTTCGAAAGGATCGTCTCACTCACCAGTCTACACTCAAAATTATCAGCTAGTCCGCCATCCAGCATCTCTCGAGCGTCTCCGCCAGGAAATCCATTCGATCACCAAGAGTGAAAAGCAGTTGACGCGAGCACAAATCAACAAGATGCCATACCTTCGATACGTCCTCAACGAAAGTGTGTATTCCACCCTTCCCTTCTTTTCTCTCCCCCTCTCCCCATCACCCTCATCAATAAAGCTAATCCCTGGTCTGCTAAAGCAAACCGCCTGTACACTCAAATCCCGGTGAACGTGCGCCTCGCCCGACGCACTACCTACCTTCCCCGCGGCGGCGGGCCCAGCGGCGACGCGCCCCTGCTCATCCCCAAGGGCACTGGCGTAGGCTTCTCAGCCTACCACATGCACCGCAGCCAGGCGATCTACGGGCCCGACGCGGAGGCGTTCCGGCCCGAGCGGTGGGCGGGGCCCCAGCTGAAGAACCTCGGGTTCGCCTTTATGCCGTTCCATGGTAGACCGAGGATATGCCTGGGAAGTGAGCGTCCCCTGACTAGATTGCACTCTTACCGTTGCTGATTGATCAATTGCGACCGATAGAAGACTTTGCTCTCACCGAGGCGTCTTTCGGGCTGATCCGACTGATCCAGGCGTTTCCAAAACTTCGCAAGGCACCCGATGCGGCGGATGTGACGCCCGGCCAGGAAACGCGGACGCTTACGCTGGTCGTTTCCAGTGCTGAGGGGTGTAAGGTGCAGCTTGGTTGAGTGTGTTTGCCGGGGTGAGCTTACCAGGGTGATCTTTCGGGGTATTCTTATCAGGGTTGCTCCGGCCACAGGGCTTGTGTTCTTTCTTTCTTCTCGTTTTCTCGCTGTTCCTTCTGACAGAGTTCGTTGATGATGTGTTATAGAGAGTAACTTGTTTCATTTTTTGTTTTCTTTTTTTTTTTCTTTTCTTTTCTCCTCCTTTTGGTATACTGTACTTGATTAGCACCGGGGCGCTGGCTATGTAGTATTCCGCTGGACGCGGGAGCCAAAGCGGGCGAATTCCACATGAGCATCCTGCAGACTTATAGATTTGGAATGTGGTTGGCAGCGGAGAACAGCTCGGCATGCAGATTGATCTAGACTGGTAATGCGACAACATTTCCCATCAACTGAATCGCTCAATCACTAGATCTCTGACAGCGACGTCTACACCGAAATGACTATCTCATTTATACTCAGGAACGGATCCGCTTGAGCATGATATATATATATACATACAAGAAAGCCAAGTCTTTTACCCCAACATGCAGGTTCCGATCCAAACAAAGTTCTAGGGTGATAATGCTGGGGGAAGTAGCAGTAGCAAGTCCCAGCTGCTTCTGGCCATTCTCAGGCCACTAATCCATCACTCTCTCCCCGGAAGGACTGGCATCGGCATGCCCTCAAGGCGCGGCTGTGTCGGGCGGATTGTCCCGGCCTGTTCCCCTCAAAGTACCTGGGACGAGTGTCCGTCTCTCCATCCCTATATATCGTCATTCGATAGCATAGATAATGTCCAAAAAGCGATCAAAACCCGTCAGGATGTTGCTGTTAGCCGCTGTATCTGCCCCCCCCCCCCCCCCGGTGGTCGCGTATTCACAGAAACCGGATGGAAAGCCAGTGTGGTACAATGCGGAACATGGCAGGGATTTCTCAACAAAGCCTGCTCAGCGGACTTCGAGGTCAAGGATGGAGAGTTGCCTTGCTGAGCGTTCTGGCTTGTGTGCTCCCGATGGGGAATGGGATGCGCGAGTTGGTTTTGGGGTAGCTGTGGTGGGCCATACGAATTAGTCTGGGGGATCTGAACAGCGATAGAGGTATAGCGTATGTATGTATGTGTACGCTGGGATGGGCTGGGTTGGTGGCAGGTGGGACTATGCAAGGAATCCAGGACATACAGTATGCCGGCCCGGAGGGTTGGACTTGATATATGGAGATCACGGCGATGACGATCGTTAATGCCATGATGGTTCCCGTCCAGATGTCGATGTAGAGGATGCAAGCCAGCAGTGAAGGGGAGGGATCCATGTAGAGTGTGGAGGTGACTGGCTGGGTTGCTAGGTAGGCGTCAGTTGAGAGTAAGTAGATCTGATCACTGGCATCAGATTAAGTATCACTAAATGCATACACAGTACAGAATGACCCACTGCATCCGGCGTGATCGACAACCATGTGGGTCACGGGATACGCTTAATCCGGTGGGTCCGGGGTTTCTATTGATCCTTTCCCCCTCTGGGCGGGTCCAGACCACGCCGCATAGCAACAACAGCAGCAGCAATAACAACAACAATAACAACAACAAAGGAATATCACGTGATAGGTGGCGGTAGGGATGAATGAATCGATGCATGAGTGAACGCGGATCTCATTGACAGGCGGATCTATTTACATTTTCTCTATCCGGACACATCGATCAGCCCACCTTATCAAGGGCGGCCAAACATCAACACCAACTCATACCATCGTCCCTGTACTGTACTCGATCTACCCACACCTCTGCAGTGGTCAGCACACACCTCCCATTCGAGCTGCATCAGCTGCAGCTGGACTTCGTCATGAGCGAGTCCCACCCCGCCCCAGACGCTCTGGAGCACGCGCCTGGAGCCTCCCCCCAAGCTACACCATTGTCGAAGCCCTCCACACTTCCCCCGCAATCACTGTGCAGGGACAACCTCGACACACGGTTACTCAAGCGGAACTCCCCCCGGCGCCCCAAGAACGTAGCCGACTGGCTGCTCGATCATCAAATTGGTGGGTGGTGTTCATCTGCGCCCCATGAAGTCTCTAACCGGCCCCTCAGAAATCCCCCTCAACCTCATCGCCCTCCTCATCCTCACCCACCTGTTCGTCCCCCGCGCGCGCCAACACACTTCCAAATTCTTCTCGCCATCTCACTACAACCCGAACACGGGACGATATGCTATCGGCGATGGGGACTTTTACTTCCTGGGGTTCTGCGTCGTGCTCTACACGGGCCTGCGCGCGGGGATTATGAAGTATATCCTCGCACCGCTAGCTACCCGCTGGGGCATCTCCAAGAAGAAAGATATCACGCGATATTCCGAGCAGGCGTGGCTGCTGTGCTATTACTCGGTCTTCTGGACACTTGGTCTGGTACGTGTGATATATTTCCGGGCTTGAATGCCGCTGGGAAATTCTCGCCCCCCCCCAACAAAGAAGACGCACCGAATCTGGCCTAATTGCAAACACTAGTACATCTACGGCACCTCCAAGTACTGCCTCAACCTCCGGGAGATGTTCACCGACTGGCCGACGCGCGACCTCCCCGGCCTCACCAAGGTCTACATCCTGGGCCAATGGGCGTTCTGGCTGCAGCAGATCCTCGTCCTCAACATCGAGGCCCGCCGCAAGGACCACTGGCAGATGCTCGCCCACCACCTGGTGACGGTCGTGCTGATTTCCACCGCCTATGCGTTGCATCTCACGCGGGTGGCCAACCTGGTGCTCATCCTGATGGATGTGGTGGATATTTTTTTCCCGGTGAGTTTTTTTCATCCGCTTTCCCTTTCTCCACGCAGCGAGAGAGGCAGACCACTCATCCTTTCAAACAGCTCGCCAAATGCCTCAAATACCTCGGCTACACCACCGCCCGCGACATCCTCTTCGGCCTCTTTATGCTCGCGTGGTTCCTCGCCCGCCACGTCTGCTACCTGCTCACCATGTGGGGGATCTGGAAGTACATGCCCGAGACGATCGCGGAGGGGTGCTACTATGTTTCTGCCGGGAGCGTCCAGGACGCGCTCCGTGGGCCGACGCCTCTCCCCCCACACGGCTGGTCGCACCTGTGGACCCCATTCTATGATCCCACAGGCCCCATCTGCTACAGCGACGGCATCCGGTGGGGGTTTCTGGGGGCCCTGGGGTTCCTGCAGCTGCTGACGGTGCTGTGGTTCGTGTTGATCGTCAAGGTGGCGGTGCGGGTGGTGCAGGGGATTGGGGCGGATGATATTCGGAGTGATGACGAGGGGGGGGGGGAAGAGGAAGAAGAAGTGATGGTAGAGCTATCCCCATGCCCGTCCCCGGGGTGGAAGCGCCGGGCGGCCGGGACCCGACGGACGGCGAGCTCGTCCGGCGTCAGCTTCGATCGGAAGGAGTTGCTGAGTCGGATCGGGTGTGAGAAGCAGGTGGATTGATGTGGCTTCCTTTGCGGGGGAGTTCGAAGGTAAGAAGCAGCTACTCGGACCTGGCTGGGTAAATTCCCTATTCAAATTCCGGTTTGTTCTACGGCCTGGGTGGCAATCGCTTGTTCGTGCAGTGGCCTTAGTGGGTAGGCGATGGTTGATCCCTGGGTGGATGTCTTCCCAATGGCGTTATGATATCCATGAAAGGAAAACCGGGGAATCCGGAAACTGGCGGGTATGTGTGTTTGCACCAAATGATATTTCATACCTTACTCTACCTTTACTCCCATGAGCCGGGAAATGCTCCGGTCCACTAGAGGTCCTCTAGGGAAAGACCTCGGTGTTACATCTAGTAACTAGCAGCTGTTTTCGGCAGCAGGTGACTGACAAAAATAACCATAATTCAGCACACCCTCTAGCGTGATATTTGCTGCCTGAGGCTTCCAACTTGGTGACATTGTGACCTTCCCTTGTGGGCGCATCTATCAGAACTCATCCAGCAGGCTCATCCTCCGCTTGGTTAACTCCTCATCGCCACGCCGGCTGAAAGCGGTGTCCACTTTCTCGAGCTATCACAGGCCGATGATCTTATATTTCGATGCTTGCCAGAGCTGTCTGAGTAATCAGAATTGAACACCTAGGAAGTTATGAGACATTGTGACTTGCGTGAGGGGCTGTTTCTGCTTGGATCTGAGAACAAATGGCAATCGCCTGGTCGTATGTGGCATGTGAGGTCCAGCCATCCCGGCTCATGATTCCTGATACAGCGTCCCAGAACGTCTTGTATTTCATTCCAGCCCTCACTATCCTCATGATGTTTGCGAATCTCTTCGGGGGAAAAGTTGATGGGGCATTCGACCGTATGGCCTAGTGAACTCCTCTTCCTTCACACATTGTTCTGTAAGCACACTTGGTCAACTATGCCGGATGATAGGGTGGTCTCTTGCGATAGGACTGGCGAGATTCTCCGGATCCCTTTCAACGTGCGTGAGGATATAGGCATGATTATGGCAAATATCGGGTGATCATGGAAAAGAGTATTGTCACGGGAGGCGTAACTTGCGGGCTCGGTTTGGTAGGCGGTCTGGTTGGGTATTAGTTACCTAGTAGTCATCCCCTCTGCGTTGAATGACAGCCATTCTGCAATTTTATAGCACTGAACCGTACTTGGTGTCGAGGCGTTATACATGTTGGTCCTCGAGGCGACAGGATGTATCCGTTATAGCGGCCCGGGCCGGCCTTTCCACTTACTTATACGTACCGTACCGTTATCTTCAACCGTGAACTTGAGCTGCATGCGACCACGCCTAGGAGTACTACTATGAGTGTTTCAAGACTGTACGGAGTATATCTTATCTGCGGTGGAGTTTTTCAGGATTCTATTTGTGGTCAATCGTATGCGAGCTAGGTATATACTTACTCTTTTACACCAGCGGTGCTAGTGACTAAGCAGATTAGCGGACATAAAAACAGCCCCTGAAGTCGCGCATCGCGCATCTCTTCCTCTCCCATCCACTGTCCCCATTATTGTAACCCCACGGCGGAGCATCACAGCGAAAAGAATGGTCGAATACGAGTTCGGCGGACCGTAAGCAACGGGCTCCGGCTTCCTTGACCTCTGCTTACGCTTTTATCCAACTGTCTGGGTGCCGCAGCCATCACCTTTGGCCTGCCCGTCCTGCTCTACGCGTTCGCATCCGCTTGCAACGACGTGGCGGGCTGCCCTGTGCCAACTCTTCTGCAGCCTCGCGACTTTACCTGGGAGAAGCTGAAAGCAGACAACAATCTACAGAATACCAGTCTGTCCAATTTCCTCTCCTGGAAAGTGACGCTTGTCACTGTTGCCTACTATGTCTTCGGTCTGTTCCTTTGGAAGATTCTTCCCGCCAAAGAAGTTCATGGAACCAAATTGGTGCATCATGATCGCCCCCTTCAGTATCGATTCAATGGTATCGACTCCTCCCAGACCTCCAGGATCAAGTCAGGCTAACGGTCGCCACAGCGTTCTCGGCGAGTGTGGTTACTCTCTCCATCTGCGCCGCAGGCACGTTCCTCCAGGGGGCTGAGTTCCCCGTCTGGACTTTTATCACCGACAACTACGTGCAACTTCTGACGGCCAACATCCTCCTTTCATACGCCCTATCGACTTTTCTCTATCTCAACAGTTTCACCGTCGACACCGAATATCCCAACCGCGACCTTCGGGAGCTAGCTGCCGGTGGCATGACAGGCAATCTCATCTATGATTTCTACATCGGCCGGGAGCTCAATCCCCGCGCTACCCTGCCTCTATTTGGAGAGATCGACATCAAGACCTGGTGTGAAGTTTGGCCCGGTCTGACTGGGTGGATCCTGCTTGACCTGGCATTCATCGCCCAGCAGTACCGCAACTATGGATACATCTCCGACAGCATTGTCTTCACGACCGCCGTGCAGGCATACTACGTCCTCAGCAGTCAGTTTAACGAGTCATCCATCCTGACAATGATGGACATCACGACCGACGGGATGGGCTTCATGCTTACCTTCGGCGACCTAGTCTGGGTCCCCTTTCTCTACTCGACGCAAGCTCGCTATCTCGCGGCCTTTCCCGTGCACCTCGGCGCGCCTCGCATCCTCGCGATTGCCGCGGTCTTCGTATGCGGGATCTACATCTTCAAAGCGGCGAACAACCAGAAACACCTGTTCCGCACCCAGCCCTCACATCCCGCCGTGCGCGATCTCTCTTCCATCACCACCCAGCGCGGCACCCGCCTCCTCACCGCCGGGTGGTGGGGTCTCTCCCGGCATATCAACTACTTCGGCGACTGGTTGCAGGCGTGGCCCTTTAGTCTGCCCACCGGGGTGGCAGGGTATACGATGCTCCCGGCGGGGGCTGCGTTGGCCTCCGCGGGCGATCTCGCCGGATCGCCGTCGCGCACGATGCTGGACGGGCGCGTCGCAATCCAAGGCCCGGCCGCCGGGTGGGGGATGATCTTCACCTACTTCTATGTGCTGTACTTTGGCGTCTTGCTCGTCCATCGCGAACGCCGAGATGATGCCATGTGCGCGAAGAAGTATGGCGAGGATTGGCAGACGTACAAGCGGACGGTGCGATGGAGGATCTTGCCCGGGATTTATTAAGAAGGGTCTACTGAGGGGACTGGTGTAGTTGAGTGTGTCCGTTTCAGTATTGTCGGCGGCCCTGAGGCCTTGCCGGTCAGGCCGTCCACCGCCCACCTCGGTGGTTCTTATCTAGTTGCTCTCCGATAGCATGGCCTCTGTACCTCTACTGGGAGAAGTGAAGTATGCCTGCCTGCTAGCACTGAGAATCTGAGTCCTATCCATGTATATAATCCATCTCTGAAGTCTCGCAGCACGCAGCATCCAGATCTTTGACCTTTCGATTGTCATCCTCTTGTCTCAGTCGTATCTCATTTAACTCTTGTTGGAAGGACTGTTTCGTACTGGCAATTCCAGTGAGAATACATCGATAATCATGATTCTTAGTACTGTAGAAGAGCTGAATTACTTTGAACTTGTTAACTTTGATCCACAGTAGTGATCAAGTATATATATCTGCGCTGTATATCATTGTCCCGGTTTGTTGCTGCAGATAGCGAGAGCAGTTGTTGAATAGAGGAGTACATGTTTTGAAAATGGCCGACACCACTTATCCACTGCACTGGCACTGGCTTTTTGGGCTGCAGAGGAAAAGGTGTACTTACGATCCCAAATTGATGAATTGTAAACATAATTTGACCATCATGAAAGTAACCTCCACGCCATAGCGTATCACATATGATATATGTTGACGACTCTAGGATATGATCTCTTATCATTCTACCTCAGAACTGTATCTTGCACAACATCACATTCCTATAGATTCAAGTAATCCGGCACATCCACGCCATCCCCGCCGAGGTCGGGATGGAGTACTGGCAGACATATCTCGAAGGTGCTTACGCCTGCATCTTCCCCACTCTGGCACCAGCAGCAGCAACCGACTCCCAGGATGCCACGGTGCAGAATCACCCCAGAGGCTCCCTAAGCCATACGCTGGAGCAAGAAACCCACGCCAGCCTGCAAGCCTTCCTCAAGACGCACGAGTTGACCGCCTTCAACGTCTTCCACCTCGCATGGGCCCTGATCCTGCGGTGCTTTGTGGGCTCCGAGACGCTGTGTTTCGGCTATCTGCTCTCCGGGCGTGACGTGCCGGTCGACCACGCGGACCAGATCATCGGCCCGTTCATTAACATGCTGGTGAGCCAGGTCGGCCTGGGCGAGGCGGTGACCCTCATGGATGCCATGAAGCAGAGCCAGGCGAACTATCTGGATAGTCTCACGCACCAGCATTATTCGCTGGCGCAGATTATCAACTCGTTGGGCAACGGGCCGGCCGAGCCTCTGTTCAACAGCGTCATCTCCGTACAAGGCATGGATCTGAAGAAGGGGAACACAGGGATAGATCGTGGTCTTTGTCTTGAAGAGCAAGGCGGCCATGATCCAACTGAGGTAGGTACTTTTGGTTTGGGACAGGATTCCCTGGGTGCGCTTTTCCCCTCCCCGCTAACATGGCGACTTGTCCTTTAGTACGGTATCATGATCAACGTGGGTCTTGGGGAGCAAGAAACCGCCATCACGTTCAGCTATCACGCGTCCCTGCTGTCCGAGGAGCAGGCCAGCGGCGTGGTGGACTCGCTCCTGCGAGCAGTCCGCGAAATTATCCGGACTCCCTTCAAGAAGGCCCACGAGGTGGATCTGTCCACGGACCACGACCAGCAGGCGATCTGGGCCTGGAACGCCTGCGTTCCCCCCACCGTCGACCTTCCGGTCCACAGTCTGGTTGCCAATACAGTCCAGAAACAGCCCCATTCGACCGCAATCTGCGCGTGGGATGGCGATTTGTCCTACGGTCAGCTGGACGAGCTCTCCACCACCCTCGCCCATCATTTACTGGCGCGCGGGCTCTCCTCTGACACTGTGGTCCCGCTCTGCTTTGAAAAGTCCCGGTGGATGCCGGTGGCTATCCTTGCTGTCATGAAAGCTGGGGGCGTGTCGGTGTCGATGGATGCCAATCAGCCGGAGGAGCGATTACGTACCATCGTCGAGCAGACCCCAGCCCGTGATCATCCTCTGCTCGGAGACCACCCACGAAAAGGCCTGCCGGCTTGGTACCTGCCAACTGATTCCTGTCGGCCAACGACTGCTCGCTGGGCTGGCGGTTCCTGGGCAAGATGCGACAACAACGACGACGACGACGACACTCCCCACCGTCGATCCATCTCACCGGATATACATCACTTTCACGTCGGGTAGCACGGGCACTACCGAGGGGGCTATCGTCACGCACAGCAACTTCAGCAGTGCGCTGGTGCAGCAGCAGGAGGCCCTGTTTTTTGGGCCTCACGTGCGTGTCTTCGACTTCGTCTCCTACGCGTGGGATGTCGCCTGGTCCAACCTGCTCCGCACCCTCGTGGCCGGCGGCTGTCTCTGTATCCCGTCCGAGTTTCAGCGCCGCGAGGAGATTGAGAAGACCATGTCCCAGTTGCGGGTCAATTATACTACGCTGACGCCCAGTGTCGCGCGTCTGCTCAATCCTGCGGCAGTCCCGCACCTGGATACCCTTGCCCTGATCGGGGAGCCACTCTCCCAGGCCGACATCGCGCGCTGGGCGCCTCACACCAAGGAGATCATCAACACCTACGGACCATCCGAGTGTCCGGGCTGCGTCACGGTGAGCCAGAACCCACTGGACACCTTGTATGAACCCACCCTCGGCGTGGGGTCGGCCTGCAATACATGGATTGTCGACCCCAACAACGCCGACCACCTGGTCCCGGTAGGTGGCATTGGCGAGCTCTGGCTGGAAGGGCCCCTCATCGGACTGGGATACCTGGGTCTTCCGCAGCGCACGGCCGAGAGCTTTGTGACCGATCCCCGCTGGCTGCTCTCCGGATGCCCGGGACGCCCAGGCCGTGGTGGCCGGCTGCACCGGACTGGTGACCTGGTCCGATATGCCCCCGATGGTGTACTCATCTACATCGGACGCAAGGACTCGCAGGTCAAGATCCGCGGCCAGCGCGTGGAGCTAGGCGAAATCGAGTACCACGTCCGCGAGGGCATCGCGCGCATCTCCCCTGTTACCGACGACCTCACCGTCGTGGCCGGGGTCATCACTCCGCGCGGTGGCAGCAGCAAGACGCTGGTCGTCTACCTGGAGCTAGGGCCGATTGCCACCGGTCCCGTGGACCAGACTCGCGATGCGGTGGCGGGCTACACCCGCGGACTGGACGACTATCTCTCGGACAAGCTACGGCAATACATGCTGCCCAATGCATACATCCCGGTCGCCGAGATTCCAATGACCGTGAGTGGCAAGACGGATCGAGGACGCCTCTCCCGGATCGGGGCGTCATACACCCTGAGCGAGTTGACCGCGATGCAGCCGTCCTCCCACGAACAACGGCAGTCCCCAACCACCCCGATGGAGCGGCGGCTGCAACAGCTGTGGGCGACGGTCCTGGGGGTTGACGATCCCAATGCCATCGCCGCCGATGCCAACTTCTGCCGCATCGGCAGGGATTCGATTGCTGCCATCCGCTTGAGCCAGCGGGCGAGCGAGGAGGTCTGGCCTTGACCGCGGCTGACATCTTCCGCAAGCCCCGGCTGTGCGATCTGGCTCTCCTGGTTCGCGAGGGCGATGCGACGAGCTACCACGAGCCGCGCCCCTTCTCTCTCCTGTCCGCTGGCGGCAGCGGTGGCGCGGAGAGCAATCGTCTGCCTGACGACCTGGCCGCGCGCATCGGGCCACTCCTCGAGTGGCCCCAGCACCACATCGCGGACGTCTATCCCACCACGGGCCTCCAGAACCACTACGTGTCGGCGGCGGTGGACGCGCACCGCGGCGAGGTCGAGTACATCTACATGGACCTCCCTCGCGGGGTGGACCTGGCCCGCGTGCAGCGTAGCTGTCTGGCGCTGTTGCGCCACCTGGACATCCTGCGCACCGTCTTCATCGTGGATCCCCAGACCCGGCAAACGCTCCAAGTCGTCCTCAACAATGTGGAGCCCGAGATCGAGGTGCGCCACACCGAAGGCGACCTGCGCGCCGCCTGCGAACAGGCCTATCGCGAGGATCTCCACCAACCGCTGTACCTGGGCCGCTCCTTCACGCGATTCTTGATCACGGCCAACCGGGCCTCCGGCGACGCGCGCCTCACGCTGCGCCTGTCCCACGCCCAGTTGCGCGACGCCTGGGAGCTGTCCGTGGCGGCCAGCGACAAGCTGCATACCCAAGCGACGCTGGATGCGGTACTCGAGGCGCTGTGTTGGCAGGTGGAGATGGTGGCGCGAGGGGATTGAACATGCCGGCGGATTAGTTTAGTTTCTTTCTCTTCCTTTTTCTCAGTTTATTTTCACTTTTTTCCTTTCCTATGTTTTGCTTTGGTTCCATATTTCTGCTGCTTGTTGTTGGTTGTGATTTCTGTCATATGCTTGCTGCTGTGATATGCGCGGCTTTGGGAAGGCAACCCATAAGGTGTTGAGGGGGGCTAGCCCTAATATCAACACCGTTATGAGCCGTAGCTTAGAGAATTAGCTAGATTTGTATTTAACTGTCTCCGTTCCATGTTCCGTGTCAAGTCAGTTAGCTGGTGAATGTTCTCGAATGGATTAACTTTCAAAGACTCAATCCAGAAGGGAAAGCAAAAACATACAACAGAAGGGATTCGCTGGTGGTCACCCACCCAACTACTAACCTCCCGGCGTGTGGCTTGAACGCGGCCAGAAGGCGGGTGGGTGCCGCTCGGGTGAGCTAGCGGGTGAGGCCGCTTTACGGTCGCGCGACCGGGGGTGAATCGGGTGAGTGCGCTTTAAGGAAGGGTGAGCGATCACCCCTGTCGCGCGATATCACGCAATCTCACCCGTACAAAGTTTAATTGCCACTTGATCTCTCACCAGCAACAATAATTGGTGCGAGAGTGCATACTGAACTTGCTAAGCCACGACACTGACTCGAGAGTATCTAATATAGGTCTAGCTAACACGTAATCCCCCCTCAGTTCGGCAAGAGAGAGAAGGAAGTGAAAGAATTGCTTAGAAGCCCGAAAAATCGCCTAATTAATACAGACTTGATCGGTGGTAATATATCGAATGATTTATTCTATGATCGGAGAGCAGAGGGCATCGATTACACAAATTTCACACCAGATTCAGCAATATTTGATATACGCTTGCCAGGATAATAGAATCTCGAGCTTTCCTGTAAACTGTGGTGTCAGCTTAGCCAAATGAGAAAATTACTTGTATTATCGGCAGACAATTTTGTACATCTTCCAAGGTGCGGGCTGGCTGGGGGTGGTAGAAAAGCAGTTCAGGCTGGTAGGTTTTTATAAACCGTTCTCTTGATCCTAGCTACTGGGGTCAGGCTATCAGGTTCATAGGCAGGGGATCGGGAGCGGGAGGGTCTTGGCAGCCTGTGCGTCACGTGCAAGACGGTCTGGGTCGGCAGTCAGGTCAACAGGGTGTAGAAGGTAAACTAGGTCGATAAGGTATAACAAGTACAGCGGGTAGAGCAGGTCGAGCGGGTAGAGCGGTGTTCTAGGCTTGCATCGTGATAACATCCGTATGCAAACAATTCAACAGGGTACCAGTACTCTGTTCTATTTTATTCTAATCTTTTCTGTATCGGAATTGCTTGGTGACTTGTTTTCTGTAACCTGCGCCTATTTTGTCACTCGTTCTTCGTTTAGATATTTTCCTCAAAGGATAAGGTATTATTAACTATCCATATACTACATGTTAATAACAGTATGCTGTCTTAACACCATAAATCATTCTTCCTGCTAGTTTCAGTCCACTCTAATGTAGTTTCACAATATGCTTGTTGAACAGACAAGGAGTAAAACTTGTAATTCAGGTTTCCAGAAAAGCCGTATGCAAAGGAAAAGACCTGACCAAGAACAGCAGAGGAGTCAGACAACATCAGATAGAGGGAATTGTTGGTTGAGTTCGATGCCGATCTATTGTGTTTCACAAGGTTTTCAAGGCTTTGCAGTGCTGGTATCTCTGCGTACTAACAATCTAGCTAAGTACTTTATCTATAGCGTGGTTGAATCCGCTACTTGCTATTGATGACTTCGGGGGTAAGGTGGGAATGTATTTTGTACAAGGCTTAAGGGCTATACACAACAGAGGGAAGAACTGCAGGAAACTCGCAAATCAAGGCCGGCGCGACAGTTAGTCGTCGTTCTTTCATATAGCTACTACTAAAAGCTAGAACTTCAACTATTTCTCTGAATTGAAATAAAAATATATATAAGGATGATTCTACTGTAGAGGAAGAATATACAATACCTATAATTATTAGATAATTGTAATCAAAAAGGATTAAAATATATAAACATTATTTTCTATACATAACTATGTAATTATTGTTAAAAGGTTCTTTTATATATGTAAGTATTTTAGATAATATGTAGATATAGTAGAAAATAGTATATTCTATTATCTTAGTACTACTAAATACAGATTTCCAGATAAATAGTTGAAGTTTATTTTTTTTTAGTGGTAGCTATAGTGAGAAACGACGGTTCGCTGTCGCAACGGTTCGGTGTCCGATCACGTTAACGTAATCGTCAGCCGAGCGAGCCAGGCAAGCGAGCGAGCCAGCTGTATTTTATACAGAAGAGCTAATTTTCAAATCTTAGTATCTCAGCAATCTATATATCTATAAGGTTAAAAACTTGATATAAGCTATATAAATAGTAAGACAACATTACTAAAGTACTAAGAATAATTCAAAGCTCTAAATAGTTATAGCATACAAGATATACAAAGATGAAATATAACTGTATTTTATATAAAATTATCTCTATCTATAATCAGTTTTTTTTATATAGCATAAAGTAAGGTACTATCCAGAGGGTCATTATCTCATATACTAAGTATAAATCTAATTTAATAAAAAGTAGTCGATCTGTTCAACTTTAAAATTAGTTATTATGTATAGAATTAATACTAAGTTTACAGCTGGCTCGCTCGGCTGACGATTACGTTAACTTGACTGATGACGATTACATAAGCTCGGCGATGCTGTTAGTCAAGTGACATAGACGTGTCATGTGTACGTCAGACAGTAAATGTGTCTTGCACCTAAAACAATGAGCCAATATTTTTTAGACGTCAAGGAATTTTGGTTTACTACCTTATATATTGAACTTTCCCAAACTATGTCTGTGTGACCTAATTCCAGAATTATTTCTTGCCAAAAAGACCAAATTAAAATGGCAATGCCTCCTTCCCCTCAGCCCTCTTTGTCATTGACGCCACCTCGCGATACGCCTGTACACCCAAGAAGCAACACTCTAACATCAACTCATTACAGAGACATCTGTGTACGTACCTCGTCTCGCAGATCCAATGGCAAGGACAATACCGGCGATGCAGCAGACACACTCACATCACAACCCAGCGAAGAATCCAATTTGGAAAGAGGAAACAAGAAATTCGCCTTCTCGCCAGACCAGCTGAATAAACTCCTAATCACGAAGAGCTTCGACGCCTTTGGAGCCTTGGGGGGACTGCGCGGGCTGGAGAAAGGTCTACGAACTGACTTGAGAAGTGGCTTGAGCACGGAGGAGGTTGTGGTAGATAGCACGGCCGGCTTTGACGAGGTGGTTTCACCGACTCTCACATCACCACCTAAGTCAGCTTTATTGGCGCCGTCGCGTGATCACACCGTAGCTTCGGCAACAAAGCGGACACAGGAACAATATACAGATCGGCAACGGGTTTTTGGAATCAACAAACTTCCGGAGAAGAGGCTCAAATCGATCTGGGAGCTCGTCTTTATTGCTTACAACGACAAGGTGTTAATTTTACTATCGATTGCCGCTTTTATCTCCCTCGCCGTGGGTATTCCCCAGTCTGTGCGAGGAATAGGTGTAGAATGGGTGGAGGGAGCCGCAATCATTGCTGCAATCTTTGTTGTCGTGATTGTCGGCGCGGCGAATGATTGGCAGAAAGAACGGCAATTCGCAACACTTAATAGGAAGAAAAAAGACCGATATGTCAGAGTCATCAGATTAGGCAAGACAGTGGAGGTATCTGTCTATGATATTTTGGTCGGGGATGTGATGCTCCTGGAACCCGGTGATATAATCCCGGCCGATGGGATCTTGATTGACGGTCATGGCATCAAATGCGATGAGTCTTCAGTAACAGGAGAGTCAGAGCATCTTCGAAAAACGCCGGGTGACAAAGTGGACGACGCGATTGAACAAAATAAAGACCTGGAGAAGATGGATCCCTTCATTCTGTCGGGGTCTAAGATTGAAGAGGGCACGGGTACTTTCCTAGTCACTGCTACCGGGGTTCATACAACGTATGGCCGAACAATGATGTCCCTCCAGGATGAGTGTGAGATCACCCCGTTGCAAGTAAAGCTGAACCTTTTGGCAGATTACATTGCCAAACTAGGCCTGACATCAGGCCTGATACTGTTCGTGGTGCTATTCATCAAATTTTTGATCCGCCTTAAGGAGTTTCAGGGCGGTGCAGAGGCGAAAGGTCAGGCATTTTTGCAGATTTTAATCGTGGCCGTCACCATTGTCGTTGTAGCAGTACCCGAGGGGCTACCATTGGCTGTTACCCTTGCTCTCGCATTTGCAACAACCAGAATGATCAATGATAACAACCTCGTACGATTACTCCAAGCGTGTGAGACTATGGGAAATGCCACGACTATTTGCTCCGACAAAACCGGCACGCTTACCGAGGATAGGATGAGCGTCGTGGCTGCGACCATAGGCACTACAGCACGATTCGGAGATCAACTATCTTCAGACCATGCGGCTATTGCACTAGACCCATTGACTCTTTCAGCCTCAAAGTTTGTATCCAAGCTTTCATCATCGATCAAAATTCACCTGCGCCAATCAATTGCACTCAACTCGACTGCTTTCGAAAGCGACCGTGATGGGAAGACAATTTTTGTTGGATCTAAGACAGAGACTGCGTTGCTCTCATTCGCGCGAGAGCAGCTCGGACTTGGTCCAGTGAGCGAGGAGAGAGCTAATGCGAATATTGTGCACATTTTCCCGTTCGACTCGGGCCGCAAATACATGGCGGTGGTCGTTCGCATGAAAAATGAAAAGTATCGGATACTCATTAAAGGTGCCGCAGAGATATTACTCCGCCAGTCAGCGCGAATTGTGCAGGAAACACCCAATAGTTTTAGGGAAGGACTGCTCTCCGAAGAGAAAAGGAATTACCTGCATGCTGTTATCACTGAATACGGGTCCCGCTCTCTGAGATGTATCGCTCTTGTGCACCGGGACTTCCAAGAATGGCCGCCTCATGGCGCACTGACTGATGAAAACGCAAATGCAGGCTTTGAACAGATCTTCAAGGACATGACGATGCTAGGCATCTTCGGCATCCATGACCCTGTTCGCGAAGGAGTTTCTGATGCGGTCCGCCAGTGTCAGCATGCTGGGGTTTTTGTTCGGATGGTGACTGGCGACAACATAATCACGGCCAAAGCCATCGCCCAGCAATGTGGCATCTATACTCCTGGTGGTATCGCCATAGAAGGTCATGAATTCCGCCAGTTGAGCCATAATCGAATGAACGAGCTTATCCCCCGATTGCAGGTCATTGCGCGGTCAAGTCCAGACGATAAGAAGGCGCTGGTCAGTCAGCTCAAAGTACTTGGCGAGACTGTCGCAGTGACAGGGGATGGAACGAACGATGCGCAAGCACTTAAGACTGCCGATGTTGGCTTCGCAATGGGCGTCACTGGTACTGAAGTTGCCAAAGAGGCATCAGATATCATCCTAATGGACGACAATTTTACATCAATCGTGAAGGCAATAGCATGGGGACGCACAGTCAACGATGCCGTCAAAAAGTTCCTCCAAGTCAGTTCGTTTTCAGCTGCTTGAAGAATAGAAATTGATATCTGTCCAGTTTCAGTTAACCGTCAACATCACTGCTGTGGCCCTTACTTTCGTATCGGCTGTCGCTAGTAGAGATGAAAATTCGGTCCTTAGCGCAGTGCAGCTGTTGTGGGTCAACCTCATCATGGACACTTTCGCCGCTCTTGCACTAGGTATTCTTCCCCTAGATATAAATCTTACGATGTTCCTAATATTGTAATAGCGACGGATCCGCCTTCGCCTTACGTTCTCGAGCGTAAGCCCGAGCCCAAATCGGCGCCTTTAATCACTCTGACAATGTGGAAGATGATCACTGGCCAGGCTATCTATCAACTGGCTGTGACACTTACCTTGAACTTTGTTGGTCATTCAATCTTCTCAATGTGGGATAGCAGGTGTATGCAGACTGTGGTATTCAACACATTTGTCTTCATGCAGATATTCAACCAGTACAAGCAAGTAACGAGATAACCTTCCAGTAGTCACTTGCTAATGAAGACGTGCAGCTGCCGCCGAGTTGACAACCATTTAAATTTCATGGAGGGCGTATTAAATAACAGGTGGTTTATCGTTATTCAGATTCTCATCATCAGTGGCCAGGTCATGATCATCTTTCTCGGTGGAAGAGTTTTCTCCGTGCAGTGTCTTGACCAGCCTTCGCAGTGGTTAGTAAGTGTTTTGCTTGGGGCTATGGCATTACCTCTAGGCTTCTTAATTCGACTTATCCCGGACCAAGTCATCTCCAAGGTGGTTCGGTATTTGTGGCACCGCAAAAGGGACCCTGAGCTGCATGCCTCAAGACAAATCAATGACTACGGATGGGTCATAGCATCGGAAGGAATCCGCGACCATCTGGCGTTCATGAAGAAGGTCCGCGGAGGGCGACTGAGGCATATAATAAACAAGCACTCCCAGGTTTTCTTCCCATCGCGGGGCTCAAGTCGCCAATCTTCTTCTTCCTTGGCCCCTGCGGATGGAGACCTAGCACCTGCGTCTGAGCGGACGCCTTTGATTACAGACAGGGGAATGAGTCAGAGCTGGTCGCAGGTATAAGTGTCCAGAGTATTAGCATCTATTCTTCGCCAGCATTTCGATAATGTACATCTTGTGCATTGTTACTTACAAAACCCTTACTAACGGTGTCTGTAAACGGCGATTCTTGTTTTTTTCTCTTGACTGTTACGTACATTATCTAGAATTGGTGTGGCTTTATGCTACCTCGCTCGTGATAGGGAAGAAGATTCACTTTAAGCCCAACAAAGCTCCTGCTTCAGAGTCCATCGTGGACGGAGCATCATTCGGCATGGAATTAATGGATAGTTTTATTTTCTCAATATCTCAATTTAAAATCAATTTCCTCGGGGTTCACACCATCATGTGCAATCCAAGGGTCTAAGTGCCGGAGATATTCTAGTATAGTAAATATAAGGTGAATAGAATGCTGATACAAATTCTGTGACATATTGACCTTCAACTATCATTATTCTTTCAAGTTCTAGTTCAAATTGGACTTAAGCATATCGGATGTATATTTGGGATTAACAAATAGAAAGTTTTGTCTCTCATATATGCTTAGCTGATCAATATCAAGATCTATGCAAATATGTGGCTTGTATTGATACGGATGTTGCCGGCTCGTTGAAAATCACGTTACCACATTTGCTCGTGAACTTGGTTGACACTATGTACTGTGACTGAAAGGTCTGTAGGGAAGCTTGTGGAGTGCATTTAGAGGAGTTGATATCAATATATCGATATCTGAAAAAACCTGTGGGCTTTGTATCATAGTGATTTATTTTATTGCATGCAAGTTCAGTGGCTTCAGCAGTTTTGCAAAACTCGGTAGACAATAGAGGGCCAAGTTCACAGAAAAAGGTTATGTCGAGATTTTCATCTTCATGTCCTTCAGCGTGCAAAACACTGCTCAGCACATAGCCAGGCCAGAAGTGGCTGATACAAACATCCAACCCTGCGAAAGTGCGATCAACAATTGGAAAATAGAATTGTAAATCAAATGTAAATACAGAAAAGTCATCTCGTCAGCAATGTGTGGCCATGAAACTATGATTGTACCTAAAAGCATTAATCAAACCCTGAAGGTGAAATACTATGGCCATGACCACCATCAAGTGAAAGATCTGGTGAGAGCTCATCCAGATATCGAACGCGCCAGGGTATAGACGCTCGGGTAATTGAATCTGAAATGAACATGTTAGACACTAAATCACAAAAATGAGATATGACCCACAGCATATATAAAGGCCCCTGAGATGTACAGCGAACCCTGCAGAATAACCCAGAAAAGTCCAATCTGGTTATTCATTTGCCTGACGCCAAACTTTACGACCCCATGGACACAAGGGAAGACTGCTGACAGTCCAAGGACAATAAACATCCTCGCACGAAAATGCCGCCATCTAGGATGCCGAAACTGAGGACCTGCTGAGATAGCAGCACACAATAGGCCAAGGAAAGCTATCTGTAAATTGATGTAAGCTCCCTCTTTCAGGTAGTGAAAGATTGTGAGGACAGACCATGGTTATGTAGGCTGTTTGTAAAATAGGGTGACAGTAAAACCCATAAAATATACTCGGAATAAAGCTCCCAACGATTAGCAATACGATACCAATATAATCCATTTGGTTTGTAATGCGTGCTATGTGCAGGGAATGATTCTGGACGGTGTGAAAGATTGCTGATATGGACAGGCATAGGACAGCTCCCACGACAAAACAGCCCAATGCTATGGTATCTGATGTTGAGGCGCTTGTGTATTCGGCCATGAGTTTTGCATGAAGCGGGATGCTAAAGAGTGCAAGGAGAATTGCAGGGATGAGATGAGAATAGATGTTGACGGATTCGTTATGGACATAACCAAGGCTTGCGAACGAAGCGCGAAACGAGTTAGACACAGTCCGATAGCCTGAATGTATAAATTGATTGTCACGTTGCCATGGCGATAGTTGATCCCAGTGCAATAACATTTTGCCCACAGCGTCGATTTCTGAATCTGTATTGTGAGTCCTGTCTGCCTGATTTCTCTTGGCAAGAGACACAATAACATTAACTTCAGAAATGAAGACAAGCAACCACGATGATATATACAAATTTACCCCTTGTTTTGCCGCTGATGTCATCTACATTATGCAATACCATTATATCTGATAAGGAGAGCCACAGCTGGTCACAGAAGTCAGCGACTTCAATTGCGAAGGGACTAGAGAATTCTGAGCAGTACTTATTTTGAGAATTCATTAGGTCCTCCTCTGGTTACTGTGAAGATACATTGTTCCAGCACTGTTAAATCAAGAGTCATGGTCTATGATATTGTCCACCTTGTCATCTATATGCATGATTTGGGAAAACATTCGCGATACTCTCAGTTGTATGCTCTAACAAACGTACGTTACGATGTGTACTTTAGCCAGTTTTTTCTCATGATAAAGGGAAGATATATCGGAAGAGCTAGCAATCCTGGGCGAAGAAAATTGTGGAAAGGAATTCCACTGACAAGACATGTGGGGAGAAGTCACATTTAAGAGAAATTATACTCACTTGAAGTTCAAAATTATTGGGAACTATGTACCTTGCAACGGTGTGATAATGGGTAGAAATTCCGAAGACCGTAAATCCAATAATAATCCCAAGCAAACTAGTAGGCAATGAGTTGAGACTGCGCGACTTCTTCAGGGAAAGCAAGAACAAGGTACTCAAACCCCCTTTCGCTTGAAGAAAATACCCGTTGTAGACATTTTAAGAATTCTTGAGGTTGAGGTTCGTGATATGTGAAGAGAGTAGTAGATGAATGGTCGGATAATTTTCGGCGGATCAATGACAGGTAATTTGCAAAAGAATTATATCGAATAGCGCGAGCGGCGTGTAATATACATATTTGGCATTAAGAAAGCCCCAGGTGCCCGAAACTTGATTTATGCCAGCTAGGTCAGGCCTCATTGTCGGTATTCTTAATGAGTAGGCATAAGTTTTTGACAAAAGTATATAAATACGGGCTCTTGAACATTACCACGTTAACCATCATATTCATGACAGAGCTTTCCCTCGTTGTGTAAAGGGCTATTTCTTACGACATGGCGACGTCATTGAGATTCGAAGGGTATAGCAATACGTCACTCGAAACTGACAACCCCAATATGATTCAAATCAAACCCTATTGGCAGTCAGGTCACACTATCGAACTCTATGATCCAGCACGTCCACGGTCAAAGATGCATTTCACGCAGACTGCACCCTGCACACGCTCATTCGGCCGCAGTTTTATATGCAGGCAACACAAACCTCTTGGGAGCGTTGAAATTCTGACGGGCAAAAGTCGCATAAATCATCATTCAAAGTTTTTCCTGCGTCAGGCTAACGGGCTCGGTTGGAAATGAAACTTTGCTCCTTCAATATTACTAGCCTCAATCACATGATCTCTGGTCAATCATGATTTGTAGGTCAATCCCACATTCGGAACCAGTATCATATGTCGTGGCAACTGCGGACTTATTCCTGAACAACTGACGATTGAGCCCTGACACTCTCAGCCTTACCACCCCCCAGATCGATCATTCATTGATATGAATATGTGGTAGAAGACTAATACTATTGTCAAAACAACTAGTAGTTTAATGCGGTGTCTCTTGTCTGAGAATCACCTTAAATTTCGGAACGTTCGGGTAGCGTTCTCCAAGACATCGCTCGGATCGAACCCTGGTATATCAAGACAACCAAAAAGATTACAGCCACGCAAGATTTGAAGAACGAAACAAGATTAAAGCCGTTCGAGGCCGGCTCCCGCCCAATCCAATGCCCCTTTACACTCACTGAAGTCGAGAGACAAGCAATAATAAATTACCATTGATTGAGAATGGCATCTGATTGACTTATTTTGAAGTCTGTCCACCAAATATTCTTATAAGAAATTTTCTGACAGCCTTAGAGAAATATCGGAATCGAAATCGTTGGTTCGTGGGGTTTGGCGCGCATTTTCTTTGTAAGATACTCCTCACCTGGGGCCTTTTTAGATAATAAAAAGTGCAGCGACAGATAGGACAGCGAGCATCCTCATTGCAAAACCATGTATCTATACATGGGAGATGGAATATGTGTCCGCAGGGAAGAAGGCGGAAAAAGGACGCCGGGCTGAGCGATTCCCAGCATATTGAACATACATCTGGAAGTTTACCAGGATCTTAAAACGAAGTCAACACGGGACCTTTTGAAAACAAAAATATGGGTGACGTACCAGTCAGGCAATCTTGTAATCCAAAGTAACAGGGCATTCCAGCTGTCGAGAGCTCCCTGGCTGTTAAAGCTAAACCATCCATCAGATAGATATGTGGTATGCAAATAGACTTGAATGAGATTCAAACAAGGAAAATCATTTATTTCTACGATGCTGTTAATTGCGTAGCTAATTATATGAATCAAGAGAAAGGGAGCATCAGAACATATGTTTTAAGTGACATCATACTTCATACATCTAGGAGTTTATAGTCCTGCCAGGCTGTCATGAATCAGCCAACCATATATGAGAATAATTTGTCCACGTTTCAGAACTCGATGTGTCTCGAATCGCTTCGTATGAATTATGGGACTCGGTTTACTTCAGATATAGGGTTCATAATAGAAGCATGCAAGAACCTGAACCGAGGAAACATAGGTTGAATTCGCCCATGGTTTGTGAAAGCAGGATATAGACTTCTCAAGCTGGTGGGCAAAATTCCAATACCTTTCAAAGGAAATCTAAAACAGACGTAAAGTACACTCAAGAGAGATATTGGGCCGTTCTTAATCTGGTGAGACCCAAAGTCCAAAATGATGAACCGTGAAATCTGCTAGAGAAATGTAAGGACCTAGCACAAAACATGGTGGGGTGGTTATAAAAGCAGGTGAGCATAAAGTCAGACCGCAGAAACATGTTTCAGTATGCCAAGGTATCCGTGTCATCCATGTATTGCTATTTTAAGGATTTTTAAAATGCCGCACTAAAAGCAATTTGCTGTAGCATGAAAAGATTATCCATGATACAGTGGCGTGCGCTTGTTAACATATCAGAAATTCCGTTTACAGCAATAATCCCGATAAGAATTCAAACTCATTCACAGTGTGTGAATCGAACAGAGAAGCGAAAGAATGGACATACCAGCCCTATCGTACCCGTCTTTAAAACCTCTAACGATGAATTGTCAATACATTTTACCTTAGATATCAACTACCTTCTATAACAGGGTTAAATCGCGTGGCAAGAAAAAGCAGGACGAGATAATCTGGAACTAATAATACCCTGGGAATGGCTAAAGCTAGCTCGCATTAGGTGAACCTTTTGACAAAAAATTAAAAAAAATAACATCTTGTGGTTCCTATTATCCTCAGTGACGTCGAAATGTCGAAGTGAATTGATTTCAGTTCTCGTTGCTTCAGAGTCGACCATAGACCTGATCTTTTCACGTTTCCGTGTTAAATTTATTAATCCTTAAGTCGCATATACAGCCAGAACAATCTGAAACCAGCTTCGATGGTGTTCTGCAATGGCACCATGCCGTCGCGGTCATTAGGACGAAATGTTGACCTGGAAAGAGAGGAGAGGACACACTTTGATGGAGATGACTGCCAACCTCCAGCACCTACAGAATACACACGCCTCTTATCACACGAACATTCTACCTTCCTCAATCCTGACGATCCTGCTGTAAGTGTTTCCTTGACAAATTGTAAGTATTCAAAGAGGGGCTAATAGCTGATGTGATTTCAATAAAGGTTTCCCCATACAACCTCTGGACCATTCGTGCTATTCATGGTCTTTCCTCTTTTTTTCTCGCCATTTCTTGTATTTGGTGGACTTTTCTGCTGGCTTCAATGTTTTTCAGTTTCAGAATGTTATATGATCGGGGCTCCGGCTTCCTTTGCTTCGCCTATGCAACCCTTACAGCAGCATACCTCATCACCACTCTCCTATTTTTCGCTGTGCCATCAAGACCTATGAATTTCTGGGGTATACTAATTGCAGCCTTTCTCTGCGTCGATATGATTATCATCCTCGCTGTACCGCGTATCCTCATTGAAGAAGGCTGGGTGGGCTTGGCCTCCGTCTCTTGGGCCACATTCATTGCCATTTATAACATCATTCAGACTCGCTGCGTTGAGTGGGGTAAGCGCAGAGAGGAAGAGCGTCTGACAGGTCGCCCTGAAACTAGCCGTTCCCTTCACAAATGGACTGCTGTGCTTATACAGACCGCCCTCATGGCTACTATTGGGATCATCGCTGTTCTCCTCACTTGCAACTTAATCCTGCGGGTCCGCGACACTTCTTTGCCCGCCCCAGGCAACAGGTATTACGTCCAAGGTGACAAGTTTCGAATCCACCTTCACTGCGTGGGTAATTTCACCAGAAACACTAATTACCATGAGAGATTCCCTACTGTCCTGATCGAAGGTGGCGAAGGCCCTGTAGAGCACACTCTCGAGCCCTTCATCCATAATGCTTACCAACGTGGCATGATACCTCGCTACTGCTATTGGGATCGCCCGGGTCTTGCCTGGTCCGATAATGCCCCCTCCCCCTACTCGGCTGGAATGGCCGCTGATACCCTTTCTGAGGCTCTCTTCCTTGTTGACGAGGAAGGACCCTGGGTACTCGTCTCTGCCGGAATTGGTGGCATTTATAGCCGCATATTCGGCAGCCGGCATATATTCCAAGTATCAGGGCTTTTACTCATTGACACCATGCACGAGGATTATTTGCCCATGATAGCCTCACCGGGTCATGGCTTTCTTCTATGGCTTCAAGGGATATTCTCGCCACTTGGAGTGGACCGCATTATTGGCGCTATCTTCAAAGGGCGGACTCGGGAGGATCGTGTCTACGGCTGCAGTGCTTATCAGACGGGAAAATACATCAAAGCTAAGCTTCAAGAGAACCTCTTCGCGATCTCTATGACGAAATCTGAAATTCAGGCGGCACGCCAAATCCCTATGTCTAATATACCTTTGGTAGTAGTCAGCTCGGGTGTAGAGGTTCGGAAGAGCCAAAAATGGGCCAAGACCCAAGAGGATCTTACCAGATCTACAAAGAACCTGAAGAATTGGGATGTTGTTGAGAACGCGTCGCATGAGGTCTGGAAGACACCTGAAGGGATGGAACTGCTGGAGAAGCGACTAAGCGAGTTACTAAGTTGTGAGATTCCCGGCTGATTTAGCCAATACCACATCCGGCGCGCGCCTTTACAAACATCAGCAATGATCATGAATCTGCTCGACAACAAGACCATAAAATTTCCAACCTGCAGTTGAAGGGATTATTCCAAAGGTCCCTGCATCTGATCTCACTTCTTCGATGATCCCCCAGAAACCGTGGCTAAAACTGAGCAGAGCTGTCGTCGCCTCGCCCTGGAGCCACAAAACCGCGTCCTATTCAATAGTCCCAGAGTCTGTGGAATCAAGAGGAGTTCAAGCTACGAGAGATTGTTTAAAATGGCCGCATTTTGCTCACGAAGGTTGTGAAAACAAAGGGTAATCTTTTATCGCTCGTGTCGGTATCAGTCGTAGCAAGCTGGATGGGTAGTGTCCCTAATTTGCAACGGGCTCCTAGGATACAAGCCATCATTTAACTAATTTCCTGTCAAAAAAACCTTCTGATAACCTATTCACACACTAATGCCTTACGTATCATTTCATAAAATTCGAAACTCCATCGTAGCATAGCACAGCAAGTCAGAACGTGTGGAATTTCGAGTCATCATTTCGTCTCTTGGTCTCACACGGAAAACCGATTTGAACCGGCTGGCCAAGGACGCAGTGGGCATAGAGAAGAAGCACCCCTTCAAACATCTTCTCTCACGGGAGAAAGGATACATACGCAGAATGATCTACCAAGAGTGGGAACAAGAATGGAGGACCTCGAAAAATGGAGGGCACCTGCGCCGGATCGACCGAGGCCTGCCATCCAGCAGGTCTCGTCGTCTATATGGCTCGCTCCCTCGAAATCGAGCATACCTGCTCACGCAACTTCGGACAGGCCATTCGTGGCTGGCAACGTATGCCAAACAATATGGTTTCCGGGCAGACGAGCGACGCGAGTGTGGGGCCACCGAAACGGTAATGCACGTACTCATCGACTGCCCGCGGCTTAGCGCAATACGTCAAACACTGCGGCAGAAGATTGGAGGAGCCTTAAATAACATATCGGATATGCTAGGAGGAGCAGGTCAAGGTAGGGAAGGTAGGCTACAAGATGTCCCGCCGGACAGCAGCGTCCTCGGGGCGGTCCTGGACTTCGCGGAGGCATCGCAGAGATTTCGAAGTCGCGCGCCACAAGGGCGGCAAAACACAACCCCAGGCACTGGCCCACACAGGCCTTGACGAGGCTCTAAGTTCGTCAAGAAAGTAATAGTTCACGTTCACAAGATGTACATAGAAAGTATAGGTAGTGGATCCTGCATGTCGCCTCAGGCGAGGGGTCAGCGTATGAATCATCATCATCATCATCATCATCATCATCATCATCCTTGACGTGTCTGAGATTTCGTTGCCATTTTATCTAATGGACTCGGTTTGTGTTCTTGCAGAATCACAATTCTCAAATCACCGTGTCTGCTATTCAACCTTCATTCGACTCTCCTTTTTGCAACACCTGTCTTGGTATTGACCATTTTGTGGAACCTCAGTTTTTTTTATTTCATTCATTTGCTCATTTTTCGTCGGTTTTTCGGTGTCACTGCTTAGGTTTCTGTTAGCCCTGGGGCGAATGCAGGAGAAGCAAGTGCGGCGCAGTGATACTGTGGAGTATGGGCGATAAATAACAGACATTGTATTAATTCGGAAATTGATCGCAGGTCCAACAGCAAAGAGATAATGATGGAGTGATATAAATTGGCTTTATAAGTGTGTCTAAAAGATATCACAGAATAAACTTCTCACCTCGGAGCAAAGCGACTAATTCTCACTTTTAAGTGCCTTAAATGGTGGTGATAAATTTGAGTTTTAAATCTAACGACATGGTTGATCTACAGACACCACTTGTTAATACTCTCCAGATGGCGAATCATTTACTAACCCATGAAATGGCTGTGGTGTGCTATAACAAAAATGAAAAGAAATGCCGATCACAGAGTCTCATTCTAGGTTCGCCCAGTGCACAATCAAACTAAATTCTTTTATTCTGAGTCATGCCCCTGGGAGACGGATAACCAGTTGCTGGGTTCAGCATAGAACGAAATAGTACGGGACGAAATAGTTTCGCAACTGCTTTCGAGTACGAAGTAGCCCGGTCATTTCATTGGTTGATTTCCTGCCATCGACATGCGGGACGATTTTAAAGGAATATCCTGTGGTAATCCATTCTTTCCAGTATCAATCTTTTCCTCCTATTCAGTCTTATATTCAATTCTCCTCATGGAAATACTTTAGGATACCTCAGAGTGTAAATCTCTGCCACCACGGTTGGAAGATTGCAATCTTAGATTAATCATCTTTAGCAATGATTCTGTCGCGATTAAACTATTTTCGGTCACTCTTGCAGTAAGTGACGAATTATCTTCATAACCTCGCGAACCATACTGTCTTCCTTTAAGGCTGGATAGATTATTCTAGACTTAACTGGTATTATTTCTAAGGCCACAATTCCAACCTCACCAGAATTTTCGGGTCCAAACTGGAGCTTCTTGTTGAGGTCTCGCAGGAATTTTATGTATGTATATAAACAAGTCCCTATACCATGATGAATAGCACAGGTAGAAGGATGCCCCACGCCATTGGACTGAGAATCATAGCCTCCAATATCATTTCACGTACATCGCTCAAGTATTCACCAGGAGTATCACCTCATAGTAATGAAAAATTCTCTATTGCATAGATACCATGACTTAAATCGACAGAGGCACATGAAGAAAACATACATGGCTTTACGGAAATGAGATTGCAAAGGACTCTTAGGCTTAAAGTAACAATCCAAACAACAGTGCTTTTGCGTGCACAACCCGTCACCATATAGCACGGCCGCTTCTACGCTTCCCAGATCTTTTTCCATAGATCATCCAATGGGCAACCATACCTGCATGAAGAACAATGGTCACCTAACACTTCTTTCCTCCAGCCCCTTCCGTCCCTTCCGTCCCATGCCAAGCTTCTCCAACCTTCCAAAGGCAACCCTACCAAAGCAGCTTGTCACGTTCTAACACCTCAAACGAAGTTCTATATTGGTTTTTTGAAATTAGGTTTAAACTTGATCAGAACACTTCAAACCAGTTCAAAACCAGTATTTAAATTTATATCTTATTGGCAGTATGGAATAACTTGTAGTTATTTAAAGAGTTGGGTGAGAACGGTGAAATATCAGGAGGCTTGTTTATATACTCCAAATTCAGAGATCAAAGATCATTCAATCATTTGCAAGGATCAATCTTCCGGTTGGGGTCTTGCTAGTGAAACCAAATTCCCTACTAAAAACTTTCTCACCGTGCAACCATGTCTCTCGGACTAAGCCACGGAGCTTGCGACCTTGGTAGGGAGATAATTTGTTACGGAAGCGCATGGTGCTGGGATCAACAGTCCAAGCGATCGTTTCGTCAAAGACACAAATGTCAGCGTCGTGACCGGGAACAAGGTCGCCCTTTTGCTGCCCAAGGCCGACTTGGGTGGCGGTGTTAATGCAGCATAATTGCGCAATGTCTTGAAGGGCATGCTGGATACTAGTCGCGTCAGTGCTCGTGTCCAAATTCCTTCGGCGGCTTAGCTCATTCCACAGAATGGAAAGACCCAGTCCGACAGAAGAAATTCCTCCCCAGGCGAGGAGGAAACTGCCTTCATGAATCGTGGAGCTGGCATCGTATGTGAAGCAATCTGGATTATATAAGGGCAGCAACTTCATTTCTGGAGTGCAAGGGGAATGATCAGATACAATGGTCTTGATGACACCATCATCGGCGTGGCGCTCCAATTCCTCCCAGAGACAGTCTTGATTGAGTCGCGACCGGATTGGAGGATAACATTTGTAGCGGGTATCACCATTGTGAATGTCCTCGGCAGTCAGAGAGAGGTAGTGGAAACAGGTCTCAGCAGTAATTGAAATGCCGTTTGCACGAGCCTTGCGAAGCGATGGAATTGCTTCCATAGCAGATAGGTGAGCGATGTGCAGAGGCAGATTAGGAGCTAAGGGAGCTAGAGAGAGAATCTTTTCAACAGCACGAGTCTCATACGATGATGGACGTGATGCAAGAAACGTGGAGTATGCCTCAACCGGGCCGTTCTGTGGAGGCTCAGTATCTCCAGGCATCTCTGCATGAAATATAAGGATCGTGGGCTCATTGGCTAATTCAGTCATGATCATTCGGATATCATCTAGGGAAACAGCGGGGAATTCGTCTACCCCGCTGTCAATCAGAAATCCTTTAAAGCCGCGAACACCCTCTTTCACTAGAGCCTTCAATTCGCCTGCATTGCCGGGGATGACGCCGCCATAGAATCCGACATCTACCCAGCACCTGCCATGTGCTGCACGGAGTTTCTCTTTTAAGTTAGCCACTGTTGTCGTAGGAGGTATAGAATTCAATGGCATGTCAATGATCGTGGTAACGCCGCCAGATGCAGCGGCTTGTGTGCCGGTATAGAAACCTTCCCAATCGGCACGACCGGGATCGTTGAGGTGAACATGGGTGTCAACTAGTCCAGGCAGAAGGACATATGGGGAATAGTCTGTGTACAGGGTTCCGGCAGGAAAGTTGGAGGCAGGGGTCACGGAGTTGAAAACTGCTATGATTTTTCCCGTAGTGCGAGAGATTATGATTGTGGCAGCCCTCAGACACCCTGAAATGACAGCGCGTGAGGACACAATCACTCTGATTTCTGTTAGATGATAAGGGTCCATTCTATATGTGAGCCACGATAATGGGGTCGGGCATGAGGTCTATTCAAGGACAAAGAGGGAGAAGATAAGAAGAACTGTTAAGAAAGCCGAGACGGGATTTCCGAGCGCAGGAAAATCAAATGGGTAATCACGAGTTAGTGATGACCTTTTATCACCATTTCCCTTCCAATCTGTGCTTCCCTGATGCATTCTCATTGTACTTGGGGGCGCCGTGGCTAATTCCATCGCGAAATCGAAAATAGTTCTACAACATTTATCGCCACATTGCCGCCTTCGCATGCAAACCGCCTTGCAGTAAACTGAAGAACCTAAAGGTTCGGTGCTATGATAGTTCGCCACAGAGCCTGAATTGTGGAATACAGAATACTGGAACCCATATTTTGTCTAAGCTGTCGAGTCAATCTTCATCTTTCTAACTTAACGCTTTCTCGTGTTATTACGAACTGTTTACGTGTCCACAATGTAGGTTTGGGACGGTTAAAAAAGATGATTCACCGAAATCGCGGCATAAGGCCCTCAAATTCTAAGAAAGGCAGCTATCACACTTTAGACGCTTATTTTGCACAGCCACTTGATATTTGTAAATATTATATGCACTTTTGATTGTGAGGGAGAAGTGCCGGTTCCATGGATAAAGGTTGACTGTGATTTCGTAGTAGAGTCGTCACGACCGTGATTAGTTACCAATACCTTCTTACTTCAATTACGTCACTGTTGTAGAAGAACCTTAAACATGTGGAGAAATTACGCTGAATAGCCAATCTTCAATAAAGCGTGTTAGGCGAGTGGAGCAAGTCAATCAGTCTCTTAGGCGTTTTAGTAGGCATTTCCACTCCGCCTTTCACGTGTAAATACGTTTGACTTGGATGTTTCACACAAAACCTTTCAATCGGCAACTTGATAAGATGTAGTACTACTTTTTTCTGGTGTTGTCAAATTTCCGCCTTATCCTCCATCCAAAGATCTAACAAGAATCAGGATTGTTGATCCCACGACTGGAGTGCCGGCCAAGCCACTACATTATTAAATACGAAACTCTGAACCTTGAATGCATAGTCAATGGATTTTTTGTTAATACGACAAAGATGCTGCGTCCTTTGGATGGTACCAATCCTCGAGGACAAGATGTATTCGCAGACTTTTCCACATGATGGGGCACACGCATTGTTCTCGGCTACTCTCGTTGGACGGTATCAATTGCAAATCCGAAGACCAGCTGCATCGAGTAGAGTCAACGGATAACTTTTGCGCACACATCTAAACCTTATATGCTCATCATTTTTGGCAAAGAAGGGGGCCTAAAGGATACAGCCAAGTACAGGGAGTATTTAGGACGACGCGATATAAAATTGTCGCGTTTAGGAGGAGATCCAAAGATTGGAGATACTCTGGCCCGGAAACCGACTGAGCGTAAGCTATCTGATGATCGGTTAAGAAAACTTTATCTCGAAGATCGGAATTATTTTCTCAACAGAGTCGAAACTATCTGCAACCTCCTTAACGGAAGTCCCGTCCAGGATTACATGCTTATAGGAAAGAGACTCAAACAGTGTTGGAACTTTTCACACAGGTCTTATTACCGCTAACGGAATCTTCAAGGTGGGGGGAATCACTGGAGCAACAGATTGTGTAAGTTGGTGTGGATTTCGGTGTGCCCCTTGTATCAGCATGCATGCGACTTCTCGTTTGGAGAGTATAATCTTTGAACATACTCTGACCATGGCTAACGTCCGGAACCCATGTAGTCGCCAGATTGAGTGCGATATCACACTCAGCCCCCCTTGCAACTCCCCTTGAGATAGCTTAGTGTCATTTCAAAAGGATGATTTTCGGGAAAGTCCATTCGCGTATGACGCGCTTATAGCTTTATCCTAAAGGCCAGCCGGAAGCTGTGACAATCATTTTGGGCGATGAAGTGAACGAAAGAAAAGTGACTATTCCGGGCTTGGCCGCAATGGTTGACCATATCGCACAGTAACTAATAATTTGGCGCATTTATCAGACGAATATATTTTAGGGATATGTAGCTTGCAGTGATAAGAATTGGAAGTAAGATTTTTATTTTCCACCACCCTGATACAATCAGAAGAAATTTCGATACATGCAGCTTCCAAAAGCAGGATCATAAAACTATCAAATTGAATATAGAAATGGGCATATAATCCAATGTCTGTAATATCTCCAGAAACCTTACGAGAAGGTTTTGTTGAATGTCATGATTATCTCCTTGATTTGATCTTCCAGATCATGGCTCAGGTGTCCATCCTTCTCGATCTTGCGAAGCACATGAGGCCAATACTTTCTGAAATAGATCAGGAGGCCGGCTTCCCAGCGCGAGATTTGGCTGACGGGTAGCCTGTCAAGAAAGCCGTTGATACCAGCATATACTAAGGGCACCATCTCTTCCACAGGCAATGGTGCGTACTGCTTTTGTTTCAAAAGCTCTGTTAAACGCTCACCGCGTCTGATGGTTTGCTTGGTATTTGCATCTAGATCCGAACCAAACTGGGAAAATGCGGCAATCTCCCGGTACTGCGCAAGATAGAGCTTGAGTGAACCAGCAACTTGTTTCATGGCTCTCAGCTGCGCTGCAGAACCTACCCGGGAAACAGAGAGTCCGACATTAATCGCAGGACGAATGCCTCTGTAAAACAGTTCCGGTTCTAAATATATCTGACCATCCGTGATAGAAATAGCGTTCGTGGGGATATAGGCTGACACATCCCCACCTTGAGTTTCAATGATGGGAAGAGCAGTGAGAGAACCGCCGCCATAATCATCATTCAGCTTTGCTGCACGCTCAAGGAGGCGAGAATGAAGGTAAAAGACGTCTCCTGGGTACGCCTCGCGTCCCGGTGGCCGACGAAGCAATAACGACATCTGACGGTAGGCCACTGCGTGCTTTGACAAATCATCATAGATGATGATAGCATGTAGACCATTGTCTCGGAACCACTCTCCCATAGCACACGCGGCGAAAGGCGCAATATACTGAAGAGGCGCGGCTTCAGACGCCGTAGCGGCCACAATGACTGTGTATTTCATGGCATCATTTTCCTCCAAAGTCTTCACGAACTGAGCCACGGTGGACCGTTTCTGCCCCACAGCTACATAGATGCAATATAACTTTTTCGACTCGTCATCTGAATTAATCCATCTCCGTTGGTTCAGAATGGTGTCCAAAGCAATAGCAGTTTTCCCAGTTTGGCGGTCACCAATAATCAATTCACGTTGACCTCTACCAATAGGCACCATGGCATCAATCGCCTTTATACCTGTCTGGACAGGTTGGTTGACGGAGCGGCGAGGCAGGATTCCAGGTGCCTTGAGGTGAGCACGACTCTTTTTGAGCGTCTCGATAGGCCCGTTCCCATCGATAGGATCTCCCAGTGCATTAACCACCCGCCCTAGCATCTGAGGGCCCACGGGAACTCTGACAATCTCGCCAGTGCGTCGAACAGTCTCACTCTGTTTGACAAGACGATCAGGGCCAAAAAGCACAATACCAACATAGGCAGCCTCCAGATTCATGCACATGCCTTTCACTCCGGATTCAAATTCAACGAGTTCTTCGGCCTGCACATTAATCAGCCCACGCGCGCGAACTATACCATCACAAACAGACAGCACATGTCCCGTTTCAGCAAGGCTTGGTGTTCCATTTGTTCCATAAATCCTTTGCTCCAGAATGGACGACATTGTGGTTACACCTCTGGCGTTGTATCTTGAAACAGTCGGTTTCGAGAGAACATCCTGAAAGCCTGTTGCATTGTAAATGAATCTAGCCCTTCTTAGCATTTGAGGTAGCGGTGGCAGATCGAGGGGTTGATTGTCTTTTGCACTTGGATTTATAGCAGAGTGCGAGAATCAAGACGATGAATACGCTGTAAGGAGTCCTAGCTTCAATAGTTCTCAGAGTTCTGTTGGTTGCGTAGTGATGACGACCTCCAAATTTCAATCTTTTCTCATCCTACCGTGGTTGGCTTTCTTCTCCAGCCTTTCGTGTCGAGTTCGTACTCTAACCATCCAAGGTGGGTACTTGCCGCGCATGGATCGTTCTTAACTTAGCGGTCTTTCTGAAATTGAAAACAGCTAGACATCCTTAAGAAGAATATTTGATAAGCACCAGGATACAATATCTAATACTCTTATTCAAGGAACGGTCTAAATCTGCTCCTATAGCTAATAGGCCAATCCATCTATCCATGTTTTGATCGGCACGATTATTTTCCAGCCCGTGTCATCAGACCGAGCACACGACCAGCAGTAATGGAAGACCATCCAGACCACAGCAGCCATTCGAAGGATTGATGCCTGCTGCAAACGCTTGAATCGGTCTTGTATTGTTTATGTTATTTATGCAGTGACAGATATATGTAGGCACTATTCTTAGTTTGTGGCTAAGAAGCATTTTTATTCTTACTTTGCGCTCGGAAAGCACCTTTGGTAAGCAACAGTACTGAGATGCGCGCGGCATAAGTCATGCTGGGATTCTTTGGAAGAACCCCGGCGTGTGAGCTTTGCGCAACTGAGAGAAAGCGGAAATTATACTCGATTCCACCATTTGTCTCTAAATATCCCAGATTCTCTGGAAAAGTTGAATTTAAGTGAAAGGCTGATAACCTGTTCCTCCGTATCGGGTTCGGTTGTGGAAAAATCTGCTCCCCAGATACCGCATTTCATGCGCTTGGTGTCCTTCCCCATGAAGCGCCGGCGTTCTCAGCAGCTCATATGTAGGCTTGAAAGGCAGGAGAATCACGTTTCGGAAGGTTTAGAGCGAATTCTGCGCTCTCAAGGGCTTCCACTTGCGGATGCTTGGTCATGGCATTACACAGGGACACCTAAATACCTTAAATATGCTTGGCCGAGTTATCGAAATATGTTAATCGCTTCTCTGATATTATTTTCTCAATGCATGATACCACTCATTTTAGGCTTATCTAGCGTTCATATGTACTAATTATATAAAAGGCTTGTTGCATGAAATAGAAAACATTAGTCAAAAGGAAAAGTACTGATGAACATAGACAACTATTCTACATCTCACGACTAATAAGATAGCATTATTCTTTTCCTAGATCGCCCGCAGCCTTTGCTGTGACTAGTTTTATCTCAACCAGCATCGCCTCGAAAGGACAATTCGCCGGTAGTAATCCCATATATATATTCTCCAGATTGACAGCGTCCCAAATTATTTCCTTGAAGTTTGAGCCATTTCTGGCCCGAATGCAACCGAGCCACTTGTCGGAAGGAGCGGGTCTGAATATAACAACGCGCTTGTTTTGATACCCTTCGACCATTTTCGAATAGCAATATGTCCAATTTTCATCGAAAGATTCCAATCTGGACTCTTTAAACTCGATTCCGAACTAGGAAACCTTAATTATTTTGAAGTAGCCTCCGTCGTTAATAGAGATCGTACCTTTTCTAAAATGTTATCCATCAGGGAGGTCTGATTCTCAGCGGCTAGCGCTGGGAGTGGGTAATACCACACATTCATACTTGAAAGAAGAAACTCAGTGTGTCTTCTTTAGACTTTCACCAGGCAAGTAATTCGAGAGAATTTTTGTCGCATGTATATAACCGCCTTTGCTCACCACAGACCTAGGAACGGTTATGGCACATCCCATGATCTGCAATTCACGGGGTAAATTAACTCGCATCCAGAAAGTGTCTATGACTATTAGTCATTTAAAGGTGAGTGAGTCATTGGCAGGAAATTGACCAATTAATTTACCAGGCTGCTTCGCACTTGCGACACTATTTCGTGGCCCTGTATCATTTAGTTCTATGCTTAACTCAAGCGATTGATTGCCCGCCTCTCAATATCAATGATTCAGGATGAAACAACTCGATAAAAGGTTTGGTTTGACTGTGTGCTGGGGAAGACTAGTCCTTTTAGCTGCTACTTTTGTCAAGCCGCGGAACCACGAACCTCGAATGAGAATCTTGTGATTAGCTTTTCTTTACAGTTACAACAACAACAGCCATTCCATGAACTAGTAAATGAGTCACCATCTGGAAAGAATCAACTAGGTCTTATTTGTAGATCTCCCACATCGTCCGTCATAATAAACCTTAATTTTCGATTTAATATGCTCGTTCTCGAACTGGACTTTTGTGATTTTGCTCTTCTACTTGGGACAGTGGCAAATAATCCCTGCTTGGAAGTCGAAAAGGACTAAGTAATGACCAACGGAAACTTCGGATAGCTGTCATCTAGGAAACCAAACGAATCATCAGAAACTCTGATGTAATTTGTCGCCACCACTCTAGGTACTTGAAAGTGAAAATTAGTCGCCTCACCCCGTGATTAGATATTTTTTCTATGATGCCTATTAGACACACTTATAAAGTTAACTTATAACCCTGATGATTGTGAAGTCAGATACATTTTTCAAACAAACATCATGTCTGCTATTTATCGCCCGGGCGCAATAACATCGCTGCGGCACACTTGCCTCTCCTCCATTCGCTCCAGGGCCACCAGAAATTTGAGCAATAACTCCGAGAAACCGACGAAAGATGAGCGAGTCAATAAGACAAAGAATGCTGAGGTTCCACAAAATGGTTGGTACCAACACAGAAGTCGCATAAAGGAGACTCGAATGAAGACTTATCAATAGAACCCTGATTCAAGACATTGTGTTTCCGCAAGATCACGAACCAAGCCCATCAGATAAGAGAGCCACGAAGTCTAAAAAACACCAAGGATCCTCGAAATATTACAGTCTGAAAAACCATCGTGAAGGACCCAATACAGAAAGTGGAGAATTGGACGTCAAGCAAAACAAAGAGGAGGTCAGATTGCACAATAAGGATTTTGAGCAGAGATTCGAGAAGGATAAAGGTTGATTGGCTTTTAAGCAATACTGTTTCGGTCGGAAACTTCATCGAATCCAAACAAGCGCAATGCAAAACAATATATGCCTGTTAGGTTAATCTTATCTTTTGTACGCAGCGTGTAATAAAATCGGTTTTCCGTGTGAGACTAAGAGGTGAAATGAAGACTTGAAACTCTTTTGAACGTCTGACTGGTTGTTGTATGCTATGATGAAATGTTAAATTTTATGGGAAAATGAGTAAAGCATTAGTTTGTATGAATGTGCTATCAGAACGGTTTTTGGCAGCAAATAAGTTAAATGATGGCTTTTATCCTAGGAGCCTATTGCTGATTCAGGGAGACTACCCATCCAGCTTGCCATGACTGATATCGACATGAGCAAGAAAAAGTTAGCCTTTGTTGTTACACGCCTCGTGAGCAAAATTGCGGCAATTTTAATTAATCTCTTGTAACCACTCCTTTGGTTCCACGGGCTTTGAAATCATTGAATGGGGCGCGCGGTGTTATTGGCTCCAGAGCGAGGCGGCGACAGTTCCGCTCAGCTCTGGCTACGACTTCTGGGGGATGGGTTCCATGAAGTAAGGCAAGACGTAGAAACTGATGAAGTGTTTCTATCAGCTTCAATTGAGGTGTTAAAGTCGTTTGATGTTAAGCGAATTCATGTTTACTGCTGATGCTTAAAAATGCTCGCGCCCGGAAGTGGTATTGGTCAAATCAGCCGGGAATCTCACGACTTAGTAATTCATATAGTCGTTTTTCCAAGATTTAATTCCTTCAGCTATCTTTCACACCTCGAGTGATGCGCTATAAAATTCCAATATCTGAGACTTGTTGACTAGAACTGAATTTTGACAGGTGATCTGCCAGTTTGGCCGATTGACCCTGGAGAATTTCATCGCCACACTGTGCGTGCCTGAGCGTTTCCTCTTCCAAATCCAAAATTTCATGACGAAGAGACCCTAGCTCCTTTCTCAACTGGGATTGTGTCTGAATCAGCCCCTTTAATTGATCCACTAAGTGTTGCGTAAACTCTTTCTTCTTTTTGCGCGACTTTTTTGCTGCAATCCGATTCCTGTCTAGTCTAAGCCTTCGGTTTTGCTGATTTAGAACTTTAGTGTCTCGTTTGTACAACCCATGCCCTTTGAATTCCAAAAAGCAGTCGGAGCTTTCATCGATGTCTTTGACCCTATCACGAGAGATTATTTCAGAATTTGGAGAGTGAAAAGGGCTTAATGGATATAATAAAAGATCACGGTGACCAGACTTCATGTAGTCTTGTGTTGATGGCGACAATGGCGGGGTGGGGTTAAGCGAGATCCACTGCAGAAATGCGCTGTCCAAAGCTGTTGGCTCTTGTTGCTGCGTTTGCGCATGCTCATGTGTGGCTACTGCAAAAGAGTTTTCAGCAGTGGAGGATGTTTGCTTTGCTTTTGCTGATTTATTACTGGGATCGAGCAAGATAGTGCCATGAATACCCCAAAGAGATGAGTATGTCAAGTCAGCCTCATATTCACTTGAGGGTGGCAAGGTTGCATCGCAAGATTCGGAGTTAGGTGACATGATAGATAAATCCTCATCTATGTGAGAAGCTGCTTGGTTAGAGGAGAGAAGAGACAGTAAACTCACTGATTGTCAAAACTTGAGACAATAAATAACATAAAATTAGATTGACACTCACAATTGAAAATATTAGTGGTGGTCTTTATTGCTTACTTCGCGAGGGAAATTGCCGGCTCTGGATAAGGTAAACGAACATCTGTTCAACCAAATATGGTGTTTTGAGACTCAGAGGCTAGAATATCATGGTTTTCCCGCAATCTAGGAGTATTGCTTACTTCAATCAGAATTTGTGGGCAACATATAGTACAGTGGTTGCATCCAGATACGCCCCCATATTGTCAATGATGGGTGAGAAATGACGACATTCACAGCGTTACTATCGCACAGGATTGGTCGGCAGCAAATTCCGGAAACCTCGATCGAATAAATTGCCCAAGTCAAGACAAAGCGTATGCTGTAAGAATAGTTCGATGAACCGCGGGTGCTTTTCATGTTGCTTTGCATTTTGATCAAATTGTTCTCTTTGAATAGCGAACGGGCTTAAAAATAAAAATCTATAAATGATCATGTGTTTTCTGTCACACTAAAGCTACAGGTAAAATCAAGGTATCACGCCTCTTTAAAACAAGCACTATCTCCAACCAATATTTTCTTTGTTGGGGTAGGTTCTCAGTCGTCAGGAGAAGTTCAGCTAGCACCGTGATCAGTAGCACCAGCAATGATTCTGATTGAAATTTTCAAGCCCTACAACTCACAATTAATGTTGATCGTTATCTTCTTCGATGGGCATAATTCGGACATTGTCTTCCCGTTTTTCTGATCACTACGGCTCGTCTCGTCTTTGAGATAGGATACAGCTAGGGAATAGAAACCTCTTGTGTCAAAATGCAAAAAGCCTCCGAGATAGGAAATAACTACCGAAATCCGTCTACTCGAAAAGTGATTTAATCTAGTTATTATGCAGATGTTTGGATATCGTTGCCGGTTCCGCGACAATCAACGCGGTTTTTGGCATACCTCGAAATGGGCGCGCAGCTGAAACATTGGCGCCCGATATATGCGAAAAGCTCCGATATCAACTGCTTCTCAACCGTGACACCGGGGAAATTATCGTACGCGGTGCTGAGCACGAAAATAATCGCGAGACCAAGCAACCGGGAACCATCTGAGTATTTATACTGCGGCAGATATTGCAGGCGAACTCGTAGCGCTCCTGCAGCTCAAGCACGTCTACCAGTCCAATGTCAGTTGCAGAGACTACGAGGTTGAATGCCCAATATGAGCATACAGAATACTCACGACTCAATCACATGAAAGTTTCAAATACTCCAATCTTGCTGTTCCTGCTCCAAGTGCTTCTTTCCCAATGAATGCCACAATAGGTAAGGTTTCAAAAGGGAGCTGTTGGCTGATGTCTTTATGTTTCTACAGGCTTTCCTAAGCAAGGCGTTCTGCACGAATTTCACGATTCTTCGATTTGGGCTCCGGGTCTCGTCAAATCAAATGGTCCTTACATTTCTCTTCTGTGTACTTTAGGACTTTAGGTCTGTTCTAGATCTCGATTGAATAAGATGGAATCTTGTCCGCACGGTGAGAAGTCTGGTTTCAAGGCTAACCGCTCATATCGTGCTCCCGCAAATCATGAGCGAATTCAATTTCTAGTTTTCCTCGGTTCCTGTTGTTGCATGCTTCTTTCATGAACTCTTCGCTTTCTTATACGAAGTCCCATCCATGAATACGAAGCGGTTCGAGAAATAACAAGATCTCAACTGCTGACCAATGTATCCAAATGCACCAAACCAAATCCCGTGGCAGGACTTTAGCCAAGGAGAACGAAGTCTGATGTCACTTCAAGTTCAGTCATGTTCTAATGCTCATTTCTTTTGGTTTATATAATTAGCTGCAGAAATAAATAACGCTCCCCAGATCTCCATCAAGCTTATCACATGTCTAATGGATGGTTTGGCTTTAACAGCCCGGGAGCTCTATACATCTGGAATGCCCTGTTATTTTGGATTACAGGACGTCCTGACTGGTATGCCCCTCACATTTTCATGTTCAAAAAATCTCTAGCTTTGACTTCCTTCAAGATCCTGGTCAACTTCCAGATGAATGTTCAATATGCTAGGAATCGCTCAGCCCTGCCTCTTTTTTCCGCCTTCTTCCCTGCGGACACATGTTCCATCTCCCATGTATTGATACATGGATTTGCAACGAGGATGCTCGCTGTCTTGTCTGTCGCCACACGTTCTATCATCTGAAAAGGGCCAGGATGGGTAGTATCTTACAGATCAAAAACGCGTTAAACATCAAGGCTCAACGATTCAGATATTTCTCAAAGGCCGTGAGAGAATTTCTTGTGGGATTATTTGGTGGATCGACTCCAGATTAAGCCCATCAGTTGCCATTCTCAATCTAAATTAATTATTTCTAATTTTACTTATCTTTCAGATCCAGTAAGTGTAAAGGGGGTTTGAATCAGGCGGGGAGCCGGCCTCGAACGGCTTCAATCTTATTTCGATTTCGAATCTTGCGTACCTCTTCTTCCACATAGTCTCGTTAGTAAGGGTTCCACTTTGGAGGGATTTCAAGTTTGAGAGTGTAAGGGCCGAATCAAAAGTTATTCAAGACTAAGTCCGCAGTCGCCACGACATATGAAACTGGTACTGAATGTGAAATTTACCTATAAATAATGATTGAACAGAGATCATCTGATCGAAACTAATGCAATAGATAAGGAGCAACTTTCCTTTCCAACAAAGCTTGCTGAGCCCAGGAGCCTGACGCCGGAAAAAACTTTGGACATCAATATATGCAACTATTGCCTGTCATAATGTCAACGCTCCCAAGAAGTCAGTTTGCCTGCATATAAATTTGCCTTCCACAAACAAATTTCACATTTTCGCATTTCAGCCTTTGTTTTGTCGCCATTTGCAAACATGGAGTAAGACACGAGTAGCTAATTTTATCAGTTTTGTGGTCGCAAACTGCCCACAATCAGGATCACAATCAGAATTGCATTACCATGGTGCTTCAGGGAGACAAAATATTACCTTCAGACATCACTCTTACGCCGACATCCTTCTCCCTCAATGGTGAGAAATGTGCATGTTCATTCGAACTTTACGATGAGATCAATCATATGCAACCCTCGTATGAGTTTGACGGTGGTTGGTTGGTAGTCAAGGTGCCGAAGAAGAGTCTTTCTGGCTTATACTGGCCAACCTTGACCAGGGAACAGCTGCCATTCATAGTGACAGATTTTAATCGGGTAAGCAACCGCCTCTGCCCTTGATCGTGCTGGATTGATTATCCACGGAAGAGAATCCACAATATAAATTTGTAATTTGATTTTAGACCGTTGAAGTAGACGACCAAGACATAATTAGTCTTGAATGGTTTAACTCAGATTCGCACCACCAGCTCTGATGCATCTACTTCGGTGTATATGTCAAATCGAGTCAAAAGGTTGGCGATGGTCCTCCGCATAAATTCCGACCGCGTTTACAAATTCAAGGGCTACCAGCCTGGAAATTGAAGTTCTACATTTGTCATTCGGTATAAGCAGTGCCTGGCTTAGGGTAGAAACTCGTTATGAATTTGCTTCATTTTCTGCGACTAAGTATTCCGCGCGTGAATGAGAGGTTAACGGAAATGCAGACCAAAATGTGGCTATACCACTTGGAAGATAATTTTAACCAAATTCTGAGCGACAAACCAGAAAGAAATATATATTGCCATCTGTCACAATCATATGCCGTCTCAGAAAGTCGAGGAAAGATACTGCGACCCGGAGCTGCTTGGTTTTTGGAATGCTGAAACTCGTCATTAGTGGCGCAGTATTAGGCCCGAATGGGCCCGTGCAGGGGAATGTATCGCTGATCGTGGACCTGCTGAATCGCAGAGTTGGAAATGGTGACTGCCAATAAAGTATAATATGGGTTTGATCCAGGTTATCAGTATCGAGTGTCGTATTTCTATTACTCTTTGACTTTCAATGACGTCAACATGTCACAAGAAATAGCCTTTTACAACACGAGGGAAAGCTCTTTCATGAATGAGTGAACAAAGTAGTAACTTCCAAGCTCCTATAGATTATACCCTTTTGTTAGGGTATTTGTTCCCGCTCGTTAACGATGATCGACAAGGAAGCATAAACTACTCCCACTTGAGATTACTTACAATATCTGTATGTGTCTCTCAACTGGTGACCTTGGATCCCTGATGCGAGTTTCGAAAACGTGTCCATCTCGCAGCGCAAAGTAACTACTTTTGGAAGAAGTTTATGAAATGCAATATGCCCTGGTTCTGGGAACTGCAGGAAGGTAGCCCAAACCCTTTGTCTAGTTGTCTTGATTACAAGAAGTTATGCCTTTGGCTCGATACTGTAAGGTGACTTCTGAAGTATATGGAATGGAGGATTTGGGCCTTATGGCTGTAGCTAATCGTCGACGCATCTGGGAAGCGTGTGCAAGGATTGCAGACTTGTATTTGAAAGCGCTAGAAGCAACCCGTGCAGACGCCCAGACCTTCCCAAGGACTGTCGTGGAGTGAAAACATGAGGCTTTGTGTTATGATTTTTGATTCGATTCTATTTACCAAAATACTGACTCCGTGCTACAAAAGCTTCATATTGTCAACTTTGTATATCATGGCATGCAATAACTCTTCTTGCAATTTGTTCAAGAAATAGATTCTTGACGGGAAGTGTTGTCAATGTAGCAATCTAGGAACCGCTGTCACCACTCATTCTGTATTATCGCTTTAGTGATTACTGTGGAACTAAGGTAAGCCAGATAGGGACTGGACGGTAACAGTACCGCGTTACGGCTGTTGCCGTGATAATAAATTCACGGGCCATACTGTATAACAATCATAGTCATACAATAAATAGCACAGCCGGTAACGCAGGGTACTCCGTAACTAAATCAATCCTGTGGTAGCTGGGCAAATGAATGGCTCTGTTGATCTCCGTATACCTCACAGCGAAGTCGTCTCTGTGCATATTCAGAACGCGAGTCCTCCATGCACACTTTAAAAAGGGCAGTAGAAACCCTACAAATACCGCTGGACAGAGACTCATCACGCTTCCAGTGCCACTTCTTCATTTGGTTATCCTCGCTTAAATCTGGCTAGTGGTGCCAGCGCTTCTCGAATAGATATTATAGAGACCAGCCGGCAAATGTGTGCGCGGCTGCGCCAGCTTGCATTGAAATGTGGACCATAACATTGAGGCATAGTTAATATGTGCAAACGGATGTAGATTTCAACTGCACCCGAACCTGGAGAGGTAAGAAGTGTAAAATTCAGCGATTACAGCGTTTCTTGACGTAATAGATGTTGATTTGATGATTGCACACGTTCCATTATAATGAGCGATACGCTTGGCTACCAAAAAAAAGTACATGCTCAACATCTCATAAAGTTGAGGCTTAGCTATGCTGGTGCAACGGCCCTCCTTAGTACACCAGATTCGTCTGGCGAAGTGTTGCACTTGTCGCATAGCCGAAAACTGTGCCAGCTTGCTACTTACCAAAAGTGTACTGTATCTACGGCCGCCCGGTACAACATTTCGACTTTTTGATGTCATGCTCCTCGATGTTCGACGCAACAAAACCAATGATCGGCGGATGTTAGAACACACCTGGTGCGATACTTACCAAGTTCCCTGGTTCAGTCCAAGGCCATCCATCAATCTTTAGTCAGAGCCATGAATTTCCGCCCTTCTAGTCATTCCAATAGTTTGCGTATATCTTTTTCAGCAAGCATAATGAGTGATTTACCGATCTCCTGAAACGAAGAACTAGCGGTGCAGCAGAGATCTGCGCAGGTATTGCTCCGTAAATGCAGCCGACGTCAGCTCGTACTTGAGTAGAAGGACCTCACAGCAACAATGGCTGCCGAATATTTGGCACCTGCAGCGCGTTGGCGAGATGTTGCCGAGACGCGATCGTTGGTATTGATTTCTAGTCACCGACTTCAGGTGACGAAAAGGCAAGAGCTCAGGAATACTCTAGACCCGGCTCTTGCTTGCTTGATGGTCGATCGTATCGTTTTCGTATGTTGAAGAGCCGTCTTCCGTATTGGTGGTTGGGAATGCTAAATCGCCGCTCTCAGACCAGAATCCCAGTGGGCAAGTGTCACGTCCAAGCTTTTCGCATGGTCGAAGCTACACTGTGACGAGGATTTCGAGGTGGAGCATTGTCTACCAATGAGAGGCCTCGAAGATAGAAGGCCGTTGCATGCTGTCAACTGACACGCATCCGTTTGGTCCTAAGCTCATCACTGCCTACATACATTCTCTTTAAGTGTCCTTTTCTGCTTGGTGTAGGTTTTGGAAGTAGCAGTTGATGGTTCGAGTAAAACTGGTGAGAATCAATTATCAAGGCTCGTTGCAGCTCTTTACTCCACAACATTCTCAGGGCAAAGGTCGTCATGCACAACACCCTAAGAAAGAAGACTCTTTTTCGACCGTACAATTTCCCGCTGCATGTTTGTGTCGATTTTTGTGTTATCAGTAGCGTATGTCGAATCCAACCCGCGCCATGCAAGTAGATCTTAGATAAATTGATGGCTCCCAGAAACACTGGCATCGCAGAGCCCTGAATGCTCTGTAAAATGGATAGACTTATGTTTTCCGCAATGCCTCGTGCCATAGCCGTAGAGTTGTGCCCTTTCCTATCACCATATAGCTGTATGTGGAACAGTTCACTTTAAATAGTGCGCCGTGTAATCCAGATTGCTCGAGTGGTTCACAGCACTCGTCCAGGTTCTCGTCCAACTGTTACTTGACCAAAGAGACCAATTCAGCGGCCCGAATTAGATAGCGGTCGGTCTTCAGGGCAACTCGCGGACCTTTACATTCGGGCATTGTGAATCCAATATATCGCCGCGTTGTAAGCTCAACGGACATTTCTGTGGGCAGATCTCATAATTGTGTAGGCGAAATTGACCGGCATGGCGTTGAAAGGAATTCTCTGCGGCGGTCGGCGTAGAATGCGGGGCGGGGCGGCGAGGACGCGGTCCGGCGAGGACGAGGTCAGACTGTAACATCGCTTTCGTTGTGCAGCAGGAGATAAATCATTATCAGGCTCCGAAGAATGGGCACAGCGAGTGGAATGAGTGAGTGGGCGGCCGAGGGAGGCAGGCGATTTGACAGGAGTCGATGACTGATACTCAAATGACGTAACTTAGACTCCGGGCTGATGTAATCGGATCCTGGAAGTTTCTGCCGCAACTCGCCCGGTTGAACCTGGGATCGTGCATAGCCGAAACTGATTTCCCAGATTGATAGCTGTGATCGAGCAGCAGTCCGCCTGGCTTGATCTCGACGGCCGACTAGAAGCTCATTAGGAAGAGACAAACACTCTCTCGATCGCGGTCCGACGACCCTCAATGCCACTCTCGACGTCGAGATTCGGCTCGCATAGATAGTGTAGAGACTCATTCCATCTTTCTTTACGTCCTTCCATGGTCAGTTGTCTGCCAATTTGCTCACCTTGAAGATCCTCATAATGCTTCGACTTATCATAGCCTCGTGTTTGGAGGAAGCCTCGTATCTACTTTCTCAGAGTACGGTAACTACAGGGAATTAGTTAACAAAGAAACAGCTGAATAAGCAACTCATGCCAAGCCTCTGGTAGTGGGGCCAACAAACAATCGACACCTGTTTGAGAGTCGGACAGATAGGATCATAGCGTGATGAACGATTCCTCCTAAGTCGCCACTGGAAGTTCTGCCGTGAATTCTCGAATTTCGCGGCAACCTACAACGGCAGGATATTATTATCGAATTACCTGCCACTCACAACGACGGGTGAAGGCTCTGTTCTTGCTCAAAAAGCTGTTATAGACAAATCTGCCTTGATCCGACTCTATATGACCAGCTCTAGAGGCCGCCATTATTCCTTGGGTAGCATCAGCGTGCTTGTTGTTTCTCTATAGATTGGAGCTGTGCTCGTTGAAATGTTTTCCCTCCCCGTTTCCCATCAACAGCTTGCTTTTGCGCGCTCGATGTTCCATGGTGCCTGCTTATGATAGAGATCTTATTTTGTATGTCGCGTCAAGATATGCTGGCCATCTTCCGTACAAAACTCGTTAGTTCTCGCCATTCTCGCTAGAGAGATTGACCAGCATGTGTTTCAGCCCGTATATATCCTGCCTACCTTCTATTGAATTTCAGGCATGTGTGAATGACTTCAGGTCCTTCATAATGGATCCAAGATTCTAAATACCTTTTTAGTTAGACCTCATGCTTTGGCCCCGCTCTAGTCCGGCTACACAGGCTTTCAGGGGTAATTGCGATTCAGGACCCCTGATGATTGCTCCAGCCCAACCTTAAATTTTGAACCTTTGCGCTCGATTTCCTCTTCCAACTACGTTCCTTAGCCAGGTCTCCATCACAATTGATACGCTGACACGCCGGTATAGTTTTTGCGCGCCTTCTTCCTATCCACGGTTTAAACGGAAGAGGTTATGGTAGCGGTCACAACCTCGTCACTGCTTAGGGTTGACAAAGGGGATAGTATCTACTTAATAGACTCAAGAAGAAAAGGTGATTACGTAGTGATAAATGAAAGGGGTCATCGGTAAGAAGGAGGCGTTTTGAATAAAGATACTGTCCCACTGTTGACAAGCCCAGTGGCTTCGTCCTTATTGGCTAAAGCCGAGCTGTATCCTAGTGTTTGCTCACCTCAAAAGGACAGAAAAGAAATGAATCCCCCGTCGCACATCATACAAGAAAAACGTTCCAAACTCATCTTTGACTGCAAGCGATTCTTTTCCATTCTTTAGTGCAAGTCCCTCCTTTACCTTGTTCTTGAATTCTACACCCCATTCTTCAAAATGAGAACATTGGGCTTCCTGCTGGCTGGGCTCCCACTAGTGGCATCCTTCAACCATCCTGGCTTGTTAGTTTCCAGCAATGATGTGAGCAGACTTAAGGGGAAACTTGCCGCAAATCTAGCACCGTGGAAGACCAGCTGGGAAGTACTTACATCTATGGACTCTGGTAATGTTCCTTACACCCCGCAAGCTGTGAGTGCGGTGGATCGCGATGCAGAGGGCGAGACTGCGCCCAATGCTTGCCTTCTGTGGCAAGACGCCGCTGCCGCGTTTGCGCTTGCTCTGCGATGAAAGGTTGAGGGAAACACTTCATATGCCGATGCGGCGGCGGACATTCTGACCTCTTGGGCTGAGACTCTCACTTCGTTGGGGGCAAACGATGATCAGTACATCGTGGCGGGTCTACAGGGACATGAGATGGCGAATGCCGGAGAACTGCTGCGAGACTATGCTCCTTTCAGAGAGAACGGACTCGCTTCTTTCCAAACGATGATGCAGGAAGTTTTCTTAGAAAAGAATATGTATTTCCTCAACCACCTGGATGGATCGGAACATAATGTGCTACATTTTTTCGCCAACTGGGAGCTTGCCCAGGTCGCCTCAGTCTTGGCTATTGGTGTCTTGACGGACAATAAGACCACGTGGGACTTTGGTATCAATTACTTCAAGAATGGATCCGGCAATGGCGCAATCAAAAATGCAATCACAACTATTGTCGAAGAACCCGGTACTGGTAGGCCCTTGGGTCAAGGACAGGAGGAGGGTCGTGACCAAGGTCATTCGTCACTGGACTATGCTCTTCTCGGTGTTATCGCTCAACAAGCATGGAACCAGGGCGAAGACCTATACGCGTACAACAACAGTGCAATTTTGCTCGGGTGAGGAGGCTTTCCAGTGTTATCTTATGTCCCGCTAACGCTGCATAGTGCTGAATACTTCGCTCGGTACAATCTCGGATACGACGTTCCTTTCGTAAACTACACCAATGGCATTGTAAGCTATACAGAAGTCGGCAGTGGCTCCCGTGAAAGCATCAGATGGGCTGGGAGGTGCTCTACAATCATTATGTTAAAATCAAAGGGCAAGACGCTCCTTGGACCACGAAGTACTGGAACCTAGCTTTGGAGACTTGGGGTACTGAGATTGGCTCTGGGGCCTACGGTAGTCCAGCGGTGTCTGGTTACTATGATACCTTGGGCTGGGGCACTATTCTCTACCGACTGGACGACAGTGACATGGCTGCAGCTCGTGCTGCATCTGGATCTTCATTATCATCTTCCATACCATCTTTCATACCATCTTCTGTCCCATATTCAGTTGCATCCTCGTCAAAGGCAGCATCTTCAAGTACGTCATCCACGACATTTCCCTTGAGTGCACCAATTTCGACCGCTCCATCTTTTTCAACCATGGTCAAAGCCTCACCAGCCTCATCTTCATCGTTCAAGCCTTTCTTCCTGATGGAATCTGGCTCTTCATTTTTGCCGGAAGGTTGTGTCAACGTAGCTCTTTCAGCGACACTGGATATCAAAGAGCCTGCAAGTGATGCCCGGAAACATTCAGATCTGCATGTCAACGCACATGCCAGTGCACACGGGCATGAAAAATAGAGAATTATAACCTTACTTGGCAGAATGAGGCTTTCTTGTTGCCCTGAGATGCGCTGTATTTGGTGTACTGCAGCCTCAACCTCTTGTGATTGAGCTCACCACTAAACACAGCTGGCGCTACCCAAAGTCCCCAAGGACAATTTAAAGCTATGTTGAACAAGTATGTAATCAATGGGTCGTGTTATCGGTCGGAAATATTCACCGATTGTTTGGATGATTACCTTCGACCAGTATTCATATCCCATCTCTGGGTAGGGGTAATAGATGTTGGTATTCCTCATCTCAATCCTGGTTAGTTGATCTTCGGTGCTCTTTGAACTGCAACTTCTCAAGTTAGCCTGAATTTGATCATTGATCTTTGCATTCATAGGCTGACTCGATCGTTCAGATTTATAAGTCAGATCTGGTAAATCAGCAACATGTGTGTCTCAAGAGCCTGATTTTATAGCCGATTTCCGTGCTGGGTTATTTTCGCAATATGCGAAGAAAGAAAGGCCGAATTCACAAGCAATGCTCCTAAACTCTCTCCTGAGGTAGGGGTGATGGTTACGTTCACAAAGGTTTCAGACTCCTGACTATTCGGCCTGTGCGCTGTTCGTTTGGGCCCAAAAGAGTATGGCATGAGGATATCCTTTAATGTGCCGCCATGAAGGATTCTCTTCCTCCAGAAAGTCGAGCCAATTCATTGCTTTAGTACTTGTTGCGATTAGCTTGAAATTATCAACACTGACTCGTCTAGAGCAGAGCAATCCCATCAGTATAACAGCAAAAGCCTGCCTAACATAGTTCCATATGCATCACCAAGGTGATGGGTCGTATAACCAGGAAAGGTCTGGTTTGTCTGGCAATTGTTCAAAAAATGCACAGCTTCTTTGACGCAATGAGATGCCATGGTACTGCAGTCCGTATTGATTTGGCCACCTTCTGAAGATTGGCGCACAATTCAACCAAGACAAGGCTGATTGATGAGGATTTGGATAGATTAAAATGAGAGAGTCAAGCTATGTCCTTCTTTTGGCTAATATTATGCCTTCTCATGTGTAACTTGATATTCGGCAGGCAGCTTATGATGTCAAGCATCCACTTTGCGATTAAGACAGCGATAGTGGATTCTCTGGTTTCCCATGGTTGACATAATGCCCAAGAGGAGTAGATATCCCCGAGAACTGTATGGAGAATTATAAGCAGCTCAATACTGTAGAGAAAGGCAAGGGAGGGATTCGGCTTAAGCCTTTTCAGAACGATGAATGCACTAGACCAGCTATAAAGTCTTGTGTCATCAACGGAAGCTTTTTCCAAAGAGTAAGAAGTCGATAACATCTTGAAAATTTCGTGCGTGTGTCATAATCTTCTATTAGTGGTGTAGTCTCGCAATCTGAGAGCTCTGATTCGATAAAAGGAACCGGGGGCATTGCAGCACTGATAGAGTTGGTGTTGTCTGTGCATTGTCCGCTCATAGCGCAAAGCTGGGTTTGTAGCATGTATAAAGACCACAAAAGTCGGTAATGGGTTTCTCGAATAAGAGGCTGAGTATGGCCTGTCGAGGCCGCTGAGAGACAAGACTTTTTTCGATAGTCATTTTAGGGCCAATAAAATATTTTTGCAAAAGTACGTGCAGGTCGTCCTCGAGTACTTTTTTCGACGGAGCACACGCATCCGAAACAAAACCCTCGTTTAACCTGTAGAGCCACATAAGCTCAGAATGTTCCCCAATGAATTACTGGAAGGATTCATAGTAAGAATACTTGCATTATCGGTATGCTGACGCACGATTTGGATTTATCGATAAAATTAGAGGATGATGAGAGAATGTACTAAGAAGGGCTTAGCTTGCAATTGAGGATGAGAGATAGACGGGAAGGTTATATCATGCACCGAATCACTCTACTAATGCTTGGAATTGAGCCACTACATGGCATTGCGCCCGGTGGAACGTCTGAGCTGGTAATATGTCTAAAACTGGATAGATCTGTCCGTACTTATGACTTATTGGAGTGTGCGATTGAGATCCAAGTCATTGTGCATTCTGAGTTGTGCATCCGGGCCGTAAATGTGTCACGGTATTACCTGATATGTGACTGAATCAATTGAGCAATAAATGATTTAACAGTTTCGGAAACTTGCCTTACCACTGCTAAGTCAAAGCAAGACTAGATTGCGAAAATAGACTTGGCTCCAGTCGGTCCAAAGAAAAGCGAAAGATCTTGCTAGAAGATATGAATCATCAATGGAAATCATAAACTGGAGTGGTCGTCCCACAGATGATAAGCAGAAGCTTCCAAAGCCTCAATCGAATAGCAGGCTTATTTAGAATCATATCTGGCGCCATCTTTTCTGACTGAAGTAGTACGACACCTGATAAGAGATACAACTACATGAGACGCGCTGAAAATGAGACTGGATTCAAGTAATAACGGTGGCTCTGGGACCATCAAGAAGTCTCTAGAGGCTATCACTTATGGCGGTCATTTTGCAGTTATCGGTTTTCTTTCTAGCGCTCCTCGCGATAAGATGCCAGATGTAGCTGGTCTTGCTCTGGCAAAGGGAGCTACTGTTTGTGGTATAATGGTTGGTTCTAAGCACATGCTTGAGGACGTGATTAGGTTCATTGGCGCTCACAATTTACCTATCCCTGTTGAGAAAACTTTCAAGTTCACAAGGGACAAGGTTATTGAGGCATACAACTACCTTGCGAGCGGCCGGCATATAGGGAAAGTCTGCATTGAATTCTGAGTTTAAGCTTTAGTGGATAATCTAATACTCTTAAGTATCAGGCTCTCTAACTTCCCATACGGGCCTCTGGGTGGCGCGAACGCAAAGTGGCTATCACCTGTTTCCACAACAATGCTAGGCTGATAAAATGCGAGCAAGTAGGGGGTGCGGCTTGAACGCGGCCAGAAGGTGGGTGGGTACCGTAAGGGTGGGCTAGCGGGTGAGGCCTCTTTACGGCCGCGCAACCAGGGAGTTAGGGTAAGTGCGCGCTTTAAGGAAGCATGAGCGATCACCACGGTCGCGCGACAGTCACTCTCACCCATAGGAACTTCAATGGCCACTTGATTTCTTTCCAGCAACAACAATTGGTGTGAAATAGTATGCTAAGATGTCAAGCCATGAAACTGACTCGAAAACATCTACTTTAGGTCTAAATAAGCTCATAATCCTATTCCCTCAGCCTGACAACAGGGAAGATAAAATAAAACATCGCTTCGAAGCCTCTCAAAACATCAACAATCGCCTTCCCTTGAATTGGTCAGTTAATATAGTAATGTAGTAAAGATAAAATATTTTATAATCAGAGAGCGGAGCTTGGCCCCCTTACCCAGACATAAGCTGGACATTTATAGAAGAGGGTGCACATACCAGATTCGGAATATTTAGTATGCAGTAATCAGGATAATATCGTGGTTTTATGTAAACTGAAGTTTCAGCCTTCTTACCTGAGTAAGAAAATCACTGTTCCCCGCTCCGGAAACAAGCACAGAACCTTTAGTGATCCATGCAAATTCTGGGTCCGAGTCAATGTTACATTGCTCAGGATCTGAAATACTGACCGAAGTAAGTAGGCCCCTTGGCCTGACTCATGAACCTGCATTGCATCGTACTATTAACATCGTACTATTACCAAGCCCTGTGACATGCCACGAGTGAGTGCAGCATATTTAACACGGTAATCAGGTGACCGCCCTTGCACGAAACCGAGAGCTACTTCAAACCTTGGTTTGATTGGTCAGTACGTTGATCTCCCGCCGTACGCCGCCGTCGACTTAAGCTATGCTATCCGTACAGCAGATACGGCTGTGTCCCAGTTTTCACATTCTGCTATTCCAGATACCGAGAGAAAAGTATCATTGCCTTCCTTATGCCGTCGCATACTATTTCGCAATGATGCTGGGTACTTGTTGGAAACGTCACTAAATGTGGGTTTGTCAAGCACGAGCAAAGGATATTACCAAATGCAGGGAAGATTTAAGATCATCAAGGTCTTCTTGGTACGGAGACTAGCGCGAATTGGGACGTGAGCGCTGCTGTCATTGGTTGGTAAAACCTGCCGTGGGCAGCTCACGCGTAAGGGACCTGCTACGTAGCATACATGTCATGCAACCGGCGCAGGCAGTAACCACTTCAATTTAACCCCTAAGCAAGCGCCGACGAAGCCTTTCTATTTCTTTAGAGTTCTTTCACAATTCGTGTCTTCAATGATCTGCGACCGACTTTCATTCCTATCACCTATCGACTATCCAATAAATATTTACTCACCGCCAATTACCCTAGCCTGCTAACGAACCACAACGCGGATATTATAATCCCATCTACGGCAAATTATTTTTCTCTCTAGCTTCTACGAGACTAAAATCGGTATCAGCAATAGTACTACCCGGCTTCTAAGTGGTCCTATCCCAACAGTCTTCGGTCTCGCTGAAATGCGGTCTAAGAATCGTGATCCGAAGAAAGAAAAGCCCATGCCTTGTATAATTCAGCCTTTAAGCGTTTTAACCAAGAACATGGCAAGAATCTCTATCAAAGATATTGAATCCTGGGTTCATCGATCCTCGGAGACTCGCATTCAGGAAGTTCAGAGGAGAAAAGGTAGAGTCACCCGCCCGATGAATTCTTTCATGCTCTATCGATCTGCATATGCGGAAAGGACAAAGCAGTGGCTCGCGCAAAATGACCATCGACTTGTATCCGAAATATCTGGCAAGAGCTGGAAATTAGAGCCACGAGAAGTTCGCCAGAAGTACGAGCATTTAGCGGAAATTGAGAAGCATAATCATTTGAAAGCGCACCCCGATTACAGATTTTCTCCAACAAAGATAAAAAGGAATTCAAAGGGCGTCGGAGGAGAGCAGCCATTCAAGATTGTTTCTGAGTCCGACTCGGGTTTGCTCCCTGCATTTGCCCTGAACACCGCTACAGAGATAAGCAATAGCGGGCATTGCTGTAAGTCAAAACATTTGAAAGCGCTTTTACAGAATAAAATCATCATCCAGTTTTCTTGCTCTATTTTGCTTACTGACCCGCTGAGATGACTGCTTAGGGCTCACTTCTTCCACCAAGATATCTTCAGATCAACCTATAATGATGCCACAGAATGACCTATTGATTCAACATATTTCTGACTATGAAAGAACGAGCTTTCAAAACACACCCTACGATCATTCATCTTCAACTAATTTCCTGGCACCATCATACTATAATACTCCACAATTTGCCTCCTCGGCTATCATTCTAGAAGATCTTGTGCAAAACACCCAACCTTTAATACCTAGATTTGAGCTTCCTAGTGCTGATCAGGTCTCTAGCCTTCACAAGGTGTCATGGCAAGGGTTCTATACAATCTAGGACTGTTCCTCAATAAGGTCTATGTTATAGTCATGTATCTTCTCAGCAAATATGGTCTAACTCTGGAGAGAGAAGTTTGTTGGTCATAGGGATGAAGTAAGTCAGAAATATTACACGAATATTGTGGACAGATAATAAAGTATTAGCCATATTTCGATTCCAGACGGCTAGCTTTTACAAAGCGGCGCTTAGTTAGATTGCGCTGTGAGCAATTGGCTTCAGAACCGGTGCCGTTACCATTATCACCTTTTCACGCCAGTCGTTGCGAGCTTCTTCCTATGTAGAATATCTCCTGTTTTCTGCTTGGCTCACACTTCCTTTCAGCTTGTCAATAAGCTACTTAAAGAATGGCGACACATTTAGCTCAATCAATTCTTGATACTATCCACGATATGTTGATCAGCAGTAGCTTAGTGCTTCTCAAATGGCCGCGGCTGCTGGTGGTAGTTAACGAGAAATGTTCCGACTGCGATCGAATCTCCAGACTACCTTGAGCTTTTTCGACTAACTTAAATTGGATTCTCAAACGCTCGAATCTGGAAGTGGATAAATGCGGGCGGTCGGGAAGGCCAGAAGCATGCTACGTGCTTCAGTAGATCAGCTGAAGCTTCCAGAACTATGTATTAATGGAGAGCCCCGCTTGGACTTCCCATTGTTTATTGGTTGTCCGCCAAGCGATAAAGAAATTAGTGCATGCAAATTTGATCCCCTGGAAGTCTATGCGACCGATACAAATTGAAGCAGATACCTGCACCTCGAGAGAAACCGGGATAGCCCCAACAGTTTGTAGATTAGCCTGTTCATGATGGATCTGGTTTCCTTCGCTAGGCTAAATTAGGATCTGCTATCTTCTACAACCTGTCACAGTTCCACCGATCACTGTAATGCAATAAACATTCCAACATTGCTGAGGTTAACCTCACGCTTGACCCTCCGCAGCACCGAACTGTGGCCATGAGGGAGTAGAGCTTGCGAGTGCCCCAAAAAGGGGCTTTCTTAGCTGATACATCGAGTAAAACCCTAGAACCATTAAGAATCTTGTAGATTCCAATGACATATCTTTGCTGTGCTTCTATTTGCTTGGACGTTACAAGCATCTGCCAGTGACCAACAGTATCGGCAAGATATTGTATCACGAATCCAACTCATCGGCCACCTGCATAATTCGCTCACCACTAACGGATACGATCAGCACCCGCGTATTTCGGGCACTTGTAAGCTGAGTATCGCTTAAACGAGCACCGAAAAAAATCCCAAGTCATCCGAGTCCGCTTGCTATCAAAGCCCATGTTGACAACGGACATCAAACTTTTTGGCGCTAGCTGCCGGAAACTTGTTTAATGTTTGTTCGCAGCACTACGCATAACAAACCTTCAATTCCTAAGGAAAGGTATAAGATAAAAGAGTTAGATACAGTACTATCACGTACAGATCCTTCCGGCAAAGTGGTCTTTTGCAGGCTTATATGTAAATACAACAGGGGAAAAGTGTCTCAGCTATTGAATGTCAGTACTCAAATAAATATTTCTCCTACTTATGAAGAATACAAGACTAAATATGACGATGCTCGACCGGGTCTGAAATTACCCACCCAAATTCTGTGAAACTCAACCAGGATCATGCATTTCTTTGTTTGCTACGACAAACATGATGACAAGCACATCTCGGAAAAGTACCCCTCGTCAAAATGAACTTTGGAGTTATAAGAGGTCATTTCGCATCTAGCTTTATTGAAAAGAGATGATTATTCACCTTTGTTCGTTGATAATTTTTTGTATCGTGGGCACACAAGTCGCTTCTACCGGGTGGTGAGTATAGATATTCTCTTTCCAATAAAGCTCTAGATATTAACATGACCCACGAGTTACCAAAAAATGGCTAAGACCCCAGCATTTCGGCCTTTACTCCCTGCTGCTACACCGCCATCTCGAATCCTGAGTGCAAAGGGTTCTGGTTCGACACAGACTCGTCGATCCTCAGCCTGTCTAAAGTGTCGTGAGAAACGTGTCAAGGTAAGATATCTCAGCTGCAGTCGATCCAACGCTACTGACCGCCGATTATATCTAGTGCGTCGGCTCATCGCCTTGTCAAGCCTGCACCGAAACCGGAACAGCCTGCACCTTCGAGCCGTCTAGAGATAGACGTAGGAAGTCAGCTCTCATCTATGCAGAGCAGTCTGCTCAGAGATATCAGGAAATCTTGAAGCAGCTAATACGCACTTTGATGTTTGGTAATGATGAACAGATCTCTGCGTTGAAGGAATCCGTCAGATACCATGCTTCTGTAGAGAGTTGCTTAGGCCTCCTGGATTTGGAGTACCAGCCAAGCTCAACACCCTCAGAGACAAGGTAGTGGAGAAGATTGGGACTCAAAGCCTATTAGAATACTGGTCTGCACCCGTCTACCATCACATTCAACAAACGTCAATCTTTACTTTGCTGAGTACTCTATACCAACAATTGAGAAAGGCTCATGCGCAACTTTCGCAACTTTCAATCCAATAGTAGCATTTCTTTCCCAGCAAAATAACTAGCTTGACTATGCTATCGCTATTGTTCTATCTCTTTGGTTTGACAAGCTCCGCCCTTATGGAGAACTTTGCCTTCTATTAGACACTGCAGCCGAACTTTACACTGCATATAACCAAGAAACCATAGAACCCCTGGTTATGAGTACAGCAATTGCTTGTCGCCAAAGGGGTAGCAGCTTGTTGAAATATTGAGGGTAGGATAAAAATGCTTACCTATGCACCCTTACGACGCCTAAGTAAATTGGACTTGCTGTGTCGGTCACTCGAGATATGAAATATGACAGCGTCCTGATAAATAATGCCTGCATTGTTGCTATGAAAGTGACAAGTGGTACTTAAATCTTGTTATCAAGTATCTCCCTGGATTAAATGTATCTGAAGCTCTGTACTTGCCCGCTGCATGAAATCTAGGATCCGAAGCCATGCGATGTGTACGTCTCTCCTAGTAGTATCTTCCCTGTTGGTCGGAGCATTCTTGGTAGCAGTTTTACCTCTTTTTTTACTGCCACCCTTGCTACCCTTGGCAAGAGATTCACCTCCGGGCCTCGCCGTGGAATGCTCAGCATCATACCTGGACATTGATTCTGCATGAGCATTGAGTTGATTGGCGCACTCCCAATACACTTTGCTTGCTACCAACCGTGCCATGTCTGCACTGGAGAATAAGTCCTTACACTGTTCGAGAATCAGTGTAATATTCAGGTAATCCTGCAAGAATAAGCTCTCATTGCAGAAAGTGCTCCCATAGCGGGCTTGAAGAGCGGTAGTAGAAATTGTTGTGCTAAGATGTGAACGTGTATAGAAGTGACCTCCAACGGCAAATGAATCCTCGGGGGTAAACACAGCATGTGGGCAACCTGGTGGCATAAACCTTCGCGATTCAGCTCAAATCCACAGCAAAAGGTTGAATATTATCGTTAACTTACAATAGATCACCAGGTTCAATGATTATACGTCTCCATCCGTCCTCATAATGTTCTGGAAATTGACTCCCACCTGTTGCGAGTCTGTTGGCCGCCGAGGTAAGATCACTAGGCACGTACCAGATCTTGCGGCCGGAAATTCCGATAATCCAGGTTAAATGCCCGGCAGTATCAACATGAATTAGTGAAACGGAGTTACGGCCGGATAAGAGAAGAAACTCTCGATCCGGAGGAACTGTATCATAACTTCTCAGAGACTTGGACACTGATCCACGCTTGCGTAGATATGCCGTTCGAAGCAGATCTGTTTGGCGTACAGGTGCCGGAACACAAGGAAGATATAAATTCTCCATATCAAGAAAGTTCAACGCCGAGCGATTCATTGGCGGTGACTGGAAATATTTAGCCACTTCAGCGATTGGTACTTCTTTGGGCGTGGCCGCATCTTTAGCGTAGTCGATGGCCTCTAGTTGTTGGACGTTGATCTTAGTAAGAGACGCGATAAAGTCGGTTATAGAAGTGGGCATATCACCAGGGATAGGGTGCTGGTTGGTATATGATCGCCAAAACAGTGGTTGCAAGAATAGGTCTTCCAGCTTATCGTGTAGCTGGTCTTCGGATGAAATGTAAATCACTCTATCTCCTGGATCTAAGCTCTCACGCTCTATAGATGAGAGAAAATCTTGGATGCCTTTCGCGCTTTCGCTATCTCCCGGGTTGATATCTGTTGATATTGGGGCTAAGAAAATCTATTAGCTTATAACCCTATCTTCATGTGGTCAGACTTGCCTTGCTGTGGACTGTAAATAGGACTTGATATATCGATGCTTTTTATTGGTATCGGAAATGCTGAGAATATTAGCAGGTAAAGATTAAAAAAATTGGAGTCATATACAATTCCTTTTTGGCACATTCCTCCGGGGAACTTTCTTCCCCAACTTTTGTCCATCTAAATAATGTTAGCTTTGCTTTAACCGTACCTCTTTCACTTACCATTAATCACTTCCTCCCTCTTGTTGTCCAGAGCTTGTAGTCTAGCACGGGCACTTTCGTACTGATCTTGAGTAATAGGATACTTGTTCAGCCAAGACTCGATCATCTTTAAGCATTTATCAAATTCACAAAGATGTGCAAGACTGGTAAAAGTGAAAGTGATAGCCACTAGAATCCAGATATAGTCACTTAATTGCCGGATTTCTTGAAGACGGCGTCTAACGATTCTCTGTTGTTTTGTCGGGGATGCATTGTAGGTAAAGTAATATGTCTGAGAGATAAATTCCATATATTTAATTTGTTCGTCGTGGCTAAAACTAGTTCGCTGTCGAGCTAGGTTCTCACAGAATTCATGTGGTGTGAGTCCCATAGTAATAGGGCTATAGTTTGGCCGTCGGAAGTGGGCAGGGAATTGGGGGCTTTGGCGATGGGCGTATGGCAATATTGGGTGAAAGTCGAAGTAAAGTCGACGGCAAGTCAAAGGGAAGTCAAAGGAATTCAAATGGAAAAGGGAAGTCAAAGGGAAGTCAAAGGGAAGTCAAAGGGAAGTCAAAAGGAGGCCAAAGGGCGTTGAGACACTTTAGTAGGCGACGACGGACTGTTGCGGAGCGCGACCCGGTAGGAGATCAGAGGTCAGAGGTCCGAGCGGTCTGGGCGTTAAAGCTGACAGGCGAAAAATACTCAACTTGCGCATGCACTCCAAATGGCCCAAACCAACCATGTGCCGCAGCTGGGTTTACAGTCACCCTCCTAGCTTCCCGCCACCTTTTTGTTTGAGCAGCCGCCGCCCCACCTGAGCGCATTGGAATCTTCGCCCACCACAGAGCAACGATCCCGAGATAGTTAAGCCCAACGCTTACAATTTGACGAAAAGTATTACCCCTCTTAATTTATAAAACCCCAACTAGGCCCGGAAAAAAGAAGATTCAACAACCTTTCTTGCCTATTCCTCCTTTCAGAATAATTCGTTTTGTCTTAGTATAATTCTTTACAACTTTGACACTTTTAAAGCGGTGTTGTAACAACTTATGGTTGCACTGAGTTAACCATGGCGGAAACGATCGGACTTGCCTCCGGGATACTTGCATTGGCGACGTTTGCCTTTCAGACCAGTGTCTCTCTTTATGAGACAGTGAAAAGTTTTCAATCGCATCCAAAGCGTGTCCGTGACCTTCTCGGGGAGCTGGAAGCTTTGAGCGCCGTGCTGGCACCCCTTGTTGATTTAGTAAAATCGACATCTGAGGTTGATCTATCAGTCCTCGATTTGCCGTTGTTCCGATGCGGCAATGCCTGCAAGGAGTTCCAGCAAGAGCTACTCCGATGCGCGTCAAGATCGAGCAGTAGTCGCGCAAGTTTCCGTGATTGGGCAAGATTGACATACATGGGTGGCAATATTGATGATTTGCGTGACTTGTTGGCAGGATACAAAGCTACAATCAATATTGCCTTGACCGATGCCACACTGTAAGTTACCATTAACCATCAGTTTTAGTCCTATTACAATCTTCTGTTGTTTATTAATCTCTCATCAGGCGCCAATCTACGGTTGCTGTTGAAAGCATCAGGGACTATGAGGGTCTGATTCAAGATACGAAGGAAGACCTAGGGGCTCGACTTGAAAATATTGATCAAAAGTTAAAGCAGCTGGCTGAGAAGAACGGAATTCTCTCTGAACTAGATGCAAGTGAACTGCACTCATTGCAGGAGGAGCGCCGGAGTACAGAAAAATGCCTTCAGATTTGCGCCCAGTTGTCAAGCCATATCGATCAAATTCAGCTGATATCCGACAATGCAAGCCCTGCTGACGGATCTGAGATGGCTGATATTTCGCCCGAGACTGTCACGAATGAAGGCTTACAAGAATGTAAAAGGAGCCTAATTGCCACAACCGTCAAGTTGGAAAAGCATATGCAAGAGGTCATGGATCGGCTGCTCGCGAAATCGAGAACTACTGTTTCTGATGAAGATGCTCAAGATTTGTCGCGGCTACGTGACGAATGGGAGGCCGCTCGGCAGTGCTTAGATATCTGCTCCCGTGCGGATAGTCACTTCAAGGAGACTGTCAGTGTTATCGAAAACCACGGCACTGGTGACGCTTTGCAGTTTATGGTTTCCGCGAATGGGAAAGTTCTTCATGGAAAAAATCGGGGTCTGGGTTGGAGGAACAGACAAGTAGGAGGCTATATGAGCAACGAGTCAATCCAGCAGCTATCACGAGACCTCACAGCTCACCACACTGTTTATTCGAGAAATGAAGAGCCCATCTCAGAATCCGATACTTTACCACGCGCCAGCGATGCGGCGGGGGATGAGACGGTCCCCGAATTTAAGGAACGCTACGGGCGAGGTTTCACCCTAAGATCGGCGCCGACACCAGAGACAAACATATCGTCCCGCAGTGCGAGTAAGCAGTAGAGCTTCAGCCTGTGATCTTGCCACAAAAAGGCCCCATGTCAAGAAGGATCTGATTTTCCACTTGTTCTTTTTCTAATTTGTCTTCTATTGTTTGAGATCTCATATCAACCTCCTATATTCTTTCCTAAATAGCTCTGGCATTGCCATGAAGCCTTATTCTTGTTAGTAAATCGAGAAATACCAAGAATTTCTGCTACGACCCTTCTTTCCGACTACAACAAATACTTATTTGATATGTTCTGACTCATGGTTGAAATTTGAATGGCGAAAGTTGGTCTCGAAGCTGGTGCTCTTTGTCCCGTGGCCAATAATCACTAGTATATCAGGAGATATCTATGTCAAGATGTGGCATGCTTGCGGAGCTCATAAAACATAGAAATCAGTAAGACTTTTCAAAGAGACGAGGGAGGGGTTTGTATGGTATTCTCGAAGCAAAGTATAGCGTATGGTGAAGATCACTTGTAGGGGAAAAGTACAAAACTTGTGGTTTTAGCCTCGGGATCGGTACTCAATAAATTGGGAATATGATTGTCAAATGATCTGCATTGTGGTCCACATCATCAGTCTGGAGTTTTCGCTTCTGGGAAAGGGACACACGTGACCGATATATTGTCATGCGGAAAGAAAAATCAAGTATCATCCAGAATATATTAGAAGTGCGAGCACCGTGCTTTTAAATTTGATAGCAGGTAGGTTTTATTGAAGGGAAATCAGGCAATGCAGCCATCCCAACATTATTCGGGACACAGAAGCAGGGCAACGAACCTGCTCCCCTCTGCTTCCATCCGCCAGTCTCTCGATGTTGATACATTTTCGCGAGTCATTACTTGCAATTTGGCCATAGAAACGGATCGATATTGAGGTCAAAATAGTTAACTCATCTTATCCGAATCAAGGCCAACCTTTCAAATCTCAACATATTGTTTCAAGTCCCAAGAGAACCTATAGTAGCAGATTCTTTACGCCTCACGGCTATAGTACTCTGGAATTATGGACAAAAATGTCTGGGATACAGCTTATAACCTTTCAAGCCATCTATAGTGTATTGATAAAATGTCGCGGCACTCGCTTATGAGAATATTACATCTTCAGATCTTATATGCTATCTGGAAGATGAAAGAGAAGGGACTAGAGAGTGTCTCTTCATTTTTGAAGGTTTTAAGTCATCCATCAAATCCTTGGTAAGGTGAAATTCGGCGCAACTCCAAGAGAATTCCCCGCAATCTCAAAGGAATGTCTGAAGGTGTTTGTGCGCAATTAATGGTATCCATGTCCGAGAGTTCGATTCGACATCTGACGGATTAAAAGGTACAAGAGTCGCTTTCAGAACTCTACCCAGCGGCTTGGCTTCAGTACCAGGTGATAATTTCAGATTGTCTTTCAAATTTGAAGTGCAAGACAATAACTTTTTTCTTATCCTCGAGACAGTACCAATTATTTAATTGGAAAGCAAAAACCAACAAATGGAAACCGTTGTAAATGAAGTGAAAAATTCTTGAGAGGACAAAAGGTTGTCAGGAAGCCGGTCGAGAGATACCTGAACAGGTAATAGCGGACTGTAGAAAGAGTGTTATGATCTGGCGAGTTGTTTTTGGCCATCAATCTGTCAAAGGGGGAAATAGCTTGAGACAGCCGCGACAAGTCTCGACTGGTAGGTATCTTATCCAGGATGCTAATATCAGCCGACCACGGTTTCAGTAGAAATAAAATCCGGAGAAATAACGTTTCCGATTTTTACTTCAGCATCATTTATGACATAATACACCCGTGAAAACTAGTTAGACAAAAGATGCCACAGTAGTTGTTACACTCCACCTCGATAAGTATTCGAGTTGCAAAGAACAACACTAGTACAAATAAAGTGACATAGAAAGAAGAGACAAGGAAGGAAATATATTGAATAAGAATTCTATAATTCAAGACGAGTATCATTGTTGTTGAGGTATAAGCGTCAGGCTCATCGTGTGATTCTTGCTATGTGGTAGGCAAACGTTCCAAAGCGCTCAGGTGGGGCGGCGACGGCTCAAACAAAAGGTGGCGGGGAGGTAGTGCGGGCGCGTATACAGAATTAGTAATGGGCGGTTATTTTGGGCCCAGTGCCCTACGATTCATAGAGTGATACAGTCTTATCACCTGGAGAATCGCCTTTCGATATTCACGGCAAATGCCTTGAAATCGCTTATACCGAGTATCCAAATCCTGGCAATATATCTCGTTTCAAGCCTTTGCACACAGCTTTCTATTTCTCAGGGGAAATACTTACCATCGAAAGGATGAACCAGAAAAATTTACAACCCATGCCAAGCTCGCATGTGTTCATCCAGGGTGCTTCCCGTCGGTGCCGAATATTCTATCACTTTCAGCGGCTACTCTACAACCTAATTACGGCCGAGGCCGTGTCATTTACCACAGCGCGGCTAAGGGAGGTTTCTTGAAGGTACAGAAGGGTAAGTAGCCTCTAGGGCGAATTACCTGCTCGAGGTCGACGCGATTATTGGGGTAAAGAAGTAATAGGTAGAAACGCTCTCAAACCCACAAGTGATTCTCGCCTGCATGCCAAGGGTCTTTGATATCGCCGTCTGTAGCCTATTGTTGAGGCAGTGCCATAAATAACTCAAAGCAATTCTGCAAGTATCTTCCAATATTCAGATAAACGGACACGAAGGTCAGTAAATATGAGTTTACAATTAGAGTTTGAGCTGAGTCAAAGAAATCATTCGTGGAATTGAAATCAAATCAAGGAGGACAGATAATCAAAAAGTTGAACACTAGGCTTCTCTTCATTAGCTTTCGGTCACAAAGCTAGAATATTTAGCATCCCGACAGGAAGCGGGGTAACCTGATTCCCAATCTATAAGGCGCTTACATGCTTGCCACGTGACTGACAACTTAGTGTATTTGAATCAGCCCTTCCCGCCCTGTTGTAAGATGATTCAAATTGGATTGGGACCAGCTTTTGAAATCTCATCGATAATAATCATGTTGGCCTTGATTGTCCTTTGTCCGATTTTATTGCACATAGGAGATCATGATCGGAATCACTTGTGAGGAGACCTATTTTACTATTTGTCCTCAGTGAAAGTTCTAATTAGAAAGTTCTACTAACGGAGTTGGAATAATAACTTCTAGTAGGATGGAAAGGCTATCAACGAAGCCGTCGTTCACGTGATATAAGCAGAAACGTTTGTGTTGATAATCTGACGCTCGTCTAATTTGGTATGACCTTATACCGCGGAGCTAACTCAGCACAGTCGCCTCGAAGGCAATTCCGCCAATGAGGGGAAAGGGCGTGCGCATCGCCCCGCTTCGTTTTTCTTTTTGATTGCTCATAACCCAGAGTGATATTGCAAGCCTGATTCTTACAAGTATCGCCTACCAGGTATTGTGCCTATTAACCAGCCATTACCTGTATTATGAATTTGCAAAACAATCCATGCAGGTGATTTGAGATCCGGGTTCTTTTCAAGTAATTCTTTCACACAATGTCGCATCTGAAATAGTGATCTTCTTCAATAGGTGAGCCCAAGATTGAACAATTGATTGAAACTAACTCTATAGGCACTCGCACTTACCTTTCATAAAGACAATCTCTTCCAACAATATGCGACAAGTGCGACAGGCTCTGTTCGATGCGTTTGGAAAAGAGCCTGGAAAAGAACCGAAACTTCCCAAAATTAGGCTGCGGCAATCCTGAGCGAAGTGGAATGATTGATGTTAGTATCCTATTTTCCAACCGAAAAATATACTGCTTCTAGTTCCAATCAATAGGACTTGCCAGCATCATCCGAAAATCTCTATGATCAGTAAAAGCATCGCATTGCGAAGTTTGGGACCGGGCGCATTCTAGCTATTTACCGAGGTTACCCGTAGCTGGCAACGGAATGAAACTAGGTACATCCGATAAGCGTCCATGTCGTATGTAGCTTGCGAATAGCTCACATACAGTGCGGGCACAGGTGTTTATACTCGGAGTGACTTTGGACGAGACTAGGCAACATCTCTAATCAAAAGGAAGAAAGCCTACATTAGTGGTTTGGGGCTTACAATGTCCAATAGGAGTGCTGCTCTAAAGGGTAGCGTATGTCCAATCCTAAAGCAGCTACGCAAACTTCGGATTATCTCCCCAGCCGGCACCACATGAGCTACTCTCAACTCCCTCTTGAATCGGTGGAATCTGCCCCATTCCCCCCACTTAACCAACCAGCTTTACTAAACCAAATATTCGCCTTCTTGTCCAAATGGGTGTCGCGGAGAGCAAAGAGCTAGCCGAGTGCCTTCTTGTCGCTTGTCAACTTGCAGAAAACGATGGCAAAACTGAATTGGATCCTAAAAAGATATTGAGAAATAAGGCAAGCTGCACAAGCTCCGATTTAATAAATTGATCTAATGTCGTTTTTATTCTAGACTATCAATAGCACGTTGAAGCACATCTGCAGATATATTCCACGCGATATCCGTGGCTCTGCGTATGATTCAGCCTTGAAACGAGCGACTAAGCGCCCACCTGCAAAAATTGAGATTCCGCAAGTTGTACAAGACTTACAGGAGCGGCACAGGGTTCTTTTTTCAGCTCCACAAGCTCTACCAGAATCGGAACAGTCGGAGAGCAGAGACCAGATACAACGCTTTCCGGAGATAATCCCAGGGAACTCCTTAGCAGACTGCTACAGAGCGACTGTGCTTCAAGAAGAACAGCAACAGTTATGCAACATTCGTCTCAGATTCTTATACATTATATTCTATCGACTCAAACAAGAAATCAGCCCAGGAAGTCAATACGAATACTATTGTGCTGCTAATTTTATAGCCAGAACAATCTGCGATGCTAACCATAGCAATCAACCAATTAATGTCGTTGAAAAAAGAATTCGCGCCTGGGTCGGTTATGGTGAAAGATATGAGTCTTTGGCCAATGATTTGGGAGGACTCGGGGCATTATATATCCTCCCTGACCTTGGAGGGGAGAGCTTGTAAGTAACGTTTCAATGAATGCGGCTGCAATTTTCCTAAATGCAATCTAGCTGGAAGAGAAAGCTTCCAAAGTCGGCAGATAACCAGGGCAGAATTTCCATCATACAGAAATTGAAGCAGCAGGACATTCCTGCCGAAGCTACCAGACGGGGTCTTCACATCATTGCAGACGATGAAGTGAAAAGTATACTTGATCCCCTTCTGAAATCGGTCAAGGAGATCTTGAACCGGGGCCTTTCTCAAGCAAATACCATAAGCACCGCTCAAAATAAGTCGAGTCAGCATTCAGGCAACGCTAACACGAGAGAGCGCGTCTCTGCTGCACCTGATCTTACCTCGGAAGCTAGCCAACCGCTTAGTAAGTACCAAGTATCTTAGCATATATTGCTGTTATGAAGGGAGATTCCTAATACAGAATCAAAGACGGCCAATCGCTGCGGAACTTGTCTGTTTCTCAGCAAAGCATTAATAGGGCTCTTTCTCAGGACATATCCACAATGCCTCCTCCAAATCTTCATTTCAACCAAGCCACAAGTGTACCACTCATGAGCGTTTATGGATATCTCGAGCAACCGGGATTACATTCAACAATGCAGAATAATTATACCGAGCAAGGAGATATGCTACAAGTCGAAACATACCAATTTCCTGGGCAGTCTAGCTTTTACACGTCACCGCAGAGCACACTCGCTACAGAAACCGCCCCCCCACAGTTAGATGTTTACGGATACCTTGAGCAGCCTAATCCTTATGCAGTACGGCCAAGCACTATTACTCCGCATACGACTACCCCGGATCTGAATCTTTTTGGTTTCCTCGAACAACCCATCTCGTACGAAGCACAGCAGAGCAACTCCCGCGGTCAAGCGATATCAAACTCTTCGAAGGACTATAGGAATCCCGTAAGCCCTTGTATCTATGATGCAATAAGTGTGACAGCTCCAATTGCGACATCAGCACGTCATGGCCTAGAGTCTTGTGATAGGATCATAACGTCAGATTCTTATGATGGGATGCAAGTCCAGCATGGAAGCCCATCAACGCGTCAACTGCCACAGGACTACGAACTGGGAAATTACTGGAACCATCCGATGGAGATGGCCAATTCATCACCACTTGAGATCAGTTGATTAAGTGGCTTGGATAGAGAAACCAGAATAATTCAATATTTACAGTGTCTCAGAAAATGACATGTGCCTAACATGAGGGTTTTCCTTCAACATGGTGCAGGGTGTAATTCATAGCTGACAAATGTGCCTATCACCTTTCCTGTTCCAGTAATCCTAATGGTTTCAGCATCTCTAATAATAGCGATCGAGCCTTTTACCCAGCTAATCAATTCAGATCCAGCTCTCCCCTCAGCCTCGACTTTGATCTCGCCAACCTCGGATGCTCGAATAATCACGAAAGTTGTAATATTCGAAAGACCTATTAAACCAGATTCTAGGACTCCGGAGTCCCAAACAACTTTCAAGGTATTACCGGCCCTCGATGACGATTCGCGTATTATCTTAACTGCTATTAGCAGTTTTCAATATCCAGAAGATTCCAAACTCACATCCGAAAACTCTATAAAAAATGCATCCATAAGTTTGACGACACTGTTATCCGGTGGAGATATCTTCGATAAGGGAGGCCGTAAAACCTTCGGTGGAACTCGGTGGAGAAGATCGGATTTTGCAGAAACAAGCAGACTGTTTAATGAGCTTGAGGGCTTGATAACCTCGACAAGCCTTCGGGAATCAACTGTCATGTTGTGATAGGAGTAAATAGCTGAGGAGTTATGATGATAAGGTCGGTTGTCGGGGGTAAGAAAGTAGAAAATCTGGCAATTGAACATTCAGTTAGTATGAGCGCTGCATCCTGGGCTGCTGATCAACGACTCACCTTTAATGGAGCTGATATAAATCTTTGTCAGCTAATGAACAGTTTACTTATGAGACTAAGTATTCTCAGATGTTAGTTTACAGACTCTCACGGTCTTCGTGCCGTCCCACGTAGAAACAAGGCGTAATGAGGGGAGAGCTTGGTGGGGTAAGGAGGCATGAATCATAGGGCCGACACAAACGATGTAAGCCCGAGCCGTTTCGACGGCCTTTCTAATTCCATATCATGAAAGCAACGAAGAATAAAGAAATTTCTGACAAAATGAGAAGATCGTCCTGACTCCAGTCTTCATATACTGAAGAACAACAACATCAACAACAACAAACGTATAACAATGTGGTCGTGAACACGAATTCTCAAACTCACGTGCAGTTAGTGTCGGTCGGAATAATGATGTTCCCAGGCTCAAATTAGTGACCACTGAGAACCAATTGCCACGTGACTCTGAAAATCTTGTCTTATAGATAAGCATTACCGATGTGCACATTATCCTTGAAATACTGTGATGGTAAATCGCAACCAACATTCAGCACAGTAGATTTGCTACTACTGATTTAATTTACTTAATCCATAGCCTATCTTCATCTACAGCATATGTATGGCACAGGAATTATAAAATTCGCCTAGAGTATACAATGGGTCAATAGGACTGCATGGTGATTGTAAAGACACCTGACTAACGATGTGTCGATACTAATAAAGAGTCATATATATCAAGGTAGGTCAAAAGGCCATATTGAACGCAAAGTTTCTTCGTCTTGAACAGGCTCATCGTCTTCTGGATTCTGATTCGATAAAACAGCCTGCAGCATTCCATCAAAGATTTCTTTGTGCGCTGTTTGTGTCACTTCCCAATTCTCTGTAGGCACCCAGCCGTCACTGGCTGAATTCAACAAATTTGAAAGATCATATCTCAGGTTTTGTGCCGCCACGAAAAGTCGATAAGCCCTTTCATATTCGAGAAGGCTGTCAGAAGTAGGTATTGAATATAGACATTGACCTTCGAAATTCAAACCCTTCCAGTTTCGAGCTGTTTCAACCATCTCATGATGTAAGGCTATGGCACCATCCTTCCATGTTCTGTAGCTGTAATGGAATGGACGGAAAAGGTTCTCGTCCATTGATTTTGGCATTGACAACGCAGGCGTATAATACTGAGACGAAGCCTTGTATGCCTTGTAATATAAATCCTCATCTGAATCGGTGGGTGTAGCGAAATCTGGCAAATCATCTGAATACCAAAAGGCTGGTTCAATACTCGCACCTTGCCAATCAATAATACCCGTGATGATGGTAGGGTCTTCCTCTGACACAAAAATATTACGTTTGTGTAGATCTGGATGAAACAATAACGGTGAAGCAGATTGCACGATACAGGAATTCGAGGACATCTGCTTAAGTACTGGAAGTGCCGAGTTCAATACCGCGGTATGTTGATCGATAGATCCATAATATGAAGGTTTTCGATCCAGGTCTCTTGCAGAACCAGAAAGGTTTGCAAGCCCAGCGTCGATTAGACCTTCACAAAAGCTATCAAGGTTGTCCCCTACTCGATGTTAGTACGAATTTTCCGATTGAGGCATGTCGCAAAAAAGTTACTAAATAACTTACAAGGCCCATAATTCAGGCGCTGCCTAGTTTTGAGAGGCCAGTAGCGGCTGCCACAATGTGGCCCGATACAAAAATCCTCGTTAAGAGGCTGCCTGGCGAATGGATGTACAAGCCCGTCTTGAAGGTATATACTTCCATAAGAGGGAAACCTAAGATCAGTAGCACCTTTCATCTTCTGAAATATCGCGCTTATGCATCTGACACGCTGGTCACCAGTCATGTCATCCCATACTTGGCTCAGTTGAACACCAGACGCATGTTCCATAATAATATATTCGCTGCCGATGGTATTCTCCGGAGATTTAGCGTCGTCATTCCAGTCAATAATCTGTGGAATTGGAATTTTTGTCTTCAATTGTACTGCAGAGGCATTTCTGTTAGTAAAGTGAATCTGTGTTACAATTGAGGACTCACGGTATCTAATAGTAGCGACTTCGGAACTGGTGACTAAGCGCGCCGGTCCGGCAAGAACGAATGGCAACCTAGCCACTAACTGTCTTGAGTTGTTCATGGTGAAAACAAAAACTCTATTGAATCCCCCTTCGAGCTTTTTGCAGCTGTCGATTGAAATCGCGTCCGGGCAAAGCTGAAGGACCCTATCGCACAAAGCGCCAAAATCAAATGCGATATAACGTGAAGAGCGTTCATAATGATCATCACGAAGCCACCGCCCACTAGTATAGGTATAAGGGTCAAACCCGAAAGCTGTATTAGCCTTTGTACATTGAAATCTGTAGATGGGCGGCATAGCAGCAGCTCTTGCAATGAAGTAAATGTCATGTAGGGGAGACGAAGGAAATCGAAATAATTGATGACGACTGATTGATTTGGAAAGATATGAAGGTATTTTGAATCTGGAGTCCATGAAGGGTGGCGTGAATATATATTCGAAGTGAAAGAATAGGATAGCAGGTGGTGACCAAGGTCGCACAAGCCTTATTTATACACTCTGATTTCATTTGGCTATAGGAAACCAGTTAAGTTACAGGAGTAAGCAATCTCAAGACGGGTTAGCTTATAGCGTGACAAGATCTTCTAAGTCATTTTCCCGCCGCTATGATTACTAATCTAGCTAGTCGGTTAGTCATCAGCGGTACTGAAAAGTTGATCATAGTTGATTTAACAGTGTGCCCAATAGCACCAGGAACCAAGATCAAGAATTTTAATTGAGCTCTTGGTCGTTTGTAAATCTCGGAGGAACTCTTGATAATATGGGTCGCCTATCTCTGCCTAGAATAAAAACAATTCTGAATTTCCAACGGAAACGTAGGCGCCAGCGCCGGCATTGGCTTTACAGCAGCAGTAAGCGTAGCTCGTATCTTCAGCATTGATCATTTTGGTCGGCGAGTTGAGACAAGATAAATGTCAGAGATCACAACGGATGGACGTAGCGATGATACATTCACTCAGTTTAATTAATCATTGGATTCGATGGTAGACATTGGATTGTATTATCACTCAAAACAACCTTGTTCGCTTCAGACATCCACAAACATGCATCGCAATCTCGCCACTATTCAAGGAGTACGGAATATGCCCTAGCAAGCAGACAAGTCGAAGTCAAAGCCCCTGTAATGCGCATCTCATCTACCAGCCTAAAGTCTTTGCAACTTTATGCATGTCACTTTCGGAGCTGGATTTTCGTTTCGAGTTGAGCTGAGAGAGTGGTTGTATTGGAACATCTGAAACTAGGGGGTGAGTATGTGTGTTAGTAATGTCCCTGCCCGTAATATATCTATTTCCTCTGGATTACATACTGTCTTCTAGCCAAGCTTACTTTTCCCCTCTGCCACTAGGGCTTCAAGCACTCTCTGAAATTCGACATCTTTGTCAACTGCTGCTGTGTCGAACGTTGCAGTTGCAAGCTTGGCGTGGGTTTCGTTTTTTCTGGCCCAGTCTCTCAAGGCTGGACTTTTTGCTTGAGAGTTGACTTGTAGAACCACGTTCAGACCTTTCGAAGTAGAGTCATAATGACCGGCGTCAATACGAAGCTGGAAATCAGCATCTTTATTTCTGGAAGGTAGTATGCGATTGCCCTCAGCGACTGAGCTGGTGAACTTCGAGGACGCATTTTTGAGTCCCTGCGCCTTCTGAACGAAAGTACCTAGAACCTTAGACATACTGACGCTTGATTATCAGGATATCAGACGTATGGAACAAATCATACGAATAGAAGTGATTGAAAAATTTCCTTGACTATGAACATCCATCTCCTTTATATGTAGGAGGCACATCACCAAAGCGCTTATTATGTAGCGTAATAGATTGGTTAGCTGCGATGTGATGTTGCTGTGATTATTGCATCATTCACACACAGTTATATCGCCACTAAGAAAGACATTGCATGCTTCGTATGCATGCGTCCCAGTCTTCGCCCTAATTCTTTTTCTTTTTCTTTTTAATGCAAGATAGTAATTGTGCACATCCGCACAATAGCTGGACCATGCGTCGGTCTGGAATGAGGGAATGAGATGAGAAAGTGGGGAAAATATACGCTAACCTATTTCTGATTAAGTTGATTCCAGGCACAACCTAATCAAAATATGGCCCTGCTGGCTCTTAGAACACTTGAGCCGATATTTTTTTGGACATAATACTAGATAAATAGAAGACCGAAAAAGGAAGATCTACCGATGAAAATTAGCTGTGTCTGGAACATGACTCAGCATACGCCACATTGATGAAAATGAACTATCTTTGCGAAGGTCATCTCTTAAATAAGAATGAGACTAGAGTACACAGTATCATGTAACTGTTATGATCTGAAGTCTCGCTTGGTGCCTAAAAGGACCAGCCGAGTCTAATAATCGAAAGCATTTGAGCTCTTCGAGATACTGTTTTCAGTTTGTATCCTCTCTATAGCAAGAATAAAGGTCATAGATACATTCCTATCAAACTCATTGTCCGAGATATCGATGTAAGCTATGACTCCAGAAGACCCGACAAACAAGAATAAGAATAAACTAGTCACCTGAAGACAGGCAGACCTCAGCATAAAATGAGCGCCTAATTCATTCGAGGCCTGTTTGCCATGTTGGAAGGCCCGATAATTGCTCAATGCCACAAATTATACAACTTCTTGCTTCTAGTCGAACAATCTTGAAAGGATCTAGGTTAATAATGTGGAACTATGTCTGTCCAATAAAGCAATACCGTATAGAGTATCAGCTGCCGCCAAAATTCGTTCAATACTTTTCGAAAGACGCATCCCTTGGGGGTGATGAGACTAGACTGACCGGGCTGATAATCTGATTGGCAAACGCCGGATGCTCGATTGTCAACGACGGAGGCAGTAGATATATACGATAGTGGTAATAAACCATGGCAAAAGCAGTGAAAGACTTTTATAAAGCGTTCTTATTATGATGTCTCTGCGCTTCCAATATTACTTCCGATCGCACAGGCCTCAGGTATCATACTGTCTTTTCAAGCCCCTTCTGCAGCTCACAATAGATATGACCTCCCAGAGCCACAGTGAGACTCGAGCATCGCTTTCCTTAAGAGTGTTGCATGAGATAGTTTCAACCATGATACATTTTTTATCAGCTGGGATCACTCTGATTCAAATTCTAAAAATTGAAGTAAGTACTGCTTGTCTTGAGTTGGCCGCGAGATTTTAACTTTGAATAGCCATGGAATGCCTTGCAGATTCGGAGAGTCGAAAGCCCTTTTGTCGTCATAGAAGCAAGTACATACAGCTTTGCAGTACCCATCCAAGAATTGAGAAAATCGGTCTTTGGTTGGGCATTCCTTCTCTACCATGGAGGTTTCTTCTTTGATGTTCTTTCTTTTGTGGTGCAGCACCGCAATGACCAGGACTTTCAGCCCTTGTTTGGGGGAGACGGATTACGGGCCGCTGCAAGACACCAGCGAGGATGTGCCTTTTTTTGCCCAATTTCTGTTAATGAGGGGTTTAGGGTTGTGCCTTACTCTCTTCTTGAGAGAACCGTTCCTGGAAGGCTTTTGATATGGCAAGCAGATCATCCTATGCTCGACATTACCTTTCGAACGAGGCTTTTCGTGGCTGGGAAACTGTTCAACGCTGCGGCTTTTGGTGTGTCTAGAACTATCTTGCACAAGTCAGTATCCTTCTCATGCTTCTTTTTACATGGAGCTCTATGGGTTTGTGTCCGAATGAGGCGCAGATTGGAATTATGGATGAGATGGGATGCACAGGTTTAGTCCCCTAGTGCAATGAAGGCAAAGTACCGATGTACATATTGCAAGTAAGGTATGAAATCTGACGAAAGAAGCGAGACTTTGATGCACTATTCTGAGTACAAATTACTTACTCCAATGTACCTTGACTGTAGTGCATCTAGTGAAAAGCTGTTCTGGATTCACTAAACACACCTGCTCTCTACTTTGAGCTCTGTACACTTCGATGGCATGTCACAATTTTTTCGAGTGGTATGCCTGTAGTCCGCAGATAATCACGGACTGATTTGGACTGTTGGTAAAGCATTCGTGCATATTCGGGGCGCCTATGTACGGTTTGAAACTATCAACATCATTTATCTGTGCTCTAGATCGTCAGGCATTGCTTTGCTGTACACATGCATAATATTCATGGTTTTGACAAACAAATAATCTGTTCAAAGTATTTATATAATAGAACCTGCTCTGTAATGGCTACCAATTTTCACCAGTGTTCAATCAGTATTGCACCGAAAATATCAAAACCAACTACTTCGACACTTTTATCATTAGTCATCAAATTGTTGTCGGAATGGCTGATAGTTACCGGCAAGGTAACTTGCCCATGGGGACACAGCTCATCTCATTCGACTTCGCTTCCCACACGATGGAACACCTTGGTTATCTGTGTGTAGATGACAAAACGCCCACAGATGAGAAGATGGCGAAAGTGAACAAGGCTTTTGAAGAGAACCAGAAGTTTTCCACGCCAGTGTTTGATTACTGTAAAGGAGGAAATGAGTGCAAAGCATTTCTGATGTCAGATCGCACGGTACGTCTCCACAGACCTGACTAGCCGGTTGTACTAATAACGATAGTAGTTTCAAGACATTCTCGCAAAAAGATTTGGCACGGACTTCAGTAAGATCATCAAACAAGGGCCTGCGATCGTCGACTTCAAAGACAACAATGAGGCCGAGCGAATGATGCGAGCACATCCATCACGTGATGCTGTATCCGTCTTTCGTCCGCTGGGCAAGTCCGCGGAGTGGGATAATGGATTGTTCAAGCTCTATACGGCATCCCATCACCAAACCGATGAGGAATTCGAGCTTAGTCAGGACAAAGATGCACATGCAATGGTTGTGAGCACCAAGCAATGCTTATTTGTGGAGGGGGCACTTTATGTACATCTTTCTCCGAAGGGAGGCACTCGAATGATTTGGCAGGGGTTCTCGACACTTCCAATGGCAATGGACATTGAAAACCCTAAGGCATTGTCATTCATGAAAATCTAGGCTGTGGCTGTGAGGCTGTTCTTGACTTATTGGTCTGGGGCGATTGCATGTGAACTGGGCTGGTCGTGTCTAAAGAACTCAACATCATCAGATTGAAATCAGGCAGAGGTATAATGGGAGATGCCAGACCTAACATTTTTCCATATACATCGATGTAAATCAGATAATGTGGAGAGATCTGAAGCGCCATTTGCATGACCTCAGGAAAGTAGCCGTTGTTCAGCAAGCGAATTAACTCAATAACCTGAGCTTCATAAAAGTGCGGGAATTTCGGCAGGGCAAGCATAAGGGCGAGCGAAGCCCCTGCTAGGCCAACATTTCTTTCGATTCGAAGAAGCTTCTGGCCACACTCGATCCAACCCCTAGCCTGAGAGGTGAGGGGCAGCTTTTTTTCTCTCAAGAAAGATCCGCAAAGGCCATGATTCTTAGGTTGGTCTTCAGAGGTACCTATCCTAGACCCTTCTCCAGTAACCTGTAACCATGTCTCATAGCTTGCAGCAAGATATCTAACTGCAAGAAGCCGCTTAAAAAGCTCGCTTGCAGTAAGTCTGTGCCGTGATTTGCCTCTTTCCGCCAAGAGATACGCAGTCCTTCGGTCTGTGTCACCTTGTATCTGAGCAAGTGCGTACAGAACAGTTGTCTGGTCATCTTCTAAGAAACTCTCAAGGTCACCTAGCCTTTTAGTGACAGATTTCAATAAAGCCTCTGCCGTTATTGAACGAGAAGCCCTAGGCTGTCCTCCCATTGGAACGAATAGGGGTGTGCTGGGCCAAGATAGCTGCCAAAGGAGTGCACATTGATTGAGAAATTCTGCGAAAAGCCGCGGGGTGATGAGTTAAAAGTCTGCTTCGTAATGTCGCACGGTGCTTTGGAAATAAAGGGGTTGACCCTGGGAGGGGTCCGAGTCTTGTCATCAGGTGCGTGGTATTTGTTCTTGGATTGCTCCCTTACTATTCTGGAACCGGAAAGGTCTTCCTACATATGCTTGGGCCAACAACCCAGACTCAGTAACCTATCAGTACCGACATGAGAATCCGATTAGTTGTAATACGTCGAAATGTTTGGTAACTGTATAGTTGGGCGTATCATCACCCCATAATCGGACAGATAGATCCTCTAAAGGAGAGCGGCTTCATATGCGGGAATTTAGAACTCATCACACATGGACTGGCACTGAAAGTGGTAACTTACAGATATTTTTTAGTGCTTACTGTGGTCATGCATACTTGATCCCACTCGACCCAGAGTGTGCTAGCACAACCAATTATGCTCAAAGAGCGTGTTCTGATAACGCTCCTGCTCTCCAATCCAGAATATCCCTCTCGCATTAGTTGGACGCCCAGGTTTATAGTAGCAACTACTATCTCAGTCAAGTAATTCCGCCTTGAATATCCATAACAATAATAAGTTAGTAACTATGACACACGAACGTTCTCGAAGTGGGATTTTGATTTACAAAGTTAGAGAAGGGCTCCTTGCTTTTTGCACTAGACCAGGGAAACAAGGCTTATAAACAAGCTCGCGCTTCCAATAATAACAATAGACAAGATTCAAGTATTACGATTAATTCATTACTCCTCTCTTGTCTTCAAATATGGCTCCGGGAAAAGACTCAGGTTTTCATAACAAGATATTTTCAAATCTACACGCTTCAAGTTTGACAAGACTTCTTCTTATGCTTGCGGAAAACCTTTATCCCGAGAAGAGACTCAGATTTTCCAGTACAGAACAGAAACCGAAATGGTGGCCTGCTGAAATTACGTATATCCACCCAACTAAATTAAAGAAAAGAGGTCAGTTTATCGCAAAGAAAACATGTATAGCTGGCAACTGATTATCACAAAGACCGTTTGAGCGTGGCAATCAAAATTCTCTCTTCCTTTGAGCCGGTTGATGACTCGGTGCTCACAAGGTTCCAGCGATTGAGAAAAGTACGACTTGAGGATATCACATATTTGTGTAGCAAAGTCAAGAAAAGAGAAGAGCGGAGTAAGTCTTAACTCTGATTACGCATTATTCAGGAGTTTTGTTGAACTTGCATACAGCATCGACGAGCAAGAATCATCGCCATCCCAATCCTCAGCCTACTACACATCTGCAGGCGAGTCAAGGTTTGACAGCGGTAACAAAAAAGATTAGTGTGGAGTCATTACTTTGTGGGAACTAAGTCAAAAATCCAAGGCATATCACCATGGTGAGACACTTTACCTAACTCTTAGTCAGTAGATTGAATCTTCTAATTATAGAGTTAGCCTTTAAATGACTAAAGTGATTGGTGGCCCAGGTTTGATTTTTCACTTGAATATGTATAAAGTACAAGAACAATAGCATATGTCCGTAAACCAGTCTGGCGAGGAGTTCGCGCTTTCCTCACTCTTTACATAGGTACCCTTGTAGGCAAACTTTACTTGATTTGACATAGCCTGGGGCGATTTACTAAGCCATGTAGGCCTTTAGTGATAAATGCCTCAGCGTCTGCCTTGTTGGCCGGTAGCAGCGATTTAAATTACTGTTTCCCTGGCTACTATCCGGTTTTGCTATTGTCCTTACGAAACAGGTATCGGCTATCGGGGTATAGTAACGGCGCACGGACTGGGATAGGATAATTCATGTGAGATGAATTGGTGTCAGCGGCTAGTCCCATTCAGAGGAACTGATTAAAGTATCACACCTGATAAATTGAGGGTGAGTTGCGACCCATCACGCCTCTCGTGAAACCTTTTACATTGATGTTGTTATTCAAAAAGAGGAACGAATCCATGATCATTTGGCCTTAGAAAGCCGGGCTGAAATAATTTTTGTTCCAAGTCATTATCTCCGCAATTTACGACAATTCACATTACCATTCATTTACTTCTTAGTCTCTATATTTGCTTGTAATCAAGTACATCATGGTAGGTCATCAACTCATTATTTTATGAAAAGTGCTAAAGCCAATTGAAGGTCGTCGAGGCCCCGCTTTCAGAACTTATCCTGCGCAGTCCAGCAGAATCAGTTTTAAAAGCTCTTCAGGTGTCTTGCCTGAATCAAAAAGCTTTTTACTGTGATTCCGTTCAGCGAAGACTGCATTCAGAAGCCAAGTTGCTTCTGGAGGCTTGCCAGACGTTTGAAAGAGAGGAATCTTTCGACGAAGATATATCGCACATATTCGACAATAAACTACTGTGTGATCATGTCAAGACTATTTCTCAAACCCTACACCGCGAAACATTGCTCAAGCTATCCTTTCTTACGTGGAATTTTGACGGATCCGGCTTGGTTTCCAAACAGCTCCGTCAATTCCTTGCAGACCCTGAGAATGACCACGTTGAGCACATCTGCAATACTATATGGCAACGTCTAGTTGATCGTTCAGAATGCAAGAAAACAAAGATTGAATTCGCTCAAGAAATGGTAAGTGTGTTGAAGAATCTTAAGGCAGCTCTGGTATTTAGGTGGAACGTGATCTATGTTTCGATGTTGAACAGTATGCATATCACCAATGCACTGTAGTCCATGGAGGTTAAACGTTCAACATTCAAGTTTCCGTGACGATGGGTCTAGCGACAAGCCGCTGAAATTATGTATTTCCTGTTTGTGAGTCCTTTGAGACACTTGGGGGAAATTATACGCTTCGGAAAATATTTAGAGAAATTCGCTGAAAAATGCTCTGGCTGCGGCAATCCACTAAAGCGAATCGATAACTATAGTCACTTTTACAGTTGATGATGATGATGATGATGATTCATACGCTGGCCCCTCGCCTAAGGCGACATGCAGGATCCACTATCTATACTCTCTATGTACATCTTTGAACGTGAACTATTACTTTCCTGACGAACTTGGAGCCTCGTCAAGGCCTGTGTGGGCCGGTGCCTGGGGTTGTGTTCTGCCGCCCTCGTGGCGCGCGACTTCGAAATCTCTGCGATGCCTCCGCAAAGTCCAGTACCGCCCCAAGGACGCTGCTGTCCGGCGGGACATCTTGTAACCTACCTTCCCTACCGTGGCCTGCTCCTCCCAGCATATCTGATATGTTATTGAATGCTCCTCCAATCTTCCGCCGTAGTGTTTGGCGCAGTGTGTTAAGCCGCGGGCAGTCGATCAACACGTGTACCACTGTTTCTGTCGCCCCGCATTCGCACAGGTTATCTTCTTGGAAGCCATGTTGTTTTCTATATGTCGCCAGCCACGAGTGGCCTGTGCGAAGTTGCGTGAGCAGGTATGCTCGATTCCGCGGGAGCGAGCCGTATAGATGGCGAGACCTGCTGGACGGCAGGCCTTGGTCGATGTGGCGCAGGTGCCCTCCCTTTCTCGAGGTCCTCCATTCTTGTCTCCACTCTTCGTAGATCTTTCTGCGAATGTATCCTTTCTCCCGTGAGAGAAGATGTTTGAAGGGGTGCTTTTTATCTATGCCCACTGCGTCCTTGGCTAGCCGGTCGGCCGCCTCGTTTCCAGGGTCCCCGCAGTGACCCGGCACCCATTGCAGTCGCAGTGAGATACCTCGGGCTTTCAGCTCGCCAGCTGAGTGGTGAATAGCCTGGATAATACACTGGCCTGATTTGTTCCACGAGTTTCTGATCACCTGCAGGGCCGACATACTATCACTGAGGATCGTTGCCGGTTGTTGATTCGTTGCAGAGTCCCCTTGGTTTCTTTGTGCTAGTTGGAAAACTAGTCCAATAGCATAGTAGATTGCCATGAGCTCGGCTGCATAGACTGACCAGTGCTCCATTGAGCCAATGCTGATTTGTCGAGATTTTAGGACCTGCAGATTACAGTCCAGGGCTACTGCTGCCGCACCCAGTTGATTCTGCTTTCCTGAGGCATCTGAGAAGACCGTGATGCTGGTTGCTGCTTTTTGTCTTGCCAGTGCCCTGGCCTGCGCTTTCTCTCGGTCGGGCTCAATGTCAACCTCGACAAAGGGTTGCTCCCGCCACGGTGCCAGTGGCCTTGGGTCGATGGTCTCAAGGGCCTGCAGGCGCCTCAAGTCCATAGTGCGCATTGTCTCTGCTAGTGGATAACGTGCCACATTGTGAATGTGCGTACTGCGGTCCATGGCTCGTTTCATGATTCCTCGCACTGGATGATCGTCTGGTAGGGTGCTGAACCGGGCTGCTGTGATCTGTGCTCGCAGCTTCAAGCGCAGGCGCGTAGGCAGCATGTGAGATTCAACTTCCAAGGCGTCGGTGGAGACTGTTCGGAAGGCAGAGAGAATGCGAATAAGTGCTGTTCGCTGCAGTGTCTCAAAGAGCCGCAGGTGTGTTTTATTGCGTAGCGGGTCGTGCCATACGGTTGATGCATAGTCTATAGCGGGTGTGACGCATGCTTGGTAGAGCTGGCGCATTTGCTCTGGTCGAAGGTGTCGAAGCCCGCTCAGGGCGATAATCCTTTTGGTTGCCTGCTTGACCGCGTGTTGTACATGTTCTTTCCATCGCATCTCTGTATCAAAGATGACCCCCAGGAGTCTGGCCGTGTCCGCTGGTTTGATCACTTTCCCATTCATGGTAATCTCTCCCTTGCCACGGGCTGATCTGCGCCGTGTCAGGTGGATCAGCTCGGTTTTCTCCGCTGCGAATGACGCGCCTGTTCTCCGCGCCCACTGCTCGATCCGGGGAATGTCCTCTCCTGAATCTTCTTGATGTTATCCTCCACCGAGACACTGGTCCTCCACCGGAAATAATCATCGATAAACGCTGATGCCCCGCCGTTGCTGTCGACCGGTTGATCGACCAGGTCTGAATTATAGAATCCAAACAGAATGGGTGAGAGCGGGGATCCCTGCGCTAGCCCTGCATTTTCTAGCGGGGTATTGTCTGATTCGAAGTCATCAAGTGTTATGCTGGCTGATCGACTCGCCATGAAGCTGGAGATCCACTGTCGAGCCTTTGACGGTATCCCCTTCGCTCGCAGACGCGCGTCGAGAGTAGTCTTACTGACCCCATTAAAGGCACCTTTCAGATCAAATGCAATCAGCGTTACTACTCTCGCTCGCACCCATGCTCGATCGATCGCGTTCGCGAGCACCAGCAGGGCTTGCTCGGTATTCCGTCCCGGCCTGCCTCCATATTGAGTGTCAGGGAGCAGCTTGTATTTCGCTGCCCAGTACGAGAGTCTTCGGGCCATGACGGCTTCCAGCAGCTTTCCCAGTGTGTTGAGCAGAGAGATCGGGCGGTACGCCCCCGGCACGGAGTAATCCGGCTTGCCGGGCTTGCGGAGAACGATAATCCGTGCCTGTTTCCATTCTTTCGGGTAGTATTCCAGGTCCACCGATCTTGTGAAGATAGTGGTGATTATGTCCTTGAGGAATGTCCACAGGTTCTTCCAGACCAGCATAGGGATTCCGTCTCGGCCCGGGGCTGTAGTCCCCTTTGCCACCCGGAGAGACCGGAAGACCTCTTCCTCAGTGATCGCCTCCCATGGCAGTTCTTCGGCCGGGTTGACCTCTTCACTTTCCGGTTCGGACATCTTCGGAAAGAAGGTTTCAAGAAATGCTTCCGCCTTGCGTTGGTTATCAACAATTTCCTCAGCACCCACTTGGATTGCTGGGATGCTCATATAGGCATCTCGCGGGCGCATGTAGGTGGCTGCTTTCCATATCTGGCCTTCCCCTGCTTTGTCCAGGAACTCTTTCCAGTGGGTTGCTTTTGCTTTTTCTACGGCTCTCGTCCACTTTCTTCTCTTCTCGCGCATTATCTCAAACATGGACTTTGTGTTTGGGTGGTCAGCTCCTAACGTAGCACATCCGTTTTGCCACTTTCTTCGGGCTTGGTTGGCTTCCACCTGCTGAGTCTTAAGTTCGGGAGTGAACCAACGTTTCGAGTACGGGCATGGCGCCTGTATCGGTACAAGTCGGTCTAGAGCCGCTGTTGTGGATTGAATCAGCTTTTCTACCGCGCGGTCTAAGTCTCTGTTTGTCTGGATCTTCGGGCACTGGTCTATCTCTCTTAGTATATTTTGCCCCACTCGAGACCAGTCCGCACGGTTGTATGCTCGTTTTGGCTTGGGCTTCTTCGCCTGCTCCGGATGAAGGCTCCACTCCGAGTATGTTGCTCGATGGTCTGATCCGTAGTTTTCATGGTACAAATAGCACTTGACCAGCCGTGTCATATCGTTAGTAAGTGTGAGGTCCAGTACTGAAGTTGTGCCAGGTTTACTAAGGGACCAGAATGTTGTTTCCCCAGGACCCAGGCACCACTGTAGCTCCAGGTAGTGGAAAAAGTTAATCAGTTCGTCCGCGTGCGCTGCAAACCGATGGTGTACTTCGCGGTGGCTCCATGCTGGGTGGTGGCGATTGAAATCTCCTGCCAGAATTAGTTTCGTAGTGCGATCGCCTGATTCGCTATTTTGTTGAATAGTCTGTTGGATTTTTGTGAGGACTTGAGAGGCGCTGCTTGCTTCGAAGGCTTCGTGCATCTCGATGGGTGGGATATAGATTGAGAACACCAGGTACTGTAGTTCGGGAGTCCATATTTTGATAGCTACTACATCTCGGTGGTCGCAGTGAACCTGGCGATGGGAAGATGTAGAGATTCTTCGGTTGATATAAACAAGACTGCGCGGCTGTTTTGCCTCGGTACCTGGTTCGTTAATAGACGTGGGTCGATAGAGTCTCCATGCGCTGTGGTTGACGTGGGTATTGTATGCTGTTTTTGGTGGTTCCTGGATCAGGAGTATATCTAGGTTTTGGGTGGTGTGGTCATTAATAAGGGCCTCCATTCCTGCCCTGGATTTCATCATGTTCAACTGTAAGATACGGAGGTTTGCTGTCATTGAGAAAGCCCGGGAGTTGAGGATGCCTGGCACATCCGGTCGCCTGTCGGGTGTTCTCCATTGCAGTCTGAGCATCGTGGTCTTATACCGGGGAAGCAGTATCGCTGATCGTGTTGGCCTGCGCAGTACCCGCATTTAACCTGTTCCTTACACGACCATGCTAAATGGCCGAATTGCTGGCACCGCCGGCATCGCTTCTTTTCCACTCGGTAGGCCTCCACGCTCCCGATGAACCTCTGTCCTACCAGCAGTCCGTTGTTGATGATCCATTCGGCGGCCTCGGGTGTATTTAGCCAGATCCCCATAGATGCCGATTTGCCTAGTGATCTGTCTTTCTTCTTCAGCCATGCAATGTCCTCGATCTGGAACTTCTTGTCTTCGAGGTCGTTCTCGGTCGCGATCTTTCTTATTCCTTGTTTCTTTTCGCTGTCCAGATCGAAATCCTCGGTCGGAACTCGGTGGACCACGATCCCAAACCGTGGTTTAACTACTTTAGTATTGTTCCCCAGCTCGTCCAACCACTCAGTGCTGTTCCGGGCAGCCTCTGCAGACTGCGTATCCCGGAATCGGATGATATAGCCGGTTTTGGTGGTGCCAACCCCGGCAACTTGGGCATCTTTGGTAGTTTCTGCGTTCAGAAGGGCAGTGCGGATATGAGTGTTTGCTGCCTCTGTTGGTAGGGCTCTCGAGAATCGGTCGTTATCGACGTCCTGGTCTAAGGTCGGTGCGGTGCTGATTCGGACACAGTTGGGTTCCTTTCTGGGGCGTGGGACTGTCTTCTTGGGGTCTGGCAGCGGGTGGCCCGCAGCTACTTCCGCCCACGACCTGTTCAAGGGGGTGTTTGCCGGTTGCGCCTCCAGTCTGGCCCGGAGGGTTTGAATTTCTTCTCGCAGCTCCTCATTTTGAATACGGAGGAGCTGTTGTTCTGTTTTTAGGGCTTGCACTTCAGCTCTTACTGATTCGATTGTCTCTGTTTGGTGCTTAAGTGTCTCGTTAAAGCTGGTGAAGAACTGCCGGACGTCCTGGTTTGTCACTCGTCCATTATTTTCTCCGCAAACTGCGAATTCGGGGTTGGTAATTGGTTCGTTTTCCTCTGCATCAGCGCCTCGTCTGCGGCGTTTCCTTGCCGCCCCGATCTTGGGGCGAAAGTCATATTGGCCGAAAATATTTGGTGTTCCCTGCGAGTTTGTGGGATGGGGTTCGGTAACCCCTGCGGGCGGGATCGCCATCGGGCGGGGATTAGTTCCCGCTCGGCACACAATGACAGCTGCCACAACACCACAATTCTCCGCGATACTTTGGTATCCAATTCAACCAACCTTCGAGTTTTCCTGCTCCGTTCCAGCTTTCCCTACATATACAGGGCTTCCGGATCGATTTATCTTGCTCTACCCGATTGGGATACTTCTCTATGTACTACAGTATACCAATCTGCTCTGAAGTATATTGTAGTTCTATCTTGACGGAATGGCTAGTATCAAGGTACCATTGTGATTGTTTTTGAAGACACGTGAGGTGAAATATATACAACATTTGGTTATCTGCTTGTGTGAATGAGAAGCTGCTCCGAAACAGTTATGCAAGTAACCTTCTCAAAGAAAAGGGATGCGAGTTGCATGCTTGACTTTTGAGATCTGAGCGGGTTGTTGATGATATGCCAGTAGGACCTGATGTATTCTCCTCGGTATCACTTGACGTTCCAATGATGTTTGAGATTTCGGGGCCACTGAGCCGCTTCTCAGGAACTTCGGCGGGGCAGTCTGATCGTATCTGTCTCCTTGGAAGCTTCCCCACGGGGAGTCGTATAATTTTGGTCGGCAGAATCGGTGGACTCAGAGTAGCTATCTCACCACATGATGAATCAGAGTCATCGGCTCCAGCCCTCTCGATGACGGAAGCTGTAGCTCGATATAATTTCCGCTTACGCTGAGTTCGTCTTATGAATCTGTTAGACCCAGCAGCATTTAAGCGGTACAATTTGGTACGTATCGCTGATTGCTTCCTGGCAATTCCAAACTCTTGTAAATATGCTACCTCAATCTCTGGCCAAGTCAAATGTTCCCGAGCTTTCATCCAGGTAAGCAACGACGCCTCTTCATGAGACGTCCAGCGGAGATGGCCGATATTTCTTAGGCGTTGGTCATCAGGTTTACCTGACTGATCTGTTGACTGTACTTCAGGCTCGTATAGTTCTCCGTCGGCATGCGATACCCCTCCAGGAGCATGAAAAGAGTTTACTAAGCCGGGTAGCGTCACACTTTGCATGTGAGCATCAGAAACATTGTCCGATACATTATCCACCGAGACAGCATTCGCAGGAGATAGACAGTCTCGATCACTTTCTGGAAGAAATGTACCACGTATCTCTTGGTAGCGGTCTTCTAGGCTTTTGACAAGGTGACGATAACATTGCGTGACTGTCAAATCATTAACACCATATTCATGTTTTGGCCAAAAGAGCTATCCCAAAGACTTTCCCTACCTTCTGAAATTTCTCGATAGCAACGATTCACATTGGCCAGTACATTAGTGATGGTTTCCAGCTCTTTCTTCACATCGTCGGCGATTGGCAGGGGCTCGATCATTTGCTGGAGAATGCCAGTTTTGAGTTTTGCATAGTCAGCCTCGGGTATGTCGATCAATCGCCCTCGGAGAAGGCAGGAATGCACCCCGTCTCGACTGGGCTGATTTCCGTCAATATCAAACTCACGGACTACATCGACCCAGTTCAAAGTCTCGCTGTGTCCTGTTCCACTTTCTTGAGATGACAAAGGATTAGATCGGGTGAAGATATTATTGATCCTTTCTTCGATAAATGTGCTAAGAAGAGGAACATGTAAATGACGTGCAAGTGACTCCCTTCGGTCAAGCACAGAAAGATAAACTTTAGGCAGATCTATCATAGAAAGCAAGCCCTCGAGCTTCTCAAAACGTTCTAGGGGTGCATTCGTCCGACAGGAAAAAAAGTCTAGCGTGCATTGCTGAGAAGAGGGATTTGGGCGAAATTCCATAGTGAATGAGAATTCAACAAGTCTGATCTAAAGAGAAGAATAAAAGAGACCTGAGGACAATGAAAGCGAGGGACAGACATCTATAATCTTTCATTTACCGAATTTGGTTAACTTGGTGTCCCTAGTTGAACCTAAATGCAGATTGGCCTCGGCCGAAATAACTCTGTCTCTTACCAATTAGATTGCGTAGCGGCAGAATTCTGTCGCAATCTCCGATATCGGATTAGCGTTTGAGGCTATTGAAAATTGTGGGGTCTACATCGGCTATGATGGGCTTCTCTGCTGCTTGTCAAAGAGGGTCGAGCTCTCGTCAAAAGTCCGATCTGGACATCATCCATAGATCAGATAGTTCACCTAATCTGTCTCCATGGCTCAATTAATTAGTGGGACGGCTCGAGCCTAATTAATGACACGCATAATGGGCCTGTTCGGAACGGACGGCAAAGTCTATGAGTCCAAGCCTTGAAACCATGGGAGATTACATGTTAATCGGATGGTTTGTCAACGTGACTGAGAAAGTTATTGAATTCATGTGCTCTTTGTGACTGGGCTTGTTCGTCTGGTTACTAGCTTGCGTGCACGGAAAGGCGCCGGACGCTCGGTACGCTTCGCCAAATCCCCCACCTTTTTCGCCGCGAGATCCTCGCATTCTTGGATTTTCTCAACCATTCCCAGTAGTCTTTCGACCTTTTTTGATGTGTTGTCGGTCCTTTCCTGTAGGGTTCTCATTGAAACTAGAAGACTCTGAATTTCACCCTCAATCCTTCTCGCAATACTTGGATATCCACTGACACTTTCTGAGCTACTGCCTCTCATGTTGCGTACATCGTTCGTAGTGGTATGGGTGCTATGATCTGGAGGATGGGGCAGAGATTGGCGTTGGAACTCTACTCCCGCAGTTTTCAGGTGCGTAGCTTGAATATGGGAAGGAAGAGTGGTCTGGTGTTCGGTTTCGCTGCTTGACATGACTTAGTCAGGGTTTGGTCTTCAGGTATTCTGTAATTCTTACATGACGGGAAGCGCAGGGCATGAACCAAAGTCATTACTATCGAATTGTTAGGTAGTCTTCTCCAAGAAATGGTTTTATTTACCTGGGCTCCCAGCACCCAACACCCTGTAGCTCTTCTTGGGAGTATTCTTCTATAATGCTTGCAATAGCAGATAAAGGCATTTGTTCGGTCATTGAGTTGTAATCCATCTCACTGTGGCCGATCAATTCATTCGTGTAGTCGCTTGAAGAATGAACGACAGCATATTTTGCGTCTTGTTCCGATTCCGCAATATAATCATAGGACCAAAAAGGATCATTAAAGGGTGGGTAAACATCTGGATCCATTTGCAGTTGTTCTTGTTCCATACCACCATTCATGACTGCGGTGTATTGAGGACTATTCAAAGAGAAATCAATTCTGCGGATTCCTGATAATATACTGACACTAGATAACCAAGGGAGTCTACACACTGGTAGTATGGTGGGCTTATATAGTACAGGTTGTGTACGACATGCCTCATTGACATACCAATCACTCCTGTGATAGGTGTTGGTCGAAGTCAGATACCTTTCCTAATACCCATAGTAGCTCATGTTTAGTTTCTGATACGCTCACTTGATTCCTGTAGTAGGGCTAATTTTTGTTGGAAACTGAACTGCAGTCAATCTAGTGAGGTCTATTGCTAGTTCATACACGAATGAAGCAATCTCCTAATTCGCGGAAATTGATGCAGGGGGAGTTCTGCGGATGGGTTATCCGGCATTTTCCCGGAAGCTGGTTGCAAGGAGATCCCCACATGGCGTGGCGCGATAGTCAACTAGTTGATGCTTAACCGCGGTTCGAGTGATTAGAGTACTAGATCCATGAGTCATGCGTCCGGAAGTGGGGCGGGAGACGTCAAGCGAGCACGAGGCACCGCAAAAGGCTCGCAGCAAAGATGCTCTTCTCAGCACTTAGAGAGTGTCGCTTCAATCTTGCTGGCACCATTGGATAATATGCCAGAAAGAAATTATTCGGTCGACCTTACCTTGGAAGTTGCTCACCCTGTGAATCGATCAAACACGTCCGAAAAAGCGCGCGAGGCACTAGCCTGCATCTTATGAGGTAGAATGGCTCAATCTAGGACTATTCTTTCTCTCTGGGTGACGAGAAGGTGAGGAATCTTCTCTATAAGAAGCCGGTGGGATACGCTGTCGGCTATGTAATAGATTTATCGATCTGTATAAGCCATCATGCAACAAACGAACAGCAATAATTGGCTTGAGATCAAGTCCTGCGAGAGCGGACAGCTTACAGTTCTAGATCATGGCCGTCTTGAAAGCCTGGTGGCTGAGCTAGCTGATAGCGTTGACCAGTGCCCATCTTTAAGTGTTTTTCTTGGAACCAGATCTAAAGAAGCCTGTCTTCGGCAACTGTATCCGCACAATAACATCAACCGTCGCGTCTCAAAGACTAGTGTCAGATTACGCTGTGATGTGAATACACTAAGAATGTCGCGTCCTGCATTTTTCGCGGATGGCGACCTGACATACAAGCATTCCCTTTCCTCTTTAGGGAAACAAACAGCAAGTATGGAGCAGCCCATCACCTGGCAAGCTCACTCTTCCGAAAAAGTACTGCAAATCATATATGCTCGCTTGCTATTTCTCTTTGCAGATGTAGTTTGCATATTCGCAGCTGATTTTGCAGACTATTCCCACATGGCTGACTTCCTGATTTCCATACACCGCGCACGTTCGGCGTCATTACTTCCAGCGTCAATAAGGCCCCGAGTGGTCATTGTGCTTCCCACGAATTCGGTAGACAACAAAATGGACGAAATGGAAGTTGAACAACTTCAATGTAGGTTGAACATGTGCGAAAGTGGGCCAATGTCAGCATCTTTTTCTGCGATTCACATAGTCCGATTAGGACATCACATGTTGTCGGATTACTCTCGGTACCAGCCTCTGCGAGCTTTAATCAAGGGGCAAATACAAGATATGCAAAGCGCCCGCGAAGACACTAGGACTCTGCTCAGCGCCAAACATCTAGCAGCTCTCTTCTCTCTTGCACTGCGGCACACGGCCGAGAACATACGAGAACCATTTGACTTTGTGCAAGCATCTAGAGCTTACCATCCCGTTTCTCTATCCTTGGGCCCTAATATAGTGCATTATCAGGAGCTTGGTTCACAGGTGGAGCTTAGCTCCGAAGAGCTAGCCCCCTCGGTCGCATCCGCTCTGTTGATGGATCACTACATTGATGGAATGCTCGGTATGGAGAAATCTTCATTTGATCCTGCTTATCTAATAATATGTGCAGCATTAGATGCCCGCCTCGTCTTCCGAACTCTTTATCGTCCTGCTCTAATACATTCGATCCGAGCTGCCCAGCGGTCCGATCGGATGACTGTCCTGGGAAATCTAGTAAACCTAATTGAATGCCAAATGGTGGGAATGCTTGACCATCTTGACAGAACCGGACAGCCATCTTGGCACCTCCGTCGCGACTTGCTAAAAGCTAGGAGTGGCCAACTATGCTCAATCCGATCTAACAAAATCTGTCTTGTATGTCTGTTACGGGCCGCGCAACATCGATTCGAGTGTGGACATACTATATGTGATCACTGTGCCCAAGTCTTTGGTTCGCCTGCCGCTGCGAGGGAGTACCAATTCAAATTCTCAGCTTGTCCCTGTTGCCTGTATCAAAGGCCATTTGTGATCGAAATCTTAGCCCCAACCATGAATCCCACCGTTCTCGCTATTGACGGTGGGGGTGTTCGAGGCGTGATACCACTGGAATTTTTGACTTTAATACAGGAAAGTCTTGGCTCCTGTTTATTACAGGACTTGATCGACATCAGCATAGGGACAAGCTCGGGTAGGTTATATTTGAGTTCTGCATTGCTACCCGTTCATCAGTCTTCTACAGAACAGGATACTGACGTATATCAGGAGGGCTCAGTGTTTTAGCTCTATTTCAGAAGCGTTGGGAGGTCTTGAAGTGCGCCAAAACTTTTGATGATATGGCTCGCTGTATCTTCCAACAACGAAAGAGTTCATCATTATCCCGGCTTTCTCAATCGGTATTTGGCAGATTATCGCTATTTAGTACAATCCATAAATGGCTTATATGGCTCTTGCATGATGGGTGCTATGACGGGAGTGTTTTTGATGCCGCCTTGAAAGCAGTTTTCGGCGTCAAGAGCCGTGTTTTCGATGGTCTTTGCGCAGAACACACATCCGCAACATATTCAAATACGAGAATAGGCGTGGTAGCAACAGGTATTTCTAAAGACACATCTTCATTTGTTTTTGGGAATTTCAATGCTTCGGAGACCTCCGAGACGGATCCTGGTAAGATTTGACCATGAAACGTGCGCGATAGTCACGCAGGAGATCTGAATCTATTGGGACACAGGATGCGAGATTGTCCGACCAGTGGAGACGGACTGTGAACCTTTTGTCTGGGAGGCGTAAGTTAAGTTCAATAGATTCTCTTAGGCCGGCGCTAATGAAAGCCTGCCAGTGCTAGAGCCACAGCCGCTGCACCCTTGTATGCCCTTTCCGTCTCCGCGTCCGATGCAAAGCTGACATTTGAAAGCTTTTTCCCCACAGCTGATATCGACCCGCTTGGTTCTTTCCAGGATGGAGGGCTTCGGGACAATCTTGCCGCAGATATCGCGAAACGGTTGTGTCGGCAAATCTGGCCCTCTCGGAAAAACCCCGCGCGCATCTTGTCCCTTGGCACGGGCGCAACGGCGCGAGCGGCCGGCTCCTCACCCCACTTTCGACATGTATTTCGAGACAGCTTCTTGCGCCGCAGCTTCAACGCCTGGATGTCCTTAATGGATACAGAGACTGAGTGGACTAAGATGGTGGAACAGTCAGAAAGTGAGCGCAAACAGGACTATATACGGCTCAATATTCCACTTCAAGACGAGCCAAGTGCCATCGATGCCGTTGAGACGATGGAGCACTATCGAAACCTTGTAATTCTCTACCCGGGAAGTGCCCGCATGGCCCGTGAAGCTGCCACCGCTTTGCTCATCTCGCGATTTTTCTTTGTTATGTGTACCTTGCCCGAAGACACCACTAGTCCGTTCTGGTGCTGGGGGGTAATACGCTGCAAGGGGCCAGCCAAACAGATCGTCGAATCACTGGAGCAACTCTATCCACAGGGGCTCACCTTCACAACGGACCTTGAAGTCATTGGGCAATTTGAGGGCTTGGGTGAGCTATGCCTAGACTGTGGACGCTATTGTCGACCGATAACGTTCCTGTCACACCATCTCGACAAGACAGTGAACATCTATCTCAAGACGAGGACGAAGAAGCGCTGGCGAATAAGTGGGTTTCCTGATAGCTTGGCTTCATATGCTCAACGGCAGCATTTTTATGCACCGTTCGGACGCCCTGACCATGGTTGCCCTGGTGCAGCTCTCTGCGGTAGTTGTGATGAATCGGTTGGTCCACAGCAAGGGCAGAGACGGAAACGTGCCTCCTTGGACTCGCGACGCGGGCAGAGGAAGAAGGTTCGTGGCGGACCTAGCGCCGAAATCAGCTAACATCCAGGAGGAATAACAAACAGCTACACTGGCACGCATGCTCAACATTTACTTAGAAAGAAGTTCATGGCAGGTGGGGCCAAGTTTGAGTTTTATCTTTCCTTGCCTAGATATGTTCAGTCAAGAAATATATAAACCTTACCGTATCTTTCCGTTTGTATGCACACAACAAATGCCAAGTGAGCTGGCTTGCTACAATTTTCTAATCTTATACATTTATTCTCACACTTCTACTCTTCCTCTTTACCCATTTGAACATTATGGGTGGACCAGACCCTGGGAGAGGCGATCGTGCAATTTTCAGGAAGAGGGCTGGTACTTTGGTGGATAAAGCACATGCCCTAGCAAGTCTCTATGGCGCGAAGGTATATCTTGTTATAGATCACCCCCGGGCAACAGTAGTCTACAATTCTGTGGCAGATGGTCAATGGCCACCACCAGAAAAGACTATGGTAAATTCTGTTCACATATTGCCTTGCTCCTATTTGTATTGATGAGTTATAGGAGCCTGCTTATCCCCACGTGCAACGTTTGACATATTCAGACATGGAGATTGCGAAGGGTAGTGCCGAAAACGATGAAGTAAAACAGCTTTTGCAGTACTACGATTACCGTTCGCAGCTTCTACAATCTATCGACGAACAAGATGAAGGAAATGATGCGAGTGAAGAATCTAACACAAGCCATTGAAGCAGTCAGCGAAGAGTTGACTGGATATCACAAGTCTATTTGCGGACCAAAAGAGGCTCGCGTTAGTAGTTACATGTGTTTTGCCAATTAGGATGTTGTGCCGCGGCAACATCTGTTGTTGATTTATTTAAATACCAACGTCAAGTGATAGAAACCTAGAAGTGTTCATTTCGTGAAATTGTGACATCCCAAGTATTCTGCGTCAACCTAATCATGCAGCTGAAGTCATTAACTAGCTTATATGCCATTATTCTTGGGGTGACAATTCTTGCTCTTATACTACGTGGCTTAACCAGAGGTTGCGCTGCATTCTTATCTAACCGCATCCGACATCGCCCCTTGGCCAGGCTAGCTTATCCTCTTTCCCACGGGTGGTGGCTTATGCTTCCACCTCCCTTGCAATTGTTGCTAATGGGCATCTATATTGTGGGCACAGGAGTCTGCAATGTTGCAAATATTGCCTCTATTTCGGAAGCAGGTTCTCGTGCCGCGCGACTCTCACTGCTCAATTTAATTCCAACATTTATCTCTCTTGGACAAGGATTCGGCGCTCGTTACCTAGGAGTTTCTAGATCAACATATCGAACATTTCATACAGTATGCGGTTTCATGGCGCTTGTACAAGGAGCCATACATGTTTCTATAGTCGCTAGGACAAGGACAATCTCGGCTTCTAATGATGTACAATTTTATGGTATCCTAGTATGATCTATCCTTATTCTCCTATCTCCTTATGGTATGAAACTGACATCCAACTCTGCTTCTCTATATAGGTAGGAAGCATGATGCTAGGTCTCTCATTTCTACCGCTTGTAAAGAAGAGAGTTTACGAAGTATTTCTCAGGACACATCAGGGGTGTGCCTTGGTTCTACTTTACGCTTTATGGCGGCATGTTCAAATGCTACAAGTTACTGAGACGTGGATCTGTCTATTAGCATGTACTTGCTTAGCCCCCTGTTCGCTTCTTATTCAATTAGCTCGCATCATTTACAGGAATTTTGTCAAGGGCAAAAGACGTGCTAAATTGATCAGAATAGGTCATGGAGAAGATGTGGCATGTATAAGAGTTTCGCTGCCACGTCCATGGCAAGTCCGCGCAGGAGAGCACGTTTGGCTCAATGTTCCGGGTCTTGGCTTGTTCTATCTGTTCCAGTTCCATCCATTTACAGTCACATGGTGGGATGAAGACGATACTGGTGAGATATGTTCAATATCTTTACTCGTACAATCTCAAGCCGGGTTCACGAAAAAGCTGCTCCAATCCACTATGGCTGGCGAGATCTACATGGCACATATTGATGGTCCATATGGCCCCGCAACAGTTGGTCCTTGTGGGCTTTCTGAGCGCATGGGAGACTATGGGCATATCTTCATGGTAGCCACTGGTATCGGAATTGCAGCTCAATTGCCCTATATCAAAGAGCTTTTAGAACAGCGTCGAAATTCAAGAATCCGGACTCAGAGAATTGCACTTGTGTGGCAACTCGAGCAGGAAGGAGACTGGAAAAGCGCTCGTGACTGGTTACAGCTATTAGTGAAGCAAGATGATCATTATGTGAGTAATGCTTCACAGACAACACTGCATTGCTGACTATTCAAAGCTTCTCAGTGTCACCGTCTATGACTCGTTAAAGCCGCCCTCGCCGAGTGACCCACTGAGCTTCGGGTATCATGATTTGATTAAGATCTATGGAGGACAGCCAACCTGGGAAGACCATTTATCATCTGAAGTATCGCAACAAAACGGAAGAATGCTAGTGGCAGGTACAGTTTACTACATGCCTGTTTCAGTGGAGTGTGCCTAACCCGCCCAACAGTGTCTGCTCGCCGCACGGTCCGAAGCCGAATATTGCGACAGGTAAAGATTGACGCCTCGCGTGATGTAGAGCTTTTTGAATTGGAATTTCAGCCATGGGCAACAAAGCGCACTCTGTCGTCGAATATACTCCCATAGCTTCTAATCTACTCGATTGTGCACCGACCACGGCACTGATCGCTCAACGACAGCACATCTAGAAGGATAAATATCAGTCGCGTAGCAAGCTCACGGATGGTTTTCTGAAAAAAAAATGTGTTTTTGATGATAAACCGGAACTTCTTGTCTACTAAAGCTTGTGAATGTATGCCGCGTCGAAATTGGTTCGCAGCCACTCATCTGATATATCTACGCCGGCCACCCCAGACATTTTCGGGGTAATAGTCCTAATAGCAGACATGGACGCACTTTCTTCAAATCTAAGCAACCAGAAACGTGCATCATGGAGGCTACGGTGTCGCAAGAGGCTAGCACAGCATATTTGTGAGTTCGAAATGACGTATTATTAACAAAACAATGTCTAACCAGACAGGCAGGGGAGGTATTGGGAATTGAGATTCAGCCTCTGGAGGTCCGTTTGAAGTCTACAGAAGACTTGGGATATTCATGGAAGATTGAAAAAACGTCTTTGGAGACCTTCTTTGACAAAAATCTCAGTAAGCACTCTGTAGGAGCTTACATGCAACTGTACCACGGGGTGGGCCAAGACTTTTATGCCATCCACTGTGATGGCCGCCAGGTACAAGACTACTCTCCTTATTTGTCACCTACCTAACCTTTGAAAAAAGGCCAACAGCGTGTCAAGTCGTGATTGCCTGGCTCACGTTCAAGAAGAGAATGAGCGTTTGAACAAAATATTAGAGCAGGCCGAAGCAGAGAAAGCCCGAATCAAACAGACCATGGCCCATGTCGAGGAGGAGATTGGGTTTCAGAAAGCAAAGAACGAAGAGGCCCAGATGACTATACATCAGAATCAGCAAGAAATCCAGTACTGGATGAACGTTGCTGAAGCGTACCGGCTTGGATGTAAGCAATGTTCGGATGCATTACGGCAGCTGGCCGAATTCGCTCACGACGTGAAGCCTGAGATGAATATGTTCCTGCAGCAATAAACTGTGAAGCTATCGATTTTACCTAAAATTACAGTACAAATTCTCTTTTATTCGCAAATCACTTCCTGGACGGAAGAAGCTCTAGCATCTAGAGAGTATGGAACCCTTTACTTTAGATTATCCTCATTGAAATTCTGCGAAGAATGATTCATATACACAGCACATGTTATGATATTGTAGCAATACCTACGTACCATGCTCTACTCTTGTATTCAAGTAATACCAAGTATGTACAGAGCGCTCACCGATCCATCCACTTCTCCAAAACTGATAGCGTACCAATCAAAGTAATCAGCAGAGCTACCCCAAGACCTCGGATAGCGTCGAAATCACATATATCATGATCTTAAAAGTTTGTCTAGCAATCTCGGCCCATATAACAACTGAATTTAAGCGAAAGCAAAAATGAGGTAGAAAAAGGGTAGAGCCTTCACCATTGAATGGAGTGAGCGATCAGCAGAGTTATTCAATGGTGTAGGACTGGAAGATACGCCCTGAGAAAGCGTATATGTCCCAGTAAAGATGAAGCTCTCAAATTGGTCGCTTTGACATGGGGTATAGGTCACAATAGGTACGAGTGCCGAATCCGATATTGGCTGCTCTTGAGCAGGAGGCTTAGAAGGGATGGGCTTGCTAGAATATGTGGCGCTCAAGCTGCCATTTGCAAGAATAGGATGTGCCGTAAACGCATTCATTCTGGGTTGGATTTGCTCGGACAGAGGTTCCACAAGTGACAACAGCTGCCTACCACTAGACCGCAGGTTAGCTGATAATTCTCATGCTCTGTTCTAGAAAATTGGAGTTACCGGAAAATAGTGATAAAGCTGCAGATGATTAAGAGTAAAACCTTTGGCGGCCACATATTTCTAAAGATCTCTACCTTCTATTTTACCCCGGTCGTCCCGACATTATATTGTGCTTGAAATAAGAAACCAACTCAATTGTTAGTAGGCTTTTCCTTAGTGGACGGCAGCATCACATTTTCGGAACCCTTCAATGGCGCGATTGAGCGACCTACTAATGTGAGATTCCTGATTTGCGAGTCGTTTTCGGTTCGCGGCCAGTCCATATAAACCGTGATGCCCTCTCAGTTACCAGTCCGTCGTTCGCAGTCAATACATAACCATCATTATATGACAATAATCGAATCACACATCAAGAATTTTTTATCATTAAACTTTTCTTTGAGCCAGTCTCGCAATATGCCCAGCAAGAAAAGTAAGAAAAAGGCTCGACGCAATTTGGCTCGGGTGCAAGCAAATTCGGGCCAAGATCCAACAGTCGACCAAGTTGTCCATCCAAAAGATTCAGTGACAGATGAAAGCGAAGATGAAGATGAGAATGAAATTATGGAGAACAAATCTGTCGATATGATGGAATCACCTCCTCCTATTGGCGAAAGCCGCCCGGAAGTTGGTGACTGGGTCAAAGTTATTATACGACGATTCACACAAAACCGTGGCGACGATGTGATGAACAATTTATTCCTGTCTGACACGCCCAACTTTGAAGCAGTGAATGAATTCTTTGGCGAACTCAATCAGCACATCCATGCGGCTAATCTCGCACATGGGCAAGAAGATATAAGGGCAGGTGAGATACCAGCCCAAACATATCAAGCCATGTATAGATCTTGGAGAATGGAAATTGAAAAACCAGAAGTGAAGAACAATCCTAGTTTGGGCTGGAAGGCATACGACCAAGTTTATCAAGCCCTGAATGAATTCAACAAGGCCTACAATCTGCCCTTGGGTTGGAATATATCACCAACAGCAGCCGAGACAGTGTTTGGTCATCGTCCTCCCCCCAAAACATCTTTGCAGGCCGCTTCAGTCCAACGAGACTCTGGAAGCGAGAGCAGCGAGGATGAGAGCATTGATGGTGAAAGTGAAAGTGAAGGCGGCAGTCAGGTTGATGAAGATGATGGGTTGTCCGGAATCGACCTGCTCGAGACAAGGGCGCGCCAACAGAGTCGCTCTCTCGTCAATGCCAAAGTCCTATTCTGGTGGTCGAAGGGAGCAGGTACTCAGATTTTTGTTCGCTATGGTCCCAGATCCAACCCAATTTTTCGCATCCGAGCTGGTACCCATGAGTACTATGATAAGAAGACAGTTACTCGTGTTCTGGTTTCTAAAACACGCGGTTATATGAAGAAACCAGCGGTAATGGATGGGATATTGGGAGAAACATGGAAGTATGAAAGAAAGCATGTCTCTGATATACTTGGTGTGGGATGGAAGATTGAAGACGATGATGAGAGCAGGATAGACCCTTTAGCACTCATCGAACCTGCTACCGGTGTGATGTATCCTGAGACGAGGGTCTTCGTGGTGTGGAAAGATGGTGAAAAGACTTTGGAAACTCGCGCGTTTATCCGTCGGATCGCAAATGGATCGAACTTAGATGGTGACCGACTCATTTTTCAGAAGGCCAAGGAGTTAGAAGAAATTTTCCGGGAGAGTGAGGAGGTATATGAGCCTGGTATCTCTGAACCGATTGGCACTTACATAGGAGAAAGTGAAAGACAGACTCTTAACAGCCGCAGAGTTTCACCGACACGAAGCACTCGATCAGTTCCCCACTCGCGTTTTTCAAACAAAAACAGTGTCCGTTTTCAAAACGATGAGGAGAGTATCAGTGACATGTCTGAACAGATAGCGCCCTCTAGGACTTCAAGGAAGAGCACACCTCGCCCTTCCATTGTCTCTCACCCAATTAAACAACGTCAATTTGTTGAAAGTGAGGATCCTAGAGACCGAGAGATTCGGATCTTACGAGAGCAGGTCGAGCAATTGAATATGAGCCAATCATGGCAGGGAACAAAAATGGTGCCATTGCGACAATTATACGACAATCACATCCCGTTCAATGACAGAGCTTCGACAGTCTCTAGCAAGCCTCCTATTCCGCCCCTACGGCGCAGCAGACGCGGCCAACGTGTCCGGCAGGGGGCTCCCTGGAATCACTGGGGGTCTGAAAATTGGGACCCCCGCGCGGCTCTCTATTATTGATTTGAAGGCTCTGATCGAATCCTGTTTTAAGACAAGATGCATACTCAAAACCAGAAATAATGCATGCATGCTTTGTCATTTCACGAATTTCTTAAGGATGAGAAATCCTTGATCGAGTGAGCTACTGCTCACACTGGAACGTTTTTTGAATTATTTTCAAAGTATTTAATAGTTTCAAATTAGTCTTTACCTGTTTTGTATTGCTCATATGACTTTTGGATTTATACAGTACCAGCTCCCTATAAAAAAAATAGATAATATGCTAAAAGAGAATTTGGGCCCAGTCTCATCAAAAGCTCACGTTTTGATACATCGTAAGATACAGTTTATGATGATACAGTTGATGTCGTTCTATACGCTGTTCTCTCACCTTAGTAACATGCAGGGTACCCCGTCATCATCCTCCACTACGCAGCGAACATGGTTTCATTGAATTCTAGATTATTGATCTCCTGGCAAGCTTGAAGTATGTCGAGGCCTGTATTTAACTCATTTCTTAGGGTAATTTGGCGGCTATAGTGGTATATGTTCTTAATGTATTCTACGGGGGTGGGGGGTCCCGCGCCTGGTTTCAAACAATAAAGATACGACAATCAAGTGACTGAGATACATAATAATGCCACGGTAAACTACGTGGTTACCAAAACAACGATAAAAGCGTGTGTGGAGCAAAAGAAACCGTGATCCATGTATTGAGTGATTTTCCAAACCAACAACAACCCCGTTAAGAAATGCGGAGGAGAATCGGGGCCAAGATCAATGATATATCACTCACGTGGGAGAAGAACAGCAAGACAAGGAAGGTATGATAGGGCAGCTTTCGCAAAATATCAGCATTGTTGGTGCAGTCTCAGGTTGTGCGGAGGCGTCACAGAGAATTCGAAAGCCGCCTGCTACAAGGGCGGCAAAATATAGCCCCAGGCAATGGCCACCACAGGCCTTGACGGGGCTCTAAGTTCGTAAGAAAAGCCATAGTCAGGAGAAAAAGGATGTATATAGAGATAAAAGGTAGTTGACCCCTGCATATCGCCTTTGCGAGGGGCCAGCGTATGAATACACACACGCACACACACACACAGAAACACACACACCTTGTAATGATGCTCGTAACCACATTGGGAGTCGAAACCTGGATATCTGTTAGCCAGAAGCTTGCCAGCATAGGACAGTCAAGCCCATCCAGCATTATCGTACCCTACATGCTTGACTTGCTAAGAATTCGTTCTTTCAGCGTTCCAAGTTGGCGAAAATCCCTTAGATGTAATAAATAACACATCGGCATGCGGTACAGGTTCATCAACATGCACAAGGTTTCGGTGTATATGGATCTTCTATAGGTAGCGACAAGGGCTTAGACTTCTTTTGCTCCACGTTACAGTACTACTTGTTACTATTTGTACCAAGTCTTCAGCTTTCTGCTCTTTGAAGATGCTTACAATACTCTAACCCCTGTAGTGCTTTGATAGAAAATCAACTATGTGAACGCTGCTCTAGGTTAACAAACCCCGTTAAATAGCTAGTTTTTATCTGAGGATATACGCTAAGATCTTTGGGGGTGGACGAGTTTGATTGTCTTCTCAAAGTGCAGGAGTGAAGCATATTCCACTAACCTTATGCAAGGGCAGCGTTATGTTACATTTAAAATACCAAGGCAGCAGAAAAATGGACATTCACCAAGAGGGGAGGTCTCAGGAATGTGAGATCGCTGGTTCTTAAGTACGAATAACACCGATGGCTCGTCCACAATCAGAAATGACAGTCAAGCTCGAGACTCACATGGAGGCCAATATGGTCGTCGTCGAACCTGCTTTACTTGAAAAGATCGACAAACTATTTGCTTGCAATGTGGGAGAATATATCAACCTACCGCAGTTGGTGGTGGTCGGAGATCAATCCAGTGGGAAGAGCTCTGTTCTGGAGGGATTGACAAAACTGAAATTTCCCCGAAATAGTGGTCTATGCACCCGTTTCGCAACACAGATCATATTTCGAAGAGATCCGAGCTTGAAAATAAGGAAGATATCTGGCTCTATTATCTCGACTAGTGGCAATGAAGGAAAGGGAAAATCGAGTTGGTGTATATCAGATATTGAAATACTCAATGAGAGAGAGTTTGAAATTATGATGATTGAGGTACTTATGTCCTGTTCAGAATTATGAATAGAAGGCTTATTTTCCGAAGGTTCATATAGCCATGGGCCTATCAACTTCGGCAGAAGACAACTTGCCCACTTTCTCCTCTGACGTGCTTCGACTAGAGATTCATGGGCCCCATGAAAATCACCTCAGCGTCATTGATGTTCCTGGAATCTTTAAGACAACCACATCGGGTTTAACTTCGATGTCAGATATTGATCTTGTGAGAGACATGGTACTTGGCTATATGCGCAATCCCAGGTCAATAATGCTAGCTGTTGTTCCAGCCAATGTGGATATTGCCACGCAAGAGATCATAGAAATGGCCAGGGAACTGGACTCCGACGGATTAAGGACGTTACGAATCCTCACAAAACCCGATTTAGTGGATAAAGGAGCAGAGGAAAAGATCATTGACATGGTCGAAGGGGAACAAGAGTCGCAAGAATTAGGCTGGGTGGTAGTAAGGAACCTCGGTCAGAAGGACCTTCAAGACTCTTCAAAGAACCGTGACATTGAAGAACAGATTTTCAGCCATTCACCACCTTGGAACCGCCTCTCAAAAGATAATTTTGGGATCGAGGCCCTGAGGGCCCGATTGCAAGCACTTTTAGCCTCCAACGTGCGGCGAGAATTTCCCTCGGCAAGTACTACCCTGATGCATAATGTCCGCCAATATCTAATTCCAGGCTTTAGGTGCGATCTGAAGTTTCTAAACGCCTCAAAGCATGCAAGAAGGCTTTGGAGAGCATGGGAGACGAGCGTGAATCAACTGAACAACAGAGTAAATACTTACTTGAGATTGTGTCAAAATTCAAGCAAATCACTGAAAATGCCCTGCAAACAAACTATGGATCACAAGACGCTTTTGATGATGAGCCTGACTTACGCTTGGCAACCGTGGTTGCTAACCGCAATGCTCTATTTTCAGATGAAATCTCTACTAGGGGTCACACTTTTGCCTTCATGTCACATAATCATGACGACGATTCGGACACTCCACGTTCAGGTGAAGCAGTTTCACCGACGAGCTCTGTCCGCGCGCAGACAGGTCACCTGGATGATGACGACGATGACGAAGACGAACGCAATTCAATTCCCAGCAGAAAAGTCAAGAGTTGCAGTGATATTGAGGACATATTACACGACTGCATTTCTATTCAGGACTCTCAAACAAAGGGTATTCTCGCTTGGATCGAGAAAATCTATCGGCAATCTCGTGGATTTGAGATCGGGACATTTAACTCATCGATACTCTCGAGCGTCTTCAAGAAACAGTCCTCAAAATGGCCATTACTGGCCGAGGGTTACGTTTGTGATATCATATCCATGGTCCATAACTTTATCAAAAAGGCATTGGTCGTTTCCTGTGCAGATAGAGCACTGAGTCAAACTATCCTGTTATTCTTGCTGGATGATCTTATCGAAAAATATCGACAAGCTCTTTCAACGACGAACTTTCTTCTAAGAATAGAAAGAGAAGGTACGCCAATGACACAGAATCATTACTTGAATAGCAACTTGCAAAAATGGTGAGCATGACTCCTCTCACGGATGAGAACTTGCTAATATTCAATTCAGTCGGCAGGAACGCATTTCCTCTGAAGCGAAGAAGTCATGTTTTTCAGTGAAATATGAGAATGGTTCAGCAGTGGAGTGTGTTAAGCTTGCAGATTTGACCCAAATCCATCATACGAACAACTTGCAACATACTGTTGAAGACATCCACGACATACTAAAATCGTACTACAAGGTTGCTCGGAAAAGGTTCATTGACAACGTATGCATGCAAGCAGCGGACTTCTATCTTGTCACTGGACCAGAAGCTCCAATGAATTTGTTTTCCCCCTCTTGGGTCTACACACTGTCACCCGAGCAGTTGGAAAATATTGCTGGAGAGGAGGCATCTGTGCGAAGAAAACGGAAACAATTGAAGAGACAGATCAGGGATCTTGAAATCGGCAGAAAAATTCTGCTTTGATATACATCAAAATCTGCAAAAGAATAAGCAATTGCACGCAAGCAAAACCGAGAGCTCGAGAGAGATTCAGCAGATTTATCAGCTTTCTACTCTATTCTTAGCTATTTCAAAACTCTAAAAGTCTTTCCATGAGACACTAGTTTCTATACACGGAGTTGCTCGAATTTCTTCCCCCAACTGTATCTCTTTTTTGGGTTTTGGGCCTATCTTGTCAAGGTCTTGATTGCACTGTATGTATCCCCCATTAAACTTTCTCTGCTATCGTTCATTCTCTTATTTCTAGAACTTTCTTTTTTTGAAATGAATAATAACGTATGCATATGGTGGAGTTTCAGGTGCATATTACTTATTGCAGAATGGCACGAGTTGGTTTTTGACAAGAAAACACGGCGCGATATTCTGAAAACCATCTCTTGCATTGCCAGATAATCAAACACAAATAAAAAAAGTTGGACTATATACATTCAATGCTGTCCACGCTGACCTGCTTACCATGCAACATGGTATCCTTATTTTCTGTGTCTGTATAGTGTGTTGCTTGTTTTCTCTTATGCTTAGTTACTTTAAATTTAGCAGTAAAGAAAAGGTTCAGTATTCGTCGGCTCCAGTGGTTAACAGTTGCATAACCCCGAGTGCGTGTTGGTAATAACCCTTCTTTATGAGAAAATGAATAAGTGAAGCTGTGAATACCAGGGTATATTACTTTTGTCTTGGTTCATATTTTAGATGTAGAATGCTCTATATGAGAAGCTATATAAAATATCTAAAAATATTAGTACCATAGAATAACATACATGGTCGTTGTCTTGCTATCAAGCATGTTTTGAAGAACTTTGCATATCCACAACATCCACAACTACTGAATGATCTGAAAGAGCCCAGGATTCTATGAATTGTACATTCTAAGCTAAAGAGTATTGAGTTGGTCGCTTTATCACCTCGAGTATTGGCCGTGCTTCGTAATCAGGACCTCAATGTTCTTCACAAATTCTGTCATCATCAGTACTGATAAGCTCTTCGAAATTCTTGTCAAGATATAGTTTTTTTTCATTGATAGACGATTCAGGGCAGGTTGTAAAATTGTCCTGCCAGAAAGTCGCTGTCTGGCGCCCGCTCAACTGAGCATCAACTTGCTCAATATAAATCTGAAAATCAGTGAGTAGAGATACTCTCTCCTGATTAAGGATTTCTTTAGCAGTAGAATCGAGATAAGAATAAATATCAATAATTGAGGGAAAATCGGAGCATATCTTCGTCGCTAGTGCAGCGAGCTGTTTTTCGCTAACACGGGGATTGTTGCTTATTCTGTCAGCCGATCAACATACAAATAGGTATAAGTGGGTTTCCTCACATCTGACGCTCAAAGAGCCTGGACCCAATGAGGAGCACGCCAAATGATAATCTCGAGGCGATAAGTAACCACCGTTTGGCCTGCTTATTCGCTTTCCTCTGCTTCTGCGTAAGTGCTGACTGTGACAGCCCATCCAATTCATCCCAATCCACATAGATATTCCTTAGAAGTGACTCTATGGCAAGAGAGTCTAATCGCTGTCCCCTGTAATTGGAAGTTTGTTTCCCTCTTATCCTGTCAATTCTGAGCAGATATATGCCCTTGACAAGATGAAGATACTGGACGATTTGGGTCAGCCGTAGACACACTTCTTGAGCCATGCCAAGAGCTTCTAACGGTACAAGAATGTTGTTTCCAGCTTTAGGTGTCTTGACTTTGGGTGGTGCATGGCTCATATGGTCAAGAAGTCCAGAGTCCTGCCATCCTGGGAGAAAGTTTCGTAGGAATACCGTTGTTCGGACGTCGATCAAATCCTTTACAGACTGAATCGTGGGAATTTTTGCGTGGTCAGCGCCCATTGACTGTGCCGAGAGTACATTAGGATACTGGATTTGAAGGATTTCAAGCAACGATGGCTCATGCATGACTGATAAATTGGCATCCATGGTGTTATACCCGGAAGCGGTGAGAAAAAAAAAGGTGAGATGGCAAAAAGTGAATATATAGCAAAGTTTTGACGACGATATCAAGTGTATGATCTCATAAACTGTTTTTTCTCGTTCTATTCGAGGATAATATCAAGGAAGGCATAAAGTAATAGTTCGAGCCGGTCACCAGTCGTGATCTGGCTATGGGTCGCAAAAGATGATCTTTGCATGATTCTTTCCGATGTCGCAGAACGGACGGACGCTGATTCGCTGCATAACTGCGAGCCTAAACAGGAGTCGCAATCACGAAGATACGCACCTTGATCCATACGTAAGGATACACAAAGTAAATGTATTCAGTGTCTATCCTGAAATTATGATTTTGTCTGCTCCAAAGAAAATAATATTCATCCACAGTGGATGACAGATTTTTGACTCTCTTCCTAGTATTCGTCACGACATCTCACCTCACTTATGGATTCGCTGGAAACATTCCCCACTGAGCTTTTGAGTATCATAATAGGCGACCTTACCACGCAAGATTCCCTAAAAAGCCTCTCCTCTGTCAGTAGGAGGTTTAGGATTCTTTGTGTGCCATTTTTATTCCACAGATTGCGCGTGGATTTCTCGATCGCCGGGTTCAAACGATTGGAGCAAATATCTGTGTCGGATATTGCTCAGTATGTGAAAGTCATTCAATACTACGCTCCTGAGCTTATAGATCCTTGTAAGTGAACAAACTGGCTACATAGAACTCATTTAATTGTTCCACAGGTGCTGAATCCTGGGATTATTTTGTTCCTGTGTATATCCACCAGCCGAGTACGTTCGGGACCAGAAAGACTTAATCTGGAGTTTTCGCGGGAAACAGGTGCCCTACAAAGATATATACACTTACTTTTCTCACTTGGTACACGAACAGCGAGAAATTCTCCAAAGGTGTGTCGATTTACGATCTCTGTGCACGAGCTTTCCTCGTTTTCGGGGTCTGCAGAGTATCGAGGTGGAGTTTGCGGATGGAATCAAGAGCCCATTTCGATGGTTCGCCAGCCGGCTCTTTGTGGATTGGGAAGAATCGTTTCTATTGCATTTTGAGGCTCTACTTGATGCAATACTCGCTACGAAGAGAGAAGGCACTCGCATAACAAGTTTAAAAATTTCCGGATTCTACTCCCACTTACCGATGACGGACTTCTACTTGGCTGAGAAACTTACAGCGGCAGTAGAGGATATTGCAAGTTTGCACCTTATTGACAGCCCATACTTGCTAGATGCCATGACCACTGTTCCTTTTCCAGCTCTTCGTCAGCTGGTTTTAGGTCATTGTTGGCTTGGTGAATCGGAGCTTGGAGGATTTGTCACGAACAAAGCAGATACGCTTCAGTGCTTAGAACTCAATAATGTATCTGTGTCGGCGGAGAAAGTACATCCCTCAGGGATAAGCTTATATCGTTGTGATATACAAGCCGTTGCAGAGAGTATGCTGCGGATCAGAAGTCAGGGAATCTTACGCAGGATTATTATTAATGGAATAGTGTGGTGACAATGAATCACTGAAATAGTTATTTGTTCCGCGATCATCGAGATATTTACAAGCATAAAGATTAACCATTTATTAGACTCTGAAACCAAGTACAATCAAAAGAGTTTTCTTATTTATTTCCCGCAAATGTAGCCACTAGATAACCTACTATTGTTCTATCATTGTCATACCGCTTTGACAGTGATCTATCATTTTGAAAACGAGGCAAACTCTCTAGAATGGCATACCTGGTATCATTACGCACATCTCTGGGCACCATGAAATCATCAGTCTTATCACAATGTTCAGAGAAGCTTTTTGCTTTGACGTCTCCAAATAGGTAAAATAGAGCTATACAGACTGTAAATGGCATACTATTGCACTGTAAAAGAATCACTGAGCTCTCCGCTTCGCATGCCCTCCATAACTATCACCTGCTTTTCTTTTCCCGGTACGGACGTCAAATTTCGTCACGTAATCCTTCAGTGAATCTAAAGAAATTTGTCCATTCCCGTCTGTGACTCCCTTGCTTGGACCATCTTTATATCCAACCAATATCAGACGTTCTCGCATAGCCACCTCAGTTATCGTGCTCAGATTTGGTAATTCAACACCGTAGTCACCGATCACAAGAAAATAATGTTCTTTGCCAAGCTCTGTCAATCTCAAACGCAAAGAATTCTCTGATTTCCGATCGAACTTGTAGTAGGTACGTGATTCGAACAGAAAAAGAACAACCAGGTGAGAATCCCCTGTTTCGTACCACATCTGCAGAATCTCCGCCACATTTCGGTGTAGCGAAATCATCGCCTTTGTCTCCAAGGGCGCCTTACACGAATCATCTTCAAATCCTGCCGCCAGAGGCACGCTTCGTTCCATGCCATCCATATCACGTATTGATGAATCCAGAGAGGAATTGCCATTGACCGGAATCAAATCCGTTTCTTCAGATGATTGCAGTGAACTATTAAGTTCGGTGGGCATAACACTGAACCGAGTTTCGAAGCCCTCAGTGCTCCGATCTGGAGTACCCGGAGGATGTGGTTCGAGCTCAACTGGGCTTGGCCCATAACTTGCTGCTTCTGCTTCAACCAGAGGATCATCTTTTGAGGGAATAGTGCCCCATTCCATTGTTGGGGATACGACATGCGATGTGTTGTCTGAACCCTGCGAGAAAATGTCATATAAAGGACTCTTCCCAAAAAATGCATATAGTATTTCCCGAGTCACAGCAAATGATGTAGCATAGCGTGCTCGAGGTTGTTCAGCAGAATATATGTGCTCCAGAAATAAGAAGTTGCGATCTCTGTCATCTTCAGATTGAAATGGACAATTATACCTGCGTCGTGTCATTAGCTCGACCTCATTTGTGACAAGGCTTGGCGTGATCTCTGCTGCATTCTGTTTTCGCTGAAGGATTCGCCAATAATCCTTCATCCTATTTGCCATTGAATTTATTTTTGCCTCGTCTATTTGGTAGAAGCCATCAACACAAAAAGCTCTTAACATGCTTCTTGACTCCCACTGTGTAGTGTCCCTGAGCCGGAGCGTATTGATCTCTGCCGATGTAAAGCCAAGTTGATGAGCCAGAATCGCCATGTTACTCAAATTATGCGCTTCGCTTGATCGTGATGCTGGTATTTGTGGATTTTTGTTATCCCTGCGGGGCTGAACGAGGTGTCTCAGTGCGAATAGCCACAGCTGCATTATGCCTATGAGAAACGAGTCTGCAGGGGATGGTAACGTTCTGAATTCATGCTCAGAAGCCTGGAAATTTCCGAGCTGCTTATTATTCTGAGAGCTCCAATTTTGGCGCATGGCTTCTCTCAGGGTACCTTTGAACCTCTTGGGCAGAAGGCTGCGAAATGCTTTCGCTGGGCTCTGTAGATATAGCGTGTCTTGAATGAGGGTATTAATCGACAATAGCCGTCCGGGAATTTGGAGCAGCTTTCTTTGAAGATTATTACGTTCGTCTCCTTTCACATGAGGGAAAACAGTCCCCGAAATCATAAGCTCCTGCAGGCGATCGCAGTCATCTAATGAGTACGAAAACATAAGTCCCTCAATAAGTCGGACTGATGTCGGATCCGCCATATAAGCTGTCTCTTTGGAGAAGAGGAATGACCACGCTTGGTATATCTCCTCAAGGTAATGACGTATATACTAGCAACTCAAAGTCAGTTTACAATAACTCTTAATTCTTGCTTGTAGTATGGTACCTCATGGCACCGCAAACCTAATATTCTTTCAATATGATAGGCTTTTAGTGGCTCCCAAAGCCCGCAATATGGCAGCAATTTGTCAAATCCCTCACGGAGAAATTTGTTTCGCTGAAGTCTGCGAAAATTCTTTCGGCGGTCGTCCGACTGAAATCGAGCCCACCATTTCTGTTCTTGTGAGTCATTATTCGAAAGCTGATACCTTCTTAGAATTGTGTAGATTTCCCCATCCTTGAAAGCCTGCGCGCCGGAAGATTCTTCACGAAGTTGTGCCAATGCATCCAAAGGTATTTCTAACGAGGATTAGCAAATTATATTTGGGTTTCAGAAGTGTCTTTACCGGTTGAATAAAGTTCAACCAACCATCGATCTACACCAAATCCCTCGCCAGCTCTAAGCCGGTGTTTTCCAAAAGCACATACCAGCCGAACTGTATCTTCAAACGATAGATTGACGGGGTTCACCTGATTGAAGAGGGCTTCCTGCGTTATACCCGTACGTGTCAGGCCTTCTTGCAGAGTCAGTTCACTGACCGTAGCAGCTACTTTATGCTCAGGTTCAAGGTTGGCACAGCCTTCTAGTGCGAACATAGTGTGTAATCTTCTCACATTGGTCTGGTCAAGAGGTCTTGATCCGAGGATTGCATCACTCTCAAAGGACAAATGACGCATGTCAATAATTGCATATCCTCGAAAATATTGTAGCCTGGTCTGTGCTAGCAAATTAGCCTTCTGGCCAAGTGGATCGTTGATGGCCTGCATGTTTGTAGAAGAGGAGTTTGATGGACGCTAAATCCCTTTTATTTAAAATAAAAGTGCGAGCCTTTTCAGTGTCGCTCTGTCTGGTGGATCCCTACTCTACAGTCAGTCTCTACTCTGCAGCTGGTTCCTACTCTACAGT